AGTGGCCTGTGCTTCTGATCGAGGAAATCAGGGTCATCCACGAGGTTGCCATCGAGAGATGACCAAGAAGACCAGAGATGCCACGGAGTTTTTGTGGCAGACCATCAGGCCTCACCTTCCAACGAAGAAACACCAGACATGTCCATCAGCTGGCAGTTTCACGACCTTGGGAGCAGCGAAGGTTCCTCCAGACATCGGCAAACAGCTTGAGCTTGGTCCCAAGTTTAGCTTCGAGCCAGTCCTAAGCCCTCCCGAATTGGTGACTCTGGCTAAGAATGTCGCGGATAAAGCGGTGGAGGTTGACAGGCCAAGATGTATCTCAGAGTGCGTGGATGTTCTTCAACCACAGAGAAAAAGAGGACAGGTTGGTCTTTTTAACACCATAGTGAATTTTATGGTGGATAAAGAACTGCGTGTAATGTTATCAGACAAAGAGGGTCAATTTGTAGTGCTACCAACAGGCATGTTTAATGAAAAAGCTAGCGTGGCTATAGATAAAAATTTCAGACAGGTCAAAATTGACCTGAAGAAAACACGAGAAAAAGCCAAATATCTTTGCGACCATTTAGCCTTAAACCAGCTCTCTGGAAGAGTAGGGAAGGCGGAGAGGACACATCTTGAGGTATTTTTTAGCGCAAAAACGCACAAAGATGCCTGCCCTTTTCGAGCCATAGTGTCTGAAAAAGGATCTTGGCAGAGGCAGGTGGCGACCTATCTACAGAAACAGCTATCCTCATTAAAAATCAAGGACCCCTACCGGGTGTTCAACTCAGAAGATCTCGTGGAGTTTCTCCAGGGCAGCTGCCTAGGGAAGAGAGAAGCATTCAGTATAGATGTAGAAGATCTATACTACTCCTTGCCGCACAACAGAATGCTGGAATCGGTGAAGAGGTGCATTGAAGATAATGGAGAGGTGGCCTTTAGAAGTTCAAGTGATATAACCCTGGAAAGCTTTATGGAAATGTTGCAATTCTACCTGCAATCCATGATAATCACGTGGAAGGGGAATAGCTACAGGCAAAAGTCGGGGGTGTGTATTGGGTCATGTGTTGCCCCCGTTTTAAGTGACATCTACCTGGGTGAAGTGGACTGTGCTATCGCGAGTGAGTTAGGCGACACTTTTGTTAGTAAGGTGTTCCGCTACGTAGACGACTTTCTAGTGATTCTTAAAAAAGGAGTACTACTGGACACGGTAAGGGAACAAGTGATGAGTGTCTTTAAAACGTGTGGGGGAGGCCTGAGGTTTACATTCGAGATCCCAAAAGAAAATGTGCTTCAGTACCTTGACATTTCACTGTGCCTAGAAGACGACCATGTATGCTGGACTTATAAGCCAAGGTCGAAGAAGGCCATTCTTGACTACAACTCGGCCCATTCAAAAATCATAAAAAGGGGCATTGCTCTGTCTAGCCTACAATCAGCATTGAACAAATCTTGCCTCCACACTATAGGAGAGAGCTTCAAATCGCAAACAGCGAGACTGCAAAAAGCCGGCTATCCATCCGCCCTACTGTCAGATATTGCGAGCACCATAATTAGGAAAGTAAAAGGGATCCAGAATACAAAACGTAGTGTGGAAAGAAAGAGACCAGTTGTCATCCCGTATGTGCACAAGATTTCCCATAACCTAAAAAATGTTGGAAACCGCTATGGAGTTCCTGTGGTCTTTTCAGCTCCCCAAAAGATGAGTCAGATTTGCCTAAGAGTCAACGCCAAGGCAGAGGGAAGTCTAAAAAACAGATGTTCAAAAAAGCACGCCAAGCCGTTTGTGCCTTGTGCCACGGGTGTTGTTTACAACATACCACTATCCTGCGGCCGCTCCTACATTGGACAAACAGGACGCTGCCTAAACGACAGGCTCCGTGAGCACGACTACTCCCTCAGAGTCACGGTGGGTGGGAATTTTTCACTTCACTGTAAAGAATGTCTATGTGAACCGTCTTTTGATGCCACCACTGTTATGGGAAGACACCGGGACAAAACAACCTGAGAGGTTCTGGAGGCTTTTTACATCCACAGTGGAGGAGCAAGTTGCATCAGCACACCATCTGTCTCGTTGTCCAACAAAGAGTTGGAGTTCATGAAATTGACTATGAAGGCCCAGCGCGTGCCATAGCGACCACATATCATGGCACAGGTTACACGTGCGAATTTATGGTGACCAAAATATTCTTCTTTCTCTTTTTTCTTCTATTAAAATATCTAGTTGCGAGTCAGCGCTCTGTTCTATCCGGTGTGTCTCTTCCCTTTTTGTCCTTTTGCGCTGTGTATTTGTCATTATGTACACCGCTAGGGGATCCTTTTCGGCTTCTGGTTGGTCAAGCGAGCATGCCAAGCCCTCTTTCCGAGTCTCGAGCACGCCCTGGCTCTGCCCGCGCCTCCCATTGACCAGACTCTCTGTATACACGGCTCTGCCCTGGGCCACCCGTACACGCCGCCTCGCGGCACCCCGCCGGCGGCGGCCCAAGTGGCCCAAGCACGCCCCGCTGTCTGGACCTCCAATGTTACGTCACACCGTCAGATACGAACTCAACTCTGCTACGTCAAGCCACGGTGGTGGTGCGTCGGGCGCACTTCCGGTCTGGGTTGGTGGGCAGAAGTCGCGGTGCGAGACATGCATTCCTGCGTTCTTTTGGGAGAAATCAGACAAAAAACCTGCCTTTCGTCAAAATGCTGCGACGGGGCTGTACCAAGAGAGTCTGGAAAGGTTTGAAGATCAGTTTTCATGTGTTTTTGTCCCTCCGTTCGTCCGAGAACGTGGATAGTACCCGTGACAAGGGCAAACCAGACGCTGTCGAACAAAAACGCTCCTGAAAAGAAAGAAGGCACCACCAGTGGAAAAACAAAAAAAAACAAAAAAATCCAATCGTGCCCACAAAAAAAAAATAGCAGTGTTTATTTTGACGCCAACTTTCAAAATACTTTTAAATGCTATATTCACATCTTTGACGCCTTTTCCTGAAGACATCAAAAACATTTTCCTGTCCCATGTCAAAATATTTGGGTACTTATTTTGAAGTGTCAAACTTCAGAACTTTGGAGCTTCGGAGTCCGGACTGGGGAGCGATCGGAGGTGGCGGTCAAAGAAATCTCATCTTGCTCGCAGGCAGCGTCGCGGTTGGACACGCATCTTCCGAAAACAAATGTCATGCGGTCGACTGCTGTTTTCATGACCTTTTAAGTGATGTGGAGTGCAAAAAGACCTTCTCAAAGTAAATGTTTGCAATTGGTTGTGCCAAACATTACAGAATGTGGCACTGATGCTTTTTATGATTTATTAAGGCTGAAAGTCTTATAAGTCTCATCAGGGGTTTCCACAAGAATTGAAATTATGGGGGGAAAGTGGGTTAGAGGGGGCATTGAGAGTAGAGAAGTCATTGCGAATTGCAAATTGCCTTCAGAAAAACAACGGGGTAGGGAAATCCCTGTCCCATCGATCAGTCGACCTTCAGAAAGCACGTTGGCGACGGGAAAGGTACCAATGAAATGGCGCTAAAAGTGCACCGTCAGAGAGCGTGCATGTCTTTGGAGGTTCGAAGGATGACGAAGCGAATTGAGAGGAATCTTAAGTAAATAATGTGTCTGTCTTTAATGCATCGGTGCTTGGGCTTTAGCCTCCAAGTCGTCTTAGGGGTAACATAAGGCACCCTGTGTTTCACGGGATTTATACAAACAAAGGAGCTGAATGCCATGTATCTCATACAACTGCACCAGAAGCATGGGCGTACCAACCGGGGGGGGAAAGGGGGGGGGGGGCAAGGGGGGCGCTTGCCCTCCCAGTTCTGAGGGGGGAGGGGGGTGTGGGCATGTGTTTTGCCCCTCCCCCTGAAACAGCCGCCACCGGGCAGGGCAAACACTGGCCGGCGGCGCTCAAGGGATACCCAAGGGCGCCGCCCCCCAGCCCTGGAGGGGGGGGAGAGGGGTCTGGTTTGCCCCTCCCCACTCAAAAACAAGTTGGTACGCCAATGGCCAGAAGCTCCCTGCAGGATTAGATCTGCGGCCGCTTTGGCGGCGTTGTAAGCGCGACATCGGCGGCGTCCTCGCGACTGCGATTTTCAATACGAGACGACATTGCACTCGGTTTGGCAACGATCACCAACAACTTGATGTTTGCGACGCGCGAACATTCGTCGGCCAAGGGACGGCGTGCGAACATCGGTACACGAGACTTCTCTTGCCGAGGCGAGGCAAGCGGACAGGACCGGTCGACCGCTCGCCTCGCATTCTCATGTTTAAACAAATTTAAAATGTTACTTTATTCGGCAAGCGGCGTGGAGTACTCCGAGTACCTGCGGCGTCAATGCGAAGGAAGCCGTCGCGGCGGATCTGGTTGAGCCAACTTCTCCGTCGCTTGCGATTTGCTCTTCCTGGTGGGATACTGAAAAGCTGTTTGCCTTTTTCAGCTCGGTTGGTGCAACCGAAGGCACATAGCAACCTGTCATGTTTGAGAAGCTTCGATATGCAGAATAGCCGACAAGTTTTCGAGACTCGATCATCTTGATCGAGTCTCGAGCATCTTGATCGACGGTCTCTTACGCTGTTCGGAAAACGCGCGAAAAAAACGTCACACCGTTCACGTGACCCGCTTCGGCCAACCCAAAAAGTTTATCAAGAAAATCGTCTGCTTGAAACGCCATTGCTTTGGAAATCGCCTTCTCAAAATTTGTACACGCATCCAATATTAAGAAAACTTTGGTGAAGTGTTTTACCAACTTCACGACAGACTAGTTTCGAAAAGTGTGAAATCGGCGTTTATTTTTTAATCAGCTGTGTTTTTGATGTTGCGTAAATGTTCATGTGGAACCCTGAGTACCACGTGACTCCGCCGAGCTGCTCTGTCGGCCATGTTGTCTAGAAAACACGCGGATCAAAGGATTGCGTTACTCTGCTCCCTAGGAGCTACTCGCTACTCTAGGGTGCTCTAGGGCTCTACCGCTCTACCAGCTCTACTGTGACTGGGCACTGGCTCCTCTACTTGCTTCGACCTGACCTAGCGACCTGGCGACCTGTGGCTTCGACTGCTGGTTGTTCCTAATCTGAAGAGCTGGGCGATAGGGCTGTGCGGCTGAAGTTTCGCCGCGCATACGCAGCGCCACTCCTCCCCCTGGCGAGGCGCGCCGATACTTATTAGAAGTACAAGGAGCAGACGACGCGGGAGGCTGGTGCGCTTGTCGCGCTGGCCTCGCGCTTCGTAAAGTAATGTACCGAATGCAAAAGGTACCAAATGTCACAGCATCGTATTAAAGAGAAAGGTATACACCTCCCGAAAAGTTTTGTTTGGTTCCTGTGAGGTGATTCAAGAAAGATCGCCAGAAGCATGAATCGCCAGCTGTGCGGAGGATAGGTTTAATTATTGTTTCTCTATCTTGTCGCGTGATTCAGTAATGCAGCTACGCTTGCTTGTCACATTAATAGGAACTTTTCGTAGGTCACACGTGAGAGCATGCAGGGGTTATGCGTTGCTTGGGGGCGGTAAAAGCTGGCGCCCGTGGGGCCCGCAATCCGACACTGACGTTCTACGATAAGTCCCTAATGTAATAGCTAGGATGGTTCCCCATGGGTATCTACAAACGAAACCCGAAGATGCAGTTACCATCTTTTTATATAAAATACTTTAAATTTGAGAACCAAGCTCACTTTGCTTACCCGCCCATTTTGTTCCCCGATGTTAACAAGAGAAAGCGGGTAAGCGGCAACAGACATGGGGAAAAATTAGGCAGATAATCGTAGCCCCTATTGCGTACTGATTTGAACGCGTAATTCAAAAAGAATTGACGGCTGTATTTAAGTTTTTTTTTTACATTAATAAAATGATGTAGTTAGCCCACAACAGGTATAATTACTTTCCAAGGGCCTCTCAAAATTAGACTAGAGCATCCCTAAGTCGACCAATTTGAGCGTGTTGGCAATTTTAGATGTTCCTAATGTAATAGCTAGGACGGTTCCCCGTGGGTGTCGACAAAATAAACCCGATTATGCAGTTACTATTTTTTTAAACAAGCTTAAATTTGAGAACCCAGCTCACCTTGCTTACTAGCCAATTTTCAATTTTGATAAATTAGTGGAGACTGGGTCGAGAAAACTAGAAACATCAACCGTGGACAGAAAGAGGTATCTATCTCTCATACACGGTTGATATATTTAGTTTTTTTCGCCCTAGTCTCGAGCAATTCATCCGAATTGTTAATACACACACCTGCGCTCTCACAGTAATTTCTATCAATTTTGTTCCCTGATGCTTACAAGAGTAAGCAGCGAAAGACATGAAGGCCAATGAGGCAGATAATCATAGCCCGCATTGAGCAATGACTTGAGCGCATAGTTGAAAATAGATTTACACTGACGGCCGTACTCTAGTTCTTTTTTTTTATATTATTAAAATGATGTAGTTAAGCTACAACAGGCATAATTACTTTCGAAATAACTCTACAACATCAAACCCAGACATTCCTCGGTCAACCAATAAGAATGTGTTGGCAATATTAGATGTATAAGTTGAAAGCAAAATAAAGAGGATGAGGACAAGGCACGTCACAAAGGCCAGTAACTAAGCATTCGATCATGACTGAAATTTAAAATTAAGTAATCCTTTCTTGCAGAGAGAGAGAGTGAAAAAATATTGGCGATCCTCTCCGGGCACAGAGACTCAAGATATATCAAGTTAAATTGTAACTAAACAGCCTACAAAACAAATAATGAAGCAAAATTTTTTATTTGTTGTGAACCGGAACAGTGTTCAACATTATTATTCTGCGGTATAAGTTTAAAAAAAGGGGACGCTTTACAACTCAAATGCAAGTCGATTGGAGATCCCTCTCTTCACTAATAAAATTAAAAGTGAGTTACTGGCGCACGCACGTACATGAATTGCGATTCTACAGCTTTGACGGCAGCGACAGAGGCGCGCAAACACAGCAAGGTGTTGCGGCGCATAGTAATATATATATTTTTTGTTGGACCCGCTCAAAATAAAAGCGGAGGCCTTATTAACGTACCGTTTCGGTTTTATATTGGAACTTGACCCAGTGTTGCGATCAGGCTGTACATGCCTCGTCAATAACTTCATCCGGCTGAATTAGAACAGGCGCGGCATGCATGCTTCCATCAGCCGGTAACTCCGAGAACTGACCTGAGTTCAAAGTGTGCATGAGACAGCGCAGCTGTGCGCGAAAAGACAATTTAAAAAATATTGCATCCTCAGCTTTGTCCGAATAGCCCTGACTTTGAAGAGCTAGCGAAACCATAAAGTAAAAGAGCATTTATCTCGAGACGGATGTTACAGTCGACGCTGTCTTGCACTTTCGAGACACACTTCGCAAACGAGAAATATTCCTATGCCTGGATTATTTACTCCACCCCGGGGACTTGACACACAGGCAACCTTTCTTTGCGAAGGTTCGCCTCCCTAAAAGATGATCACAGTTTTTTTCTAACGGACAGAGAGCTTCAACGCGGTGACCGCCATTGCAATTGGCAGCGCGATGGGACGAGCAAACGGCTAAGTAGGGCGAATTCGGGCCACGGCGCGGCGCCACTGGTGTCGCTCCAGCGCGCCCCCTGGCCCAGCCGAACGGTCCCATTGCCGTGTGCGCCGGCAGATGTGTTCAACTACCCAGCATGCCTTCAGAGCCGGCAGCAGTGGCAGCAGTGGTAAGTTGACGGCACTGACTGGACGTAAGAACCGAACCCATGCGAACGACTTTCTCGGCACCGCAGTCGATCATCACTCCTCTGTACAACGGAGAACGCTGGATCGACCAGTGCTTCGACTCTGTGCTCGCGCAAAATTTCGGCGAGACCTTGGAACTTTCCGTCTACGACGACTCCAGCACCGTGAGTATGAAATCATTTGATGCGGGAAACGGCTTTGCCAGTTTTGCCAGCTTTGCCCGTCAACTGTCGTAAAACCCACGTAAAACCTGCGCGCATGCCATACATGGGTAAATTACTTTCAAAATGTAATTTAATTACAATTACAATTACTTAGCCCCCAAAGTAGTTTAACTACAATTACAATTACTACTACGCGAAAGTAGTTCATTGCAATTACAAATTACTTTTTAAAAGTAATGCAATTACTTTACAATTACTTATTTCTGAGAGTTACCCACCTTGGGCCATATAACTGTAAACGAGTTATATGGCCGCTGTATAAATGTCACGCATTGTACTTTTCTTTTATGAAATTTGTTAAATGGATTATAGAACTTAATAGTTTGGAGTAATGAACTTCTGATTTCTTATATTCTCAAAAAATAAAAATAAATGGCGACAAAATTCACAGGTGCGAGGTGAATCTCTTTAGAGCTTGTGCAAATGGTATCCAAGTCAAACCAACAAAAAATAAACTTAAAAATAATACAAGGAAACAAATATGCGACAGTACTGGTATCATAAAACTCGGTGATTCGCTGCCTCTCCCTGTCTGTGGACTTGTAACATGTCGGATGTGGGTAACCGTAGCACGCGAACTGCGGTCGCTTCCACAAAACTAGTGTCACAATAGCAGCAACTCTCTTGCCAGGGATTCTGGGTTAATTCAGTGCACGGTAACACCAAAAAAAAAAAAAAGCTCCTGAGATATATAATAAATTTAGGATCGTCATGTCAGGCGAAGAAGCAAAGAAGCAGCAGGTCTAATTAACACGACTCACCCTGCCTTACTTCCAACTGTTGTTGCTAAACTGCGCTTCTTCGCCTCGATATTAGAGTAGCACGACCCTCTGTTAGTGGTACCAACATACGAGATAGAGGAGAAAGACATGAAAACTCATAAAGAAAAGAGAATAATTACATGAACAAAAAAGTCCCCAAACTTGACTGAAATATGTAAGCGAATATGCTAGCGGCGAAGACGCGTAAGGAAAACTTCGAACCTCCCCACCTCGACCGGATGATGTGATCGGAGCCAACCAGCTCGACTTCGACCCCCATACCCCCGTGTGGGAATGAGAAATAAGAAAGACCCCTAGAAACAGGAGCAACAGGAAGCGAACGAGACGAAGAGTCAGATTCAACTACGACAGGAACGAAAACGGACGCGAATGAAGCCCTCATTTATCAAATTATTTCTGAAATTCTTCATTAAATCGTTTTGCAGTCTACAAAATCCTTCATTCCGTTCTATCCCAGCCTCCCTTTTCCCTTTTTTTGAGCAGGTTGGGAGACTCTCTTTTATTGCTTCGGTTGTGCTCTCGTCGCCGTGGCCAGGGGGGAAAAGCGCCACCGCCGCAAAATCTTGCAAAAGTAATTGTAATTGTGCCTGAAATTTAGCAATTACTGATGCTAGAAAGTAATTAAATTACAATTACAATTCCTTTCAGCCAAAAGTAATTATTACAATTATAAATTACTAGGAAAAGTAATTAAATTACAGTAATTTAATTACTGTAATTGAATTACTACCCAAGTATGGCGCATGCGGATAATGCACATAGTTAGGCGGCGCAAGCTACCGCTCTATACAGAGAGTTGAACTGATTTAACCACTATAACCTTTTATTCATCCGTGCAGGATGGAAGTCTGCGACTTTTGCAATCCTGGAAACCGAAGCTGGAAGCACGCGGAATTCGAGTGTGCATTTCCTCGGGTGCCTCGTCGGACCCACCGAAAGGAGGTGATTTGAGATGCTTGCGAAGAAATGCGTTCCCTTTTCAAGCTTTCCTTCGCGACTTGTTTTTGTTTTCCTCCGAACAGTGGGGTTTGCCAAGAATCGAGCTGTTCGCCAAAGCTGTGGAAACTACCTCTGCTTTCTGGACATTGTGAGTTAAACGTTAATTTCTGATTTACTGAAGGATATCTCGTTGCAAATAAGATAACTTACGCTACAAAATTACCAAACATGCACACCAAACTTGCTTACCATCGGTACTAGTTTATTTAAAAAAGTGATATCCTTTTTTCTTTTTCCTTCGTGCAAATGTTATCTTTGCAAGTAAAAGTGTTTCTGTGCACCGGACGACATACCATCTTACTAGGTTTCTAGTTTTGGATAACATTTTGGTGGTGACAGTGGTGACAGTTTGGAATTCGCATTGCCAATTTCATTGAGCAGGTATGGATCGGTCTTGTAGTGTTTGTGAAATGCCAAAGTGTCTCAGAATTTGCTGTTAAGGCACATTTTTGGGAAAGCCGACGGGGATTCTGCCTGGTCGGCATGCTTGCTAGTACAAAGCAGAAATAGGTGGTAGAATTTCCTTGCATTACCCCTTTAAGACATGCAGCTAGTGTTAAGATGCCAGGCTGAATAGAGCACAAAAGGGTTTTACTCGATCAGGAACACCATCTTAGCTCCCTCTTGCACGCGACCCGTTGTGGCAGCTGGCCCAACACGTGATGGTCTGCCGCCGTCGGTCCCCCGCAGGGCAGCGCGCGCCCCTGTAAGACACCTCCCCCTCAAATTCGGTGTCCCTCGGGGAGAGTACCACACCACAGGTCGTCGTTTTCTCTCGTTGATCTTCATACTTTGGTGTTAGCAACGACTGCGGTGTTGATTGCCTGACCGCAGATTGGCCCTCCCTCACGGATGTGCGTGGCAGAGGTCCTTCTCATATGGCCTTTCAGTTGACTCCACAGGTCCATGTGGCAGGATCGTCCTGCCTTTGGTACCCCTGGCACAACACTGACACACACGTCTCTAGTAGGCTGCTCAAGCTCCGCCTCATTGTCTTTTGGCTCCTCTGTCGTTTGCTGTCACAGATGGTGACCATGCCGTTTCCAGGTGGTGCCGTCTTCCAGTACTACCATAGCCAATGATGCACTGGTAGGTGCTCCAGCGGTTGCAGGAATCCATCTATCTTCAGGTCTAAAGTTATGAGCCCACATGCGCTCATCCTACACACCCTGAAATAGGCCCTCAAAGTCCACATAAAAACGCGACTGGGCATTTTCCGGAAAAGGCCAGGGTGTCTGCTGAATTGTCCTCGGTGACTGCCGTTTGATTTGGCATTTGGCATTTGTGCCGTTGATGCCTGGTCACCAGGCATGACTCCGGGCGACCATCTTCATCTTCTCTATGCCGAGATGTGTTTCATGTAGCATGCTCAACACTGCTGGCCTAAGGGAAGTTGGGACAGCCACGCTGCCCCCCCACAGCACAAAACAGTCTTGTACAGAGAGCTCCTCCATCTGACTTGAAAATGGCCTTCATTCGATGCCTTCTGGTAAGCGTTTTCCACTCCACAATGCTTCCCTGACTGCTGAGAGGGTCTGATCCCTGTTTGTGGCCTGCGCCACTGCCACCACCGACAGCTTGGATGGAAACGCCTTTTCAAGCATAAAAAGGCCCATGGCAACCACATCTTTTATCGGACCAGCAGCTAGTGGCAGACGACTCGGCCCGTTGGCGTTGCCCAAGTTGACCCCTGGCCTATACACTGGGCGGTACTGATACCCGCTTAAGGTAAGAGCCGAATGAAGTATCCTTGGAGAGCACTGCCGTGGGATTCCTTTATCATGTCCCAAAAGTCTCAACAAGGGCTTGTGATTTGTACAAATCTCCACAGCTTGACCTCACAAATTCTTATTAGACACCCCGAACATGACGGCTAAGGCCTCCTTATTTATCTGGCCATAATTCTCTGCCGACGTTAGTCTTCTGGAGGCAAAATCTATCGGTTTTTCTTCACCACCTAATCGGTGTGCCAGTCGCAACAGAGGACCAGTGGCAGTTTCGGGTTGTAGTATACCAGTACTGCAGCTGACGTTAGCATTGGTTTACTTTTCGTAAATGGTGTCTGTTGTTAAGTGCCCCAATTCCATGGTTCTCCCTTTTTTAACAGCCTGTGCAACGGTTGTAACTCAGCTGATAAGTTGGGCAAGAAACTTTGGTAAAAATTAATCAATCCTATAGTCGGTGACAGGTCAAGAACGAAGTGGAAACTCCTCCCACGTCTTTCCACTTTAGTAGTGCGAACGCCGAAGGGAAGGCGACCTCCTCTCCACCATTCACTCCGCTGAGGGGGAAAAGGGTGGGAGGAGCTTCCACTTTGTTCTTGACCTTGTAGGAAATCGCGTACCGCCGCCGATTCGCCGTTTCCCACGTGGTCCGTCAACAACCCGAGTCCAGCCTGGTTCTTTCACGGGGGCGGGATTCTGCTCCCAGTTTATTGGTACAACAAAACACAACGCTACAAAACACTCAATCTAAACTACAAATACAAGCTACATTACACAAATATTTACAAACGCATGTTAAGCCTAAAGCCAAACACAAAGAAGGCCCCCAGGCCTCGTGTCCCGCTATACCCTAGATCAGGTCGCCACCCACCTGCCTGCCTGCGTCTCGGTCTCGTCCGGAGTTCTCAGAGGCATCTCGCCCCCTGCCCCACTGAGTACATATCCATCAATGGGCAAGGAGGTTTCTCCTCACCCGCCATGGAGGCACCTGCAGGGCCCTCCAGTGGCTAGGAGAGAAAGCGGCGCGTCGGGAGCCGAATTCGAGATCCCGATCGACCCCGCGGCGACACGACCATGTGATCGTGTCTGAGGCGAGGCAGCTACGCAGCTGCCTGGCGGCCAGAGATTGGCAGAATGGTTTGATGGGCGCCCTCATGAATGCACGGTGCGCCATAACCTGTCACCGACTATAGATAGCTTCGCAATTCTCGCACGTTCACAGGCTCTGGCGCATATAAAATAGCTTCAACTTTCTTACGTGTTGGCTGCAGGCCTTCAAAATTCAAAATATGCCCCAAGTACTGAACACCTTTTTTTTAAAAAAACGAGCATTTCGTCAGTTTGAGTTTCAACCCCGTCTCCTGTAACTTCTGCAACATGGCCTTTAGGTTGTGACAGTGCTCTTCTGTTGCTCCGATGACTAGGATGTTGTTGAGATAGACCACCACACCTTTGCAGCTACGAAGGAGGCCCTCCATTTCCCATTGAAAAATGGCAGCCTATTATATTGAAACAGGCCCCGCTGGGTATTAATATTGACAAACTTCTTTGCCTCCGGTTCTAACTCCACTTGCTGATATGTGTCACACAGGTCGAGCTTCAAGAACGTTCTGCCTCCAGCAACTTTTGCCCACGTCTCTTCCAGCCCCGGCACCGGATACACTTCTGTAGTAGCAACCTTGTTCACTGTCAGTTTAAAGTCGCCATAGATCCCTATCCTGCCATTGGCACGATGGGTGCTACCCACGCAGTCAAATTGGACTCGATACTCTGTTGCATTGTAAACGTTGAAATTCGTGCGTGACTTTGTTGTGCAGACCGAAGGGTACTGTGTGTGGTCTACATAAAATTGCCGTAGCCCCCTGCGGCACGTTAATGTTTGCTTTCGTTCCTTGTAGCATTTCCTCGGAAAAAGAGCGACTGGAAACGGCCGACCCTCAGTGCTGCTCACCTGGTGGACATTGACGAGCTGCACCAAGAGCATGTCGATTGCTTTTGCCTGGCCGAGTAGAGCTTGAGCCCCGCCTCGCACCACGAACAACGGCAACTCTGCCGTTTCCTTTCCAAACTTGACTGTCACCATTGCCTTGCTGACCAAAGGAGTTAGCTGGCCGAAGTACCCTTACAGCTTCATGCACGACGGCCTCAGGGAATTGCCACTTGAACTCGACTTGATCCATGGCTGTCCAGCTCCACCTTGATCGCTACCCCCTGCGCTGTTACTGGGGCAAAGATGGGTGGTTCCTTTCGCTCGGGTGTCTCGCGTGGTATTGGGCAGCCCCGCCCCGTGCTCCTTCTGGTCGAGCGGTCAAAGGTTACCCACCGACTCTTTACTGTCCGTAGCGGCATGCAGACTCGGTTGCGTCTTCGGATCTTGGCTGTGCCGCCATTCGTCCTGCCGTTGCCATATTAGCTTGGGCCGTTTCCTGGCACGTTTGGGCAATGGGGTCCCACCGTCGACATTTAAAACGGCGCATTGTCGTGCATTTGCATGCTGTGTCCCGATGTGGTCCATTGCAACGAAACAGCCGAATCAAGTTGGTTCCGACGTTGTCACCTGGTTTACGGTTGTCTCTCCCGCTCGGCTTGTCATCTGCTCCGCGCCTCAGGCTTCTACTCCGGTGACAATTTTCACCGTCCACTGTCAGTTCCTCCAAGAGATGTCTCCGCATCATGTCATTGTTTATGTCACAAATGAGATGGTCTCTATTTCCAAACCAAAATCACACTGGTTCGCCAACTGACGCAGCCCAGCTACCAATTTTTTCACAGTTTCGCCGCTCTTCCGCGTGCGACAGCAGTAACGCTGCACAATGATTGATGGCCATGGTGAATAGTGTGAGCAACTGAAGGCTGCTGCTGAGGGTGCCTCCGACGGTTTCGTAGGCGCCAAGAGCCAGCAGAGTATGTCGGCTGTCCACAACCGCTCAGAAACACAGCTCCGCCTCTCACAGCTTCCATGCTGTGTGCGATTGAGTTTTGCTCCAACCTTTCGATATGCTCATCCCATTCCTGGCCACCTTCGCCCGTGAAAGGCTTCGGCACGACGCGGCCGTATCCCCACTTCCGCTGATTCAGATATTGTTTTTTCTCGTTGCCAAGTGTTAGGATGCCAGGTTGAATAAAATACAAAAAGGCTTTACTTGATCAGTTACACCATCTTAGCTCCCTCTTACGCGCAACGCGTCACGGTAGGTGACCCAGCACGTGATGGTCCGCCGCCATCGGTTGTCACCATCAGTCCCTTGCAGCGCATGCCCCTGCAACGTCTAGCGGTCTGCCAGACTGCTAGATGCACGACTCAAAGGGGTACTGCAACAAAATTCTAGCGCCTATTTTACTGTCTATATGTCACCCACGTTCTGGCACGGAGGAACCAATGTTTTGTTCGAAAAGAAACATTAGTACTTAAAAACAGCGCTGCGGAAGTATGGCGGCTCCCTGCATGTGCGCAAGCCCTGTCCTAACTGGATTTCACTTCTTTCCCATGCCTATGGGGAGCGGGTATCCTGAACAGTTGTAATGCTAGCAACTGGCCAAGCTTACAGCCACGCCAGCTTCCCTGTAGCTTTGCTTATGACCTGACATCAGATATGTGCTGGGGCATCTCCCAAGACACATTGCACCCTCCTGTGGCTACTCTTCGAGCGCGCGCTGGAATCGGCCATTTGGAACAAAAAATATAGCCATTCGTTCGAAACACAAATGTGCGATTGAGCAGATAAGTTGATCATGCTTAACTAATTTCTGACTGTGAGAGGTATAAGTTCAAGTTTAATATCAGTCTGCCTTTAAAAGGAAAACTGCTAGTGCAGACGTAATATCGGTGCTTTTTTAAGACTCACTTCAAAGGTGTATTAAGTGTCTTAAATGAGCACTTTCCACCACACTAATAGTTTTGACGACAGCATTTTGATCCCAAGAGCAAAATAGTGAAAACCATGCGATTGCTTGTTTCATGATATAATGTCATAATTTGTCTTCAAGGTGTATTGATTTACATATGTAACTAGAATTACATATGTTTTCGACACCGATAAACCGCCGAGTCAGTTTTATCGAAATTGGGGGCAAAATCTCAGAATTGCAGCTGTCCTTGAATAAGAAAAACACCGCGCTTTGGGGGAAAATATTTGTATAAAACTTTATTCTGTGTTGACCGAAAGGCAGGTTCCACCATCCATGAGGCTGCTTCTTTAATCGGAAATCATGCCCATTGTCCCGTTTTCTTCGCTTATCAGTACGGTGGGGTCGCACACGTGCTCCCTGAAAATTGGGCAATCCCATGTCTGGTTATCTCCAACGTAATCTCCACGCAAATTTATTGTCCGACACTGAAAGTTGATGCCGAAACACGCGTAACTCGTGGGGAAAATAAACCCCAAAAAGGACACCCCCGGATTTGAAGAAAAATAAACCGTAACAACACTGACCTCTAACTATAACTGACAGCCTCCCTAATAGTTTTCATTGTTTTGGTCATCTAGGACGACATCATGCACCCAGATCGAATTCAAAAGCAGTACGAGGCTGCCACTAGGAGCCCGCCAAATGCGGTGAGTGACTGCCTGCAAGTGAATAAGTAGCAGTCTGGAAACGGCGTTTGCTTCTTTTTAAAAGATAGTAGGGTCCAGGTTTCATCGGCTTCCGGAAGGCTCCACAGAACGATACAGCTCCTGGGCAAACCTCCTGGGCCACGAGAAGCTCGAAGTGCAGGTCGGTTGTCTCCGATCTTTTTCCTCTAAAATAATAGAAAAAATGTCCAACCGAGTCAATGTCTTAGTGCAACGCTTTTTACGGTGGTAGCCGTGCATGGTCCGTTGTTCCAGCCGATCGACTGTGTCCGATCATCTTTGTGACCGAATAGATACATTTAGTGGGGAAAACTTCACCATGATGTCACCTGACACTACGACATCATCTGACGCTTCCCGCTAGATTTAGCGGAGAAATCCTTCCTGCTAAATTTAGCGCGAAACACTTTTTCGTGTTTCAGACACACCGTGCGAATATATGGCCTGAAACCGCCACGGCTACCACTGCAACTTCGTTTGCAGGATACGGCGTGAGCCTATGAATTTTCTTTGTAATTTTTTGTAGGTCTTTACGTCGCATGGACCGACTGTCATAATGCCTACCTGGTTTTGCAGCAGGCAGGTATTTGAGGCTGTTGGTGGCTTCGACGAACGTGGCAAGGTGGGTTTCCATTCCCAGACTCTATAGGACCTTGCCGCAGTCCCTTTTGCTGCCTCCCGTTGCTTCGCGAATGAGGTACAGTCTCCAGCAATACAAAGAGACCCACTGCACAAGTGTGGACGTGCGCCTTCGGCGAATCCGTGGTATTGTTTGAAACTCTATAGCAGAATTCTTCTTAGTGGGATTCCCGCTTGGGCAACTCTCTGGAGAAGTCTGACTTTTCAGAACACTTTTAGTCTCCTGATACCTTTAAAGCAGAATGTGTTTTAGGGCTGGCTTTCAAGTTAAAGTGTCACAAAAAGTGGTAAGAAAACAATAATGCGGTCGAACGTCATTGCAGAACACTCTGCCACTGAATCAAACCCTCGACTTCTAGCTCCATGTTTCGATGCTCTCTCTCTGCAGCAGCTATGTCTCGTTACGGCTGCCACATACAATTGTGTTGGTGCAAAACATTTGTTGCCTTAATGTTGGAAGGGATCACATGACCACGTAGCCACTATAGGTCATCCTATGTTATGCAATTGCATCCTTCAGGAAGTCTCGCGAATAATAAAGTGCTTTGGTCACGCGTGCAGGGAATTCCAGAGGACTTGATCTTCTTCTACCGGCACCTCGACCTCGGTGGACGGGTGGTTCGAGTGGACTGCGACCTCCTCACCTACCGCTACCACCCGCAGCAAACCACCTTCTCCATCTCGGAGTACGGGCTGCACGTCTTTGCATGATTGACGACGGTGGTACACCTTGTATTGAGGGGAGACTAAAATGTAATCACGCTGTGCACAACTGATGTAGGTAGAGCCACTGGATGAACTATGCTTGGGAGTGACGGCACTTGGGCCATCTCTTCAAATCGTTGTTGCCAGCTATCCGAAGCTTTTTCTGAAACTGCGAGAAACGCTTCTTCGTCCTCCAGGTATCTTAGACTGGTGCGGAGCAGAATGATGTTGCCTTCCTGCCACCGCATCTAAAGCTCGGGAAGTCGCTTTGCACTAGGCAGCAAAATGGCGGTGCCCACCTGAAAGGTGGGAAATGTCAATACCTTAGGTTGTGGGGTTGCAGCTACTAACAAAGATACCGATAGAGGAACCAAAGGGTTAAGTCACCTCCGCAGCAATATAGATGACGTCTAGGGCTACATTACCGCGGGTCGGTTCGATAAATACCTCCGTCGGTGCCAGTGATTCGACTACCTTGTCTCACTCTCTCAGATATAGCAGAAGAGAAGACACACGTGCCAGAGTAAGGACGGAGTCCAAGGGCGTTCATTAACATACTCTTCTAAATGTACTACTATGTCCCCAACCCAAATGCCCCCCGCGCTGGTAAGGTAAGAAAAGGTGCCTTGCTAGATCCGGGGTTCCGGTATGCTGCCTGGAGCACGTCTTCCAATGGTGTGTTTAGCGTCCTATGCTGCCCATGCATCAAAAGTGGTCCCCAAGCGGCAACAAACGACATCACAGAAGCCGGAGTGCCATGCTGTTGCCTGTCGCAGTCCTGGCGGTTGGCCCTAGAAATGCTGATGAGAAGCTGCGAGTAGCACGAGCGAACGCAAGCGTCGCTGTCATCACGGCGTGCCAACTTCTGGCTGCCAGAGCTTCCGTGGACTGCCACACTGGAGAGCAACCTGCAGCCGAACAGGCGTCTGCCACATGCACCGCAGCTGTTGGAACGCCGCCAGGATCGCAACTGGCGACAACGTGACACTTGTACACAATGTCATCAGGCGGAAATGGAGGAGGCACTTTTTTGGACGCTGTAAGCACACCAGTCGGAGACGCGTTCCAGGCACATAGTTGCGGAGAGCCAAGACCGGGGAAGCATCGGGGAGGTCACCAAAACACTTGCAAACTCTTTCGCGGTCGCCTGACGAGTCCCTTTCCCGAAAGCAAGAAAAGACTAGGCGAAATCTCCTCGCTTGTCGGTCATCAGCTGCATGCCGTTCCCTCAGGAGAGAGTGAAAGAGAAAGGCCCTCCAAGACATCACTTCATGGAACAGGTCAAAGCTCATGGTGGAGGTCGAGCGTTCTGACCCCTTATCTTGGCCATCGTAGAAGGGAGAATCCCCACAAGGTGTAGCTGATCGGGGGGGGGGTCCAGCCTGGCTGTGCCAGAGAGCAGAAGTAAGAACGGCACCTCTCCAGGCCATCAGTTATCTGTACTCCCCTCCTCAATTTTCTCGCTACCATTTTAGTGCAGAGCGTACACAATTCGCAATGGTACAATTTGAAAATGCGAGAGCTTGAGGTTTCGATACGACGTCAGGAAGCTGAGGATCTCGGTCACGGACTCTTTTAGGATTTCTGGAGAACGAAAAAGTGTTTTCTTGCCATTTTGGACGAAGCTTCGGGGCAATAATAATAACCTTGTTTATTTTCTATCGCGTCCACAACGGGCAAACCGAGAACAAAAGCTGTGGGTTGACAGGTCCTCTCCCCCCATTTAAAGTTGGCAACACGAAAGCAAACAAGAACAGTGAAATAAATTAAGGGGGGACATAAGCCTAAATTTTAAATTTTTTTGAAAAAAATAATTTTTTAATTTGAGGTTTTTAGTTTTAGAAACTAATTATACACCCTTGCACCAAATTTGATGACCATACGCCAAATAGTTACGTTGATATAAAATATTTTCAACGCATTGTGAGGCAGTAACAAAGTAAATGTTTGAATGCATTTTTGGTTTTTCTCAGTTCCTCTTTTTGCTGCAAATTTCATACAAAGGAATCTTGTTCGAAGGTGAAAGTATTCCGTTACCACAATCAAGATGTTTCTGAACTGAAATTTACTCAGGAATCGGGCTATCTACTTTATTTTGTTTTAAGTTGAAGTCTTCAGTGAGAAAAAACTAAGTTTTCAAAAATGGACAGATGACAGATATGCATCTCATAGTTTGAGGTAATAACTCTTCCTGAAATATTTACATTTAAGTTATTAAAACTAGATAGCCCAAGGTCCCATATCCCCCACTTTATATTCAAGCAGTCAAAATGGTGCTTAATAGCTTGATTTGCATATCATAGATTTCTTAATGAAAAGTGACACATCATCTTATGCAGGTATGTAAATTTGTCCTAGAGAGCTGAAAGTTTGCGTAGTACACCTACATATGAAGCTAAATCTCCCCTGCGAATTCCATTCCGATCACTTGAGTAGTTCAAAAGTTTGACCTCTAGCCAGTGTCCCCCCTTAACATTTGAGAGCTATATTTGCAAACAACACGGGAATATCGACTGCTCACATTGAACCTCACTCGAACAAAACAATACATACAATCAGTTCATAACAATAGTACATGTGACGAGCATACATTTTCCGTTCGTTACATATACAATACGCTCTAAGAACCTGGTTTTAATGATTCAATAGACCCTTTCCGAAATTCAGTGCCATCTGGTGACTCAAATGGCAGTTTAACTTTTACCGAACTAATGGTGGCAATGAACCTGTGGTCTGCAGTATGTTATGGGGCACCGTCACTTTCACAAGTCAACGGTGAACGAGAATGTGCGCTTTACCGTACAGTTCTTTAATCTCTTTCAGTGTCGATGGCGAAAAAGATGCAACCAGTCGGAACGAAGTGCCAACCCACATAGGTGCCTCGATAAAGTTCTATACTTCAAGGGACTTTGAAGCCGAGTGTGTGCTACTAACAGATTGACTGGGTCCAAGTTAGAAATGAGCGCTTATGCAGCTCTTGCATCTAATTTCTGCTTCACGTCGCGTTAACGTCTAGAATGTATGGGCCTCGAATCATCTGCTTAGGAGCATCTCTAAATTCTTCCTTCATCAGTAAACAGAAGGCTGCCATTAGTATAGCACATATGCCATTTTTCAGATGATGATAGTGATCAAAGTGGCCAGACTGAATTCTGGAAAGGGTCTATTGCGGTTAAGGGGGACATGAGCCTAAATTTTAAATAAAAAAAAATCATTTTTCAATTTTGAGGTTTTTAGTTTTAGAAATTAATTATACACCCTTACACCAAATTTCATAACCATACTGCAAATAGTTACATTGATATAAAACATTTTCAACACGCTGTGAGGCAGAAACAAAGTAAAGGAGTTCAATGTTTGAATGCATTTCTCTCGGTTCCACTTTTTGCTGCAAATTTCATACGAAGGAATCTTTTGTTCGAAGGTGAAATTATTCTTATACCACAATCAAGATGTTTCTGAACTGAAATTTACTGGGGAATCAGGCTATCTACTTTATTTTGTTTCAAGTTGAAGTCCTCAGTGATAAAAAACTAAATTTTCAAAAATTGACATAGGTCAGATATGTATCTCATATTTTGAGATAATAACTCTTCCTGAAATATTTACGTTTAAGTTATTAAAACTAGATAGCCCAAGGTCCCATATCCCCCACTTTATACTCTAGCAGTCAAAATGATGCTTAATAGCTTCATTTGCATATCATAGATTTCTTAATGAAGTGTGACACATCGTCTTATGCAGGTATGTAAATTTGTCCTAGAGAACTGAGAGTTTGCACAATACACCTACATCTGAAGCTAAATCTCCCCTGCAAATTTCATTCTGATCACTCGAGTAGTTTAAAAGTTCAACCTCTAGCCAGTGTCCCCCCTTAAGTGATTTGAAGCACCGAGGTGACTCGAGTGTCGTTACTCCGAAGGGTGGCACCTTTTGTAGCCCTACTGTAGGTTGCTCCGTTGTTGGACCCAGGTCCACCATTTGGGATGTGCGGATGGAGCGACTCCGTCGGACCGTCTTGGTCCACTGGACCAGCTTCACCATCTGGAATGCTGGCAAGCAGGGCCGAAGATTCTACCGCAGCCTGGATCCAGAGAACCGCAGAAAGGTGACACTGCCACAGATCCGTGCCTGGACTATGACCGGGGAGAAAGCATGGTGCTGCAACATATCCTTGGCATCGTTATACTCTACCTCACTGGTTGTGCTACCAAAGGTTGAGAGGGTAAGAGACCAGACCGGTTTTTAAGCCTCTTGCGACCTCTTAGGACCAGCTCCGCTGCAGTGCGTCCGGTCCTAAGAGGTCGCAAGAGGCTTAAAAACCGGTCTGGTCTTTCTCGGTCGTACTCGGTTGCAAGAGTGTGAACAGGCCTTAACCCTTTGGAAGGAGGAACTTCCCTCCCCGTCGCTTTTCACCCTTCCGGAGCATTGGCACAAAAGCAGCTTTCCTCTTGCTCCCTTCCATTGCTCTGACTGAACCGCGTGCAAATGGTGAAATAGACTACAAGCGCCTTTCCAAGTCTTCCGGTAAGCTTTGTTACACAATCACCAGTATGAACCGGAGTTCCCTGGCAGTGACTGCAAGTACAGTTAGCACTTGCCAGTAACCACTAAACGATAATGCTGTCGGTGGTAGAAAGGAAGTTGGAGCGAGTTAAGACTGTAGCTTCCATTTATTAGTAGACACGTGCAGATACTCTTAACTCTGAAATGTCGATCAAATTCAAATAATGGCATATTTAATTCAATCTTTAAATTGAGTTGCCACAATAGACTACTCGCAAAATTCCCTGCACGCAAAACTGTGCGCAGTGCATTATGGGAATCCGTTAGCCATGGAGAGTAGGGGCATGGTTTCGATTGGCCCGTCAAACTAAAATAGCGCATCTTGGCACTGCATTTGCGTCGCACCCACTGATCTTTGTGAGACCCCCGTTGAAACACAGTGCATTGCGGTATGGAACCTGTCGCGTTCGATAGCTCTCTGGCATCCTGGCTATCACTCCCGGCTCACAGATAATTTAAGAACATTGAAAAATGTTCTTAAATGTCACAGTTCGATAAAATTCACGCTTAGCATTGCTTACATTTATATCGCTGACCATTGTTGGGGGAATGTGCAAGGCGTTCCACGAGCGAGTGTTCTGCCACCATTCACTTCCAAGGTCTGCACGAATCATGCGCCGTCCTGCGTTTACCTGCGCACAAACTCCGGCACGGCTCCAGCATTCCATTTATCAGTAGGCAACCCCTACAACGAGTCGCAAATATCTTAAAATGCAAGCACTCCATTTGATCATGATGTGATGTGAAGTGAGATTGGCCAATTGAAAATGAAACTTAGTGGCCAACCCAAGATGCTTCACGCGTGGCATCTGGCCGCTAAGATCACTTCGATTGTGGAAGAGGTGGAGTGCCTCAATGTTGTTTGTTGGCTGCGCCTTGCTGGAGTAAAGATGACTGTCATCTGCTAGCGGAGCAGCCGTCTTGCCTCCCACATGACGCGTCGAGCATATGGAAAAGAGCACGCGGGCGATCGTTTACACGCTGCTTATGCTGTTGCTGAGCATTATCGTCAATAAAATAAAGCGGGACTACTTCAAGAATGTGTTACCGTGCATTCAGTCATGTATGTGCTTGTTATCTGATATAAAATGACTATTTAGTCCGGATATGCCGCAAGTTTGTTGGCAGAAGTGCCATTGGCTGCCGCTAGTGTTGTGGTCTGCTTGTTGCAGGTGGCCGAGCTATGTAAGGATGGTTGATAGCGAGTATGTGCGGTACCATCTAGTTCAACACATTTCAATGTTATTGCATTAACTGAATCCTATGAGAGCGAGTGACCAGCGAGACGCAGTTATGCTCAGCCTGATATTTTTTTAATTTATATTTTACGACAGTAAGGTTTACTTTAGATTAACGTTCATTGCACGATGGAAAACAAACTCGATTGAACTGACAGATGCGTCGTGTTTTTCGTATTCAGCTGCGCTGGGGTCTGCGTTTTAACAAATCTATGGTGTGCTCTTTTTTTGGCATGGGAAGTAACCTACCTTTCTATTCGTAAGTCTGAGTGGTTTTAAATGGCAGGCTATGTAGGATTCAGAGCCTACCTCTCAAACCCTGTGAGGCGGAGCTCAGTAAAAGACATCCGACACCGACGGCTGCTCGTGAAGAACTCCCCTTTACTTCTTCTAAAGAACACGCACGCCTCTCTACACTAAGAGGGCGCCACTAGCTGGACAAATAGCGACCACTACATCTCCCCTTCTTAGAGGCTGCGTTTTCGCTAAATAGTTCTTGCGGCGAAACGCACCCACTTATTGTTCACAATAACCCCATCAACTGCAACGTTTTCAAACTGTCCGCCGTTACAAGTCTAAACGCCTGGGGCGGGTCACGGCTCGTCCGCTGCGAGTCCGATAGGGACTTGTCGACACAGGCGGCCCTCTTGGGTCACTACTAATGTTCTGCTGAGCCGCTATTGGGCTTGGCGGCACACCGTCAGCTGCGGGTGGTTCAACCGGCGGCCTTGGGGTTGCAAAAGGAACCAGTCCCCTGCAGTTGCGCTGAAGGACCGCTCCGCTGTGGTCAGCTTCCACCAGATAGCTGCGGGGACGCTGTCCTGGGCTGAGCACCGTGGCCGGACACTGTTCCGACTGTACCCACACTCTTTCTCCAGGACGAAGAGGAGGCAGCTCGCGGGCTGCATGCCACTGGTTGAAGGCCTGAGCTTGTTTCCGTTTATACAACTCATTCCTCCTTGCCACGCGAGCGGGCGATGGTGGCCGCGGAAAACTTTCATCTTCCTAGGAAGCCGTGTCCTCAACCGACGCCCGAACAGAAGTTGTGCGGGGCTGTCTCCAGAAACACCGGGGGTGTCTCGGTAGCTCAACAGTGCCAAGTATGGATCCTCAGTTTTGGTTAAGAGCTCCTTGAGGGTGCGGACAGCTCGCTCCGCTTCGCTGTTAGATTGCGGGAATCTGGGGCTACTTGTTTGGTGTTGGAAGCCGTAATCTTTTGCAAACTTCGCAAAATCCCCCGATCAAACTGCGGGCCGTTATCCGTTCTTACAGATCGCGGGATACCATGCCGAGCGAAGGCTGACTTCATTGCCGCGATCGTAGCTCCACTCGAAGTGCTGCTTAACGTCAAGACTTCCGGGTACCTCGAGTGATAGTCCACAATAACGATGAAGTCCTGCTTCCTCCAATGAAACAGGTCGGCACCGACGACGTCCCATGGGCGAGTAGGAAAGCTGGACGATATGAAAGGTTCTGCCGGCTGCACTCTTGTCTTGGCACATTGCTCACAGCCGCTCACCAGGGAAGTGATCTGTGCATTGATGCCTGGCCACCAGACAGAGTCACGAGCACGAGCCTTGCACTTGACAACTCCTTGGTGACCTTCATGTATGAGCCTCAGTATTGCCTGTCTTAAGTCGGCCGGTATGAGGAGCCTCGGGCCCTTGAGGAGAATTCCTTTGCACAGTGACAGCTCGCCTCGGACAGACCAATATTTGGACAAATTGACGGGCAGCTTGTGCTTCGTCGGCCATCCAACCTCGCAATAGCGTTTGAGTGCACAGCACTCTCCGTCAGACTGTTGCGCAGCTTGGACTTCCTCGGGGAGGAGTGGAAGGTCAACAGACGTGTCTTCCAGTGCTGCAATTGCAAATGTGTCAAGGGAGTCCTTGCCCTTGTCTTCAGACCCCATTCTCTGCGGAGCTCTGGAGAGTGTGTCCGCTGTTGCCAGTAGTTTTCCCGGCACATACAGCATGCGAAATTGGTACTGCATCAGCTTTAAACGAAGGCGCTGGATGCGAGGAGGCAACATGTCTAACTCCATCTTGCCGAAGAGAGATACCAGGGGCATATGGTCGGTCTCCACACTGAGCTGCAAACCACGTACGAACTCGTCAAAACGTCGTACAGCCCACACCGTTGCCAGAGCCTCCTTCTCTGTTTGGCTATAGCGCATCTCTGTCGGGGTCATGGCCCTAGATGCGAAGGCCACCGCCCTCCTTTCTCCCGAAGGTTGGTCTTGAAGGAGTACGGCACCGATACCGAAGGAGCTGGCATCTGCCGAAACTGTTGTGGGGTACACTGGGTTGTACTTGGCGAGACAGCAGTCTAAACTCAAGAGGTTCTTCACCCGTAGGAATGCAGCCGCCTGCTCAGGACCCCAGGCCCATACGTTGCTCTTCGACAAAAGTGCTTGGAGAGGAGCGGTGACTTCGGAGATGTGCGACACGAAACGCGCAACATGGTTTACCATGCCAAGTAGCCTTCGGACCCCTGCAACATTCTCAGGCCTTTCCATCGCCTGGACAGCCTGAATCTTGCTAGGATCCGGCTTCACACCTTCTGCTGATACGACGACTCCAAGAAAGCTGACTTCGGACACTCCGAACGCGCACTTGTCTTTGTTGAGAGTGATGCCAGCCTTCGATAGTCGGGAAAGTACCTGGTTAAGTCGCGCGTCATGTTCTTCGCGCGGCCGTCCAAAGACAAGAATGTCGTCAATCATGTTGACGCACCCGACCTGTCCTTCCAGTATGCGCGCCATCTGCTTCTGAAAGTACTCTGGTGCCGACGTAAGTCCAAAAGGCAGACGACAGAAGCAGAAGCGGCCAAAGGGAGTAATGAAAGTGGTGTACTCCTGACTTTCCTTGGCAAGTTTCACCGGGTGAAATCCGGAATTTGCGTCCAACTTGGAGTAAACAGTCGCTTCTCCCAGAAGTCCGAGAACTTGGTCCACCGTAGGGAGCATGTGCCGTTCTCGAAGGACGACCTTGTTGAGCTTCGTAAGGTCAACGCAGAGACGGTGACCACCAGAAGCCTTCGGAACGACGACTATTCCTGCACACCATGGGGTGGGGCCTTCAACCCGACGAATGACGCCCTGTCGCTCGAGCTTCTCCAGTTCCGTCCTCACGACCTCTCGTAAGGGAATGGGTATACGACGAGGTACACTCAAAGAGAAAGGAGTGGCTTTGGATTCTAGCCGGATCGTGTACTCGTCGGGTAGCGTACCCAGACCTGTGAAGAGCTCAGTGAAGCCTGGGTTGACGGCAGGCTTGGCTGCAGAATCGAGGAACTTGATGACCTGAAGGTCCTGTATGGCAGAGAAGCCCAGCAAAGGAGTACCGAGAGACTGGATAACATACACCTGCTGCTTGGAAGATCTGCCGTTCCACCACAGCGTCGATGAGAAAGAACCCAGCACTTTAAGCGGGTGGTTGCCCGGTCCATGAATGGCGTTTTCCACCTTTGACAAACGCTTGGGAATCCGAGGGAAATCATCTGGAACAGCCGTCACCTCGGCTCCCGAGTCCACTTTGAAGGACGCTGTATAGTTGTTCACGGTGATGTCAATGTACTTAGCCTTCTCTCCGGCGTCGACTACAGAAAGCTGTAGAGTGCCTACTTTGGCTTGCTTTTTCATGCGGGAGAGACAGACCTCTGCGAAGTGGCCTTGCTTACGGCAAAAGTTACACTTCGATTTGGGTGCGGGACAGTCCTCACGAGGATGAGGTGAACGTCCGCAGAATAAACAAGAACCAGGCCTGCCCGTAGAGACGCGAGACGACTGGTCGTGAGCAGCGTTGGTGGCGTTAGGCTTAGTGCCGCGCCGCTTGAGACGACCTGCGAGCTTGGTCGCGTCAAGATTGACACCTTGACCTCCTGGAGTTTCAGATTGACCCGTGCTTGCCTTGGTTGCCTTTTCTTTGTCGGCGTCTTCGGCTTGGCGCGCTTGTCCCCACGCGTCTTTGAGCGTGAGCTTTGGGTTACGTCCAAGACGGTCAGACAGCTGAGAGCCCGAAGACCGACGACAAAACGATCCCTGACAAGACGTTCCTCGACCTCCGGGGTGCCATAGTTACAGCGCTTTACTAGACGCATCAGCTCCGCGTAGAACGCATCTACGGTTTCCTCTGCTTGTTGGACCCGCCGATAAAAACGCGACGATTCGTATACTTCGTTGACGGGGTGGACGAAGTGCTCGGTGAAACACCGTACCACGGCGTTGTATGGCGCCTCGGCGGACAGCGAAAAGGACTGCAGCAAGCGTCGGGCCTCCGATCCCATGCAGTAGAGTAGCAGACGTACCTGAACATCTTGAGGTGCCGAGGAAAGACCCGATGCAAAGGCATAGTCTTCATACTGCGATAGCCAGGAGGGCCACAGTTCCGCGTTCGAAAAGTCGAAGCTGTCAGGCTGGCGTAAAGCGATGCCCCTCCAGGGTGTGGTATTGGTTGTGCTATCAGAGCTTGCCATATCCCACCACTTCTGACACCATGTAGGATTCAGAGCCTACCTCTCAAACCCTGTGAGGCGGAGCTCAGTAAAAGACTTTCGACACCGACGGCTGCTCGTGAAGAACTCCCCTTTACTTCTTCTAAAGGACACGCACGCCCCTCTACACTAAGAGGGCGCCACTAGCTGGACAAATAGCGACCACTACAGGCTATAGGGCTATTTATAATGGACACTAACATTTGCACTACGGACTTTGAATGACCTATCAAATTGGAAACAAGAAAAACAATATTTGTTAAATTTGTCGATATCGGAAATGGTAAATTTTTATTAAATCATCTTTCCAGTTTCTTTTTTTTTTTTTTGTGGTGGCCCTATCTTGTTCTACCTAGTCGAGCCATAAATCACTTTCCCTAATAATGAGATGCAGGATAAAAAGATATTCCACGAATACCTGTCAGTGCAGACACGGGTAATCTCAATTTACCCTTAAAATACCTTCGCGCAAATGTTGTCCTACAAGGTATCGGTGAATAGGCACAGACCTGCACACATTTTATTTACTTCATAATCAAGAACTTTTGCTCACCTGTTCTTAAAGGGGCACTGAAGTGGTTTTTATAAAAGCTTATTTTTGATGGCATGTTTGTTATGCTTTGGTCAATAAAACTGACCAGTTGTAGACGGCAAGACGTCCCAGTCAACTTGCAGCAATAGAAATAGATGGGCATTATTTTCTCTCAGTCATAAAAATTGACCGATAAAAATAGTGAATTTCGTGGAGATTTCACACATTACTATTATTGCTCTTTTTAGACATTCGTTATATTTTGGCGTCAAATCTTTGGGTTTAGGAGACGGAATACGGCAATTATTGTGTGAAAATGCCGCCTGACAATGGCTCCTGGTGTCTGCTCCAAGGCACAGAAAGAGGGGCGCGTCACCATCTTTGTTTAGATATTAATTAATAGGGAAATCCCATGAGTGTAAGTCTTAAAGCATGAAATGCTTTTTACCGTTACCCCCCAATCCCAAGATTTTGTCCATCGATCCGTGCATTTATCCGCTAAATTTAGTGGGAAAAGTGGCGTCATGCGACATCACATGACCTATACGCCTTGGGGAAATTGACGGCACAAGACCTATGTGGCAACTCAGTTTCCCCGCTAAATTTAATGGGAAAATTTGCGTCTCATGGCCAAAACATCAGTTCAGTTTCCCCTCTAAATTTAGCTGGAAATTGAAATAGCGTGACCTATACACCGATTCACTTCCCCACTAAATTTAGCAAGAAAATTTGCGTCTTGTGAGATTGAAACCGATCTAGTTTCCCCACTAAGTTTAGTGGGCAAAATTGATGTGAAGTGACCTATACAACCATTCGGTTTAGTGGGAAAATATGTCACGTGACCGCCTAGCAGCATTTCCTAGATAGGTGATGTTGTTCCCCGGGTGTTTCGCAGCACTTGATGCATTATAGGACTTCAAAGAGCTGCTGCCATTTTTCTTTATGATGCTTAGAGCCCACAGATTGAGTCGTCACCATAACTAGATCAAAAACCACTCGGGTGCCCCCTTAATATACATTGCAGACAGACCCGCATATTTTGTTTACCATTACGCAACATCAATACTGTGCAGGAGGCAAAATGATGGTCACAGCCAGGAGCAGTTAGGGAAAATGCAAAAACCTAAAAGAGTGGCACTTGCCTTCCCAAAGGACGTCGCCACTCCGGCGTGGTGCAGCCACCAAGCAACACGGAGACACTCTAGGAAGAGGCCTATTCGGGATATTTTTGGTTTCTTAACCCTGTACGTGTACTTCTCCCGCAACGTGGGCGCATCGCTGAGAAGCGGCACTTGCGGCATAGAGCGAAACGGGGCAGTTTGATTCTACTTCAGCTCCATGTACGTGGGGGGGAAACCATCCGTCGGGTGGAACATGCTGTTTGTCTAAAGCTTGTTAAAATGTTAAGTGTCGGAGAAAATCGGAATGTAAAGTTTTTATTTTGAACACTTTTTGTTCACGTTCCGCCCATTGAAAATGTCAGCGAGAGTATGCCCCCGATGTCGCCGCACCACCGGCTCCTGAACCTAAAAAGCACCGCTCAAATTGGTCATTCATTTCGACAACTAATTTTTGTAGCATTAAAACTTGGGTTCAGTTGAGCTGGTCCATACTGAAGCACGCGGTGCAGTATACCGAATGTGTCACCAATGTCGTATAGGAGGTACCACTAAGTTGTGGAGAAGTTTACATTGGGGGCAAGCTGGTTGCTGTTTTAACGACAGAGCACGAAAGCATTATCTTTTTCTGCGCAACAACGTGGGGGCGGACCAGGGGGGGGGGGGGGGGAAGCATATTGCAAATTACTGTGGGAGGTATGCTGGCTGTAGAACTATTTTAAATGCAAGAAAGCTTTAAAAAAAAAAAAAAGTAAAAGATAAATGTGAGAGAGAGATTATAGAGGTGTTTTATATCAAGCAGAGATGACAAATGCGTTAGCAGGCCTTCTCTTTATGTGCTTCAAAAAGAAGCGAGTTTTCTGAATGGCTGCTTGTAAGAGTGGTGATTGGTTGCAATGCAAGTGATGATGGTTTCTAATAAAATTAGTTGAGAGTTAGCGCCTGTCCTGTCGTCTTTGCGTTTTTATTGTCCTCATTTTGTTCACGCTTTTAACCTTTTCATTTAATTTTTGTTATTTGCTTGTTCATCACTACTTGGTGCTGACACATTGATTGTCGACGTTTCCTTAGGTGTTGGCATTCTGCGACGTGGACGAAAAGAAGATAGCCAAGGGAGTGTACATCTACGAAGAGTCAAAGGCAAGTCAAGCAGCACATTGGTAAGGTTTGTCCTAACGCTCTCATGCACTCAGGAAGTACCCAGGCCCAGGGTTCCAATCGTCCACTTCACCGCTGCAAGCACGCCGCTCGTCGTATGCATGAAAATGGTGAGATGACCCAGCACCTGTTCCTAAAGTGACGCCTGAGATCTTACAATCATTGGAAACTCTAAAAAGTAGTTGTGGGAGTCATTTGGATACGGAAGATTTCACTAGTGAAATCTTCTGTATCCAAATTTTGAAAGCAGTTGAATTCCGGAAGGTCGAAGGCGACACTTAAAGGGAAGCTGAAGCGGTTTTAAATATGAGAAGAAACACCCGAACCTAGTTAATTAGATCTCGGCCATCACGAATATTGCATTCATTTCCTCATTTTATGCGCGGCTTAACCAGAAAGGCGGATAGGTTCCCGCTATGCAAACAGATGAGTTTGAGCAAGTACACCGTTTTTGTTTGAAATGTGTTCCGGACGGCACATATGAAAACAGTGTACCGTATTTACCCGCACAATGAACGCACTCGCGTAATGAACGCTGCCCCCAAGTCGGCTCTCAAAATTTCGACTTTTTTCTTCACTCGCGTAATAAACGCACCCCCAACTCGGATGTCAAAATTTTGACCCCCTCCCCCCACGCGCGCGAAATGAACGCACTTTTCTATCCTGGTGCAGCGAGGTCGCGCATGCATGGGTAGCGTGGGCGAACAAAACGCCTTGCAAAAGGCGTTAAAAAAATTCGAGAAGATCCAACGGAAGCAAAAAAAAAGAACAAAAATAGCTTTTTTTTTTCTTTTTTTTTTTTTTTTTTTTTACGGCGCAGTCTGGATTTTGGGTTCGCGCGCCGCCGCGCGCAAGGAAGTAAGAAAGAGAAGCGCTCTAAGCGAACGAAACAAACTGCGAAAGGCGGCAAAAAAAAACAAAAAAACACGGAACTAAAAAAACAAAAACAGGAGCTTTTTTTTTTTTTTTTTCTTTTTTTGCACAGCGATGTTTGGTTACGGGGGGTCGCGCGCCGCGCGCAAGGAGGTAAGAAAGAGGAGCGGAGAAATCCTCTAAGCAAACGAAACAGCTTGCGAAAGGCGGCAAAAAGAAAAAAAAAAAAAGAAACCCACAAAATTAAAAAAAAAGAGCTTTTTCTTCTTTTTTTTTTTTTTGCACAGCGCAGTTAGGTTACAAGGGTCGCGCGCCGCGCGCAAGGAGATAAAAAGATAAGCGGAGAGCCCTCACCTAAGCAACGCCTAAGCAAACAAGACAGATGGTTGAAAAAACCCCGAGACTGCCGGTAAACGACTCAACACTAAAAATAGACTTTTTAGTGTTGTGTCCGTTACCCGCAGTCTCGGGGTTTTTTCAACCATGTGCAATGTACACCAGCTCGTTTGCGCCCTTACTTTTTGTTCTTTAAACAAGACAGCTTGCGAAAGGCGACGCCTAGCAAACAAGACAGCTTGCGAAAAACAGCAAAAAAAAAAAAAAGCAATTCAAGGAACTTGAAAAAAATAAAAAAAATAGGATTTTTTTTTTTGCACAGTTTAGTTTGGTTACGGGGTCGGCGGCCGCGCGCAGAGATAAGTTACTTCGATTTTTCAGGATAAAAAGTCCCTTCATTATGCGAGTAAATACGGACGCAAAAAGTTTACCTCGCGTAATGAACCCCGCCCTAACTTTGCATCGATTTTTCGGAAAAAAAGTGTGTTCATTCTGCGAGTAAATACGGTACGTATGGGTTTGGGTCTGAAGAAGGTTTGCCTGAACCCGACACTCTGCCGACCATTTTTGGAGGTAAAAAGGCCATTTAGCGCATTAAAAGGCACACGCAAAGGGGAGACAAAACTAGGTAGGAACAATAGGTTGGCTGTTCCAGAAAAAAGCTATCGCGTTATTAGTTGCCTGCAGTGTACTGGAAAAGCCGCAATCATGCAGCCAAATAGCGGACTTGCATTGGCTTTTTTGTGCTAACCACCATTAGTGTTAGCCTTTTTTATATCGTTGAAGAGACCATATTTTCTGGACCCAAGATCTCTTGTTTTTTAATCTACCCAGTCACTTGGGACAGGAGGGCTCGTTGTAACAGCTGGTCATGCAATTCATCATACAACTTTCATGGTGCAGCTTGTTTTAGCATGGACTTTTTTTTTACAGCTGCTGATAGTATTTGAGCCCGCATATTTTTTAAACGTAAACATAAATTGCGTTAAATTTTCCTTCAATAGGTACAGTCTCCGACAATATGAAAGACTCACTGGGAGCGCATGGCCGAGGCGGTGGCTGGCGGGGGCGCTGCGAGCGCTCCGGGCAATTCCATTCTGCTTCGAGGAAAGGACGCTCACTCGGGCTCAGCTAAAGCGAAACGCGCTTATCAGATTGTGCTGAGCCCCGAGTGAACGTCCTCCCCTCGAAGCAGAATGGAATTGCCCGGAGCGCTCGCAGCACCCGCGCCAGCCACTGCCTCGGCCACGCACTCCCAGTGGGTCTTTCATATTACCGGAGACTGTATATATTCTCTTGAAGATTGCTTTTTGGAGATACAAAGCATGTAACATTCTGTTGTAAATTTTTTTTTTTTTTTACACTTTATGCAGTGTTTTTTGTATACACCAACTCATGTTTACAAACAAACCGGAGCACCCGAAGCACCCCTAGCACACGCCACCGGCGCCGCGCATGCGCGATGGGGGTGTGGGCAAGAAGCTCGCTGTCGCCCATAAACAAACCATTGAAATGCGATGTTGTCGGCGTCGGTGCGAGTCCCCGCGTTCCTTTTGGCGTTGAAATTGTTGATTCTACGTCCTCCTAACGATATCTGACTACTTGAGCAGAGTCAGCGAAATTACCGAGGCTCGTTACACCGCAAAACTTCGCGTGAATCATCTGACATGCGGCGATTCATTCCGCGTGGACGCCGCAGAATGTACGCTAAAGCCCGATTCACATGATGAGATTTCGCTCACAATTTTCAGTAGCGACGTCGCTCGGACTGCAAAAGCGTGAACCGTAGCTGAGATCTCGACATCGATACTGAAAATTGCAAGCAGAATCTAACCAAGTGAATCAGGCATTACAAGTCGGTGATGGCCACTGGTAACAATGATCAACACCTCCTTGTATCTACTGTTTACGTCCAGCCTGCTTACCAACCTTCAAACTTAAAGTTTTTTGAGGCCTGCACTTACTTCTTATCGCAAGTACCAGGCCCATGTTTGGTCTACGGGCCGGTGTCCTCTAAAAGAGCAGACGACAAGCAGAAACGTTTGAAAGAGCAGACGACAGTTCGAACGATCAGGCGGCTGTTTGAACTTGAAGACGCACTGAACGTAGTCTGCAGGTGGTCCGTACAACTTGACGGTTTTCCGGCGCTCATTTTGGAACAAAACAAATAAATTTGATGACCAAAGTATCCGTGAATTCAACCCAAAATGCTTCCCGTTCAAGCAATCGTGGTCCGACGGCGTCTGGTTTTCCCTTTTCACGGCACATATCCGCGTTCTCGGACGAACCGAGCGCATGAAAACTGACCTTCAAATCTTTCTCGACACTTTTGGTACAGCCCCAGTCGCAGCATTTTGACGAGAAGGCAGGTTTTTGTCTGGTTCCTTTCAAAACAACGCAGGAATACACGTCTCACATGGGCACTTCCGCCCACAGCCCCGGACTGGAAGTGTGTCCGACGCGCCACCACCGCGGCGTGACGTAACAGAGATGAGTTCGTGTATAAAGTTTGTGTGTCATGTAATGGTTCTTTGTGCCATAGAAATGCGATCGGACGATAATAATGTTTGGTGGTGTAAATGCACTAAATCAATCTTAGGAGAAGTATGTGAATGTAGAGGCTCAGGAATCTTTCACGAATTCGTCATTGAATTGAGGGCTGCCATCAAATGAAGGCCGATGTGTGCCAAATTCTCGTCTGACCGTTTTGGGGAGGGTCACTCTAACCCAGCCTGACGCGTCCTGTCAATAGCACTTTGTTTATTGTCAATGTTTTATGTTACAGTAAGTAGCAGTCGGTACGTTCCTGAATGTATGAAGTTCGCATTGGCGCAGGCGGTTCCTCGTGTCTGCCTGTATTATTGCTGGGGGTCATTTTTCTGCTTTGCCAATGGCCGGAATGCATACTTTGTCACGTCGAGGTTCTCTGGACGCATTCCCTTTCCGGATCCTTCGAAATGTTCAGAAAAATCAGAAGCCAAACCCGGTTTACAAGAGCAGAAGCCTCAGCACGCCCGACTACTTCCGCAAGCAACGGAGCAAGCGAGAGTCGAGATGGTCCTTTTATGACAGTGGCGCTTCACGTGTGACTGGCCTTCTGTTTTATTAACTTTTTTTTTTCACGTTTAGTGAATATTTTGGGTCAAACGGTCGTGACGTTTGGACTCAGCAGGCACAAACATGTCAGAATCGACCATCAACTCATTTTTTTTTTAAAAGCTCTTCAGCTACTCTTTACGTGAACTTGGAGTTTGGTTTTAACAACAGATTTATGTTGCTGGTATCTTTTCAGAGTGGCCGATACAGTTAGTGGGCATTAGAGACGGCATTCCCTATATTGGAAACCAATAAAATAGTCCGTTAAGTAGAGTATGGCGGTGCCCTTAAAATAGAAACTGAAAGAACGCCCCCTAATCAAATATTATGATTACTTTTATGGTGCCACAGCCAAAACATGAAGTCGAAGTAAACGATCGTTTCGGCGCGACTCCGTCGAATGCGCAGCGGCGAGTTTACACTTTGAGGAATGCTTTGGCCGTGCGTGTAGCCTCAGTGGGAGCACATACCAGCGTGCGCTCACCACTACAAAAGTTAAAGGAAGATCCATTGGTGGATCCTTAGCATGACCCTTGAAAAACGCCACACACGTCCCTTATGATTTTCTCTTTTGCGCCTTTATTTTTTGCTGCCTCTTTTTCGCGTCGTTACGGGGTCCCAAAGAAGAACACGTCTGGCATTTCCCAAGGGTCACGCTAATGCATTCCGTAAGAATCCACCATTGGATCCTCCTTTAATTTTTGTAGTTGAGACTTGCCCCAGCGTCTGCGCGTGCATTGGCTTCTGCCCCGTGACGTCGTCTCCCTCTCGCCTTTGTCCTTCACTACTCTCCTCCTCTCTACGCGGCGCTATCCGATCCTTGTCGCAGCGAGTGCGTCTTAAATAGAAGAAGTTTGAAGTATCCTTCAATTTTCGAGTCTCCTCCACTTTTAGAAAAACTTGGGTAATTTTTCCAGGCGGTCACGTTCATTGTTTGTTGCAAGGGGACGGGCACTTGCAGGCGACAAGTGTTGCTCGAACTTCGATGCTCTGTTTCTGTTACGTATATGTTATTAGTGGGGTTGTTTCAAGTGTGTTTCTACGAGTAGGACACATTGTGGCATGTTCTGCTGCAGGACCTGACGGATGGTTCCTTCGAAGCCAACCTGGCCTCCCTCAACCTGAAAGAGGGCGTGGACTACATCCATTTTGCCTGAAATCTCGCGTAAATATTTGATAATTGATGGACATTTTCCCAAGTAAAGCCGCCTAAAAGCTTCTCAAGCCGGACAGAACTGTTACCCACAAACAAGCTGCAAGACCCTGTTACAGACGGCATAGACCAGGGGTGGCCAGGCTGACCCGACCTAAGAGCCACAAACAAAACCACAGTTTCAAGGTTTCAAAGGAAAAGGTTTTTTTCTACCTTGGGGGAAACTTGCGAGTGCATCCGTTCCGAAAGATCTCCCGTTTGCATTCTCCAGATGCATTCAATATCCCTCGGCTAACAAACTACTGCTGCACACACTATCGCTTCCAAAACTTCTTTATTGCTGTCCTGTCCGTCGTGGTCAACAAAAATAAAACAATGGAACTGTGATCGATTGATACCTGGAGTGCTTCACAAGGGTCTATGTGCTTTGAAGGAAAAAAAAACAAAAAACAAATAAAAGGAGCTTTTTTTTTTAAATTGTTTTTAAAGATTTTCTTTATCATCTGGCCCTGGAGGATTTCGGTAAAATATAGGTCTCTTACCTTGAGGTATTGGTTTAAAATTATAGTGAGGTATTTATTAAATATGTTAAAGGGATACTACAACTAAATTTCGGCGCTCATTTTTTGGTCTATGTGTGTTCAAACGAGCAGCATCACATCGAACGTACCAATATCTTGTTAAAAAAGTCACGAAAAGGAATTTTAAAACAAATTAAACGATTAGCAAAGAGCACCTGGTGGATGTCGCTAACGCCTCGTTTGTAATGCCAGTCTAGGACCCCTGACAGCCAGTGACGGAGGTTGTCTCGCCTCCGGCCACGACGAGAGAAGAGGGGCAGGAGGAACTCCCCTCTCCCCGAGAATGCCTTTTGTGTGTCGCAGAAGTCGCTATTGTCCCCCTACAAGATTACAGAAGATTAACCCGTCACTCAAAATTCGTACAAAAGCAGCCGCTTCGGTGGCTGGAACGACTAGGCCATCCTCTCGACGTCAGCCTCGCCGTAGCTTTGCTCGTCCTGAGACGACCTACGTTACGATTGCGTTGGATGTCACGTAATCTCCGCTGGGCCTTCTCCGAGCGCTTGCCAGAGTGGGCCGTTCATAGTAAAAAATACAGCCACCATGCTCAAAATACAAACATGCGATTGTCATTTACGGATATTGTGGATCATATTCAACCTATTTTTGAATACGACGGGAATATTTCAAGTTTCGTTGAAGTATCCCTTTAAATATGGCATCAGCTTTCTTAAAGTCCTCCTACAATTTGTGAAAAATAGTCTTGAAAGTGAAAAATTTGAAGGTGTCGCAAATTACTTTTAAATTAGCCTAGCACTTTCATTTTCACCTTATTAGATTATGCAGACCTTACAGTTTACAGAAATGTGCTGAATTGAGTACTTAGATTTGAAAATGAAACTTCCAATAATAATAAAATCAATTAATCTACATCAAAACCAAGCACATTATTGTAGTCGGATTGTAATGGCACATAAGCTAAGCTGGGCAATTGATAGATTAACCTATCGATTAATGCTTTAATCGCGATTAATATTAACCGGTTAACCTCTCAATTTTGACGAACCAAAATAGAATAAAAAATCTAACTCTTTCACCACACAGACCTGGGCGAGACACCTGTATGACGGGCACACTTTAGGTAAATTTTTAGCCTCAAGTAAACTGACTGTAGGGGAGATTTGCAACTTTTGACAAGTACAGAGGTTTACTTGTGTCCCGACCACTTCAACGCCGTTCGAGTGGCCGTTTAGCGCAGCAGAGACTATTGTAAACAATCGAAGGAGGCTGGTTGGAGAGTATCAACAAACCTCTCTGCCCTGCATCAGAAATTGTATATTACACCGTTTATCACAAAAACAGCAACGACAAAATATAATAATTTTGACTTAAAAAACATTATGCATGGAAATGAACGAGTCCGATTAATCGATTAAAGGGTGGCGAATAATCGGGTTAAAAGTTTTAACCGACGCCCAGCCCTAGTATTGTATCAGAACAGTGTTGGGTTAACAGTTTACGGGCAGTGCCATATATTTACAACTAAAGCTAGAATCAATTAAAAAAAGAAGAGTTAAGAATATTGGTTACCGAAGCGAAGAAACTGATCTCTCGGACTACCTATATGCATAAAGAACAGGGAATGTAAGGTTTCAGAGATCAAATGAAGTATGATATTATTATAAAACATTTTTTAAACAAAGAAGCTACCGTAGAATACTGCACATCCGCCCATTCCACACTAAGCGGCCATTTCCAAATGTTTAAGATTTGAGAATATACATGCAGATTTATATGTAAAATTGATGACCAGACAAGCGCCCATCCCCCATTTTTTCGCGATTATCTCTAAATTTTGAGCGGGCGCTTGCCCGGTATTTTATGGTAGGCTGGAAAATGTAAAAGAAAGGACATTAAGATTGAATAATTTGTTGAACCATTTATGAGGTAAAAATATGGAGAGGCCACAAGGAAATATTTTGTACCTAAGCTTTTTAATAAATTGCCGGATGAGCTAGTACACAAAATCCCCCAGAATAAAAAAAAAAGAACTAGCAAAAGGATGGTAATTGAGCCGGGAAAGAAAGGACCGATAAAATGTAATAGGAATAGATGAAGTTTCCCCAAAAACGCATAATATAAAAGGTTCTCTTTTCTCTTCATTTATTAGAATTACCTAGTAAATCACGAATGCTAGTATTCTTTACAGTATTTAAATACTAATTCAGTATTATTGGACGTGTTTTACATATATATTCTTCAAGTTAGAGGAATTAATATTAGCTGTAAAAGGAGGTGGAACTGCAGTAATTAACATTTGGGGTATATTGGTATGCTCGGTTGTTTTTTTGTTATCTGCGCAATAAAAAGCAGAGGCTCCTGTTGCGTCCCACGCACAAGCCATTATTGGCTTATGTGGGTTTTATATTGTATTGTTTTCAAAGAAAGTAAATAAAGATGGTTTTGTATTGTATTGAGTAGTTATTAGAAAAGGTGCCAAATTCCCTCTCCGATTTCTGAATTTGGTGCCGTTTGCACTGCATGGCTTGTGGCACCCAAGGGGGTTACATGTGCTGGGAGAGAGCATGACGTCTGCCCTGTAGCTTCCACAGGCAATCCTCTCACGAAGGAGTGCCCTCTCCTTAAATGGAAGCCGGAGAGGTCCTTGAATTTGAAGAAACAGTAAGTTTCTTCAAATTCTTTTGAAGATCATAAGATCAAAAGTTTTCTTTTGATCTTATTAGTAAGAGCATCGTAATAACCAATTAAAATTTTAACGCAGACCTGCCCGTTGTGGCGCGCCGAGGGTAGGGAAGCACGAGTGGAGAGAAAAACCAGCAGAAGTCACGTCATCAGCAGGGTCAGATGACCCTTCCTTGCTAGTAAGCTGCCAATGTATAATCAACTAGCTCAGCTTATCCCCGTCGTAAATAGCTTGTTTGCCCCAAGTGCCCTGGTATCCCACACGAGACTTTCAGAGAGTAATAGTTATAAGCTTTTTATTGTCATCAGACAATTTAGTAGATGGAATTTTCATCTCAATTCAGGCACAAGTTTAAAGTCAAATAAATGTTTAATTAAAAAATTAAAATTAATATGTGCTGGGGGAATTCCTGACACGAACGACCGAGCAAGGTGAAAACTGGCGTTTCTTCCACCTGTTGAAGATTACATGTTTGACTGCTCGCTATTCTTTCACCTCTCACACTACTGCACTAGAACTCTTCTGTGGCACTTTAAAAATAGATTTTATGACATGTAATAAAGAAAAGTATTTTAGAATAATTTAGAAAAAAAAAGTCAACGATTTTTGCCAAAGTTTGGGAAGTTCTTGCATGTCGACCAACATAACATAAAGAACCTTGATATCACCAAAAAGCCGGAATCTAGCTCTTTTAGTGCATATAAATTTAATAATATATCTGCAAAATAGGTGTCCCTCCAAAAAATTCACAGGGTATTTTTCACTCTAAAATAAACTACCGTAAAATCCCAACAGGTGCCTTGCCCCCAAAAGATAGCCCGCCGCCTGTTTTTGGGTTGATTTGCTATATTTTTCTGAACACCTAAGGATAGCCCACTCTTAGCAATAGCAGTGTTGTGATCTAGGATGGCCTCGGCATAAATGCAGTTTATTTAGCTATGGCGGGGATATAAGCAAACGTTGCTGACTGGGAAGTACAGAAATCTTTGCTTCACTGCCCCTTGCCACCATAACAATCTTGGAAGAGACATGACCTAAAAATAGCAATTTTTATTCCTCTAGTATCGCAAATACAATTTCAAAAGTTTATTATGCAAAAATCAGCGTTTTAAATTACAAATAGCGCTAGGACGAGGACAGACGAAGAAGTGGACAGGACGAGGACAGGCGTCTGTCCTCGTCCTAGCGCTATTTGTAATTTAATATGTATAACCAACTAGCCCGCCAGAATATTTTAAAAATCAGCGGCGGCGAAAAAAAAAGTTGCTAACTAAAAAGAGTGCTGCCATCTATGATCAGCCCTGCAAACTACTCGGACAAGCCTAGCTCGTCCGTGGAATTGAGGGCTACAGAAAAAACCACTGGACGAGCTCAGCTCGTCCATGGCATTTTTAATCAGAAAGCGGCCGACGAGCTCTGCTCAACCGAGGCACTTAAAGGGTTAAGAAAACTGCGCGCCTGGTTTGCCCAGTTCTGCTCCAAGAAGTGAAGCAACTCCAGAAGTCCCTCAAATCGGCCATTCATGTGGCCTACACCAGCCATGTATGCCACATTGCCAAGAAAAGAGGATCCCAAAATGTTTTGGGCAAAGGCAAGTCAACCTACGCCGCAGGCAACTACCGCCCAGTACCACTTACATCGATATTGTGCCAAACATTTGAACTAATGGCCAACATCAAGTTGCTAGACTTCGGTGAAGACAATGATCTCCTTGCTTTCACTTAGCACGGCTTTAGAAAGAACAGGAGCTGCGAGACTGCGCGAAGACCTCGATTGTGGCATCTAGACAGACTCGATACAGCCAGACGAGCACACAGCAGACAGATCACATGACGTCTTTATTGAATTCGACGTTACCCACCGATTAGAGAAGGGCAACATGAGTAGTAGACCCTTTCCGAAATTCAGTGCCATCTGGTGGTTCATATAGCAGTTTAGGTTTTGCCATACCAATGGCCGTAATGAACTTGCATTTTATCAGACACCGTCACTTTCGCAAATCAACGGCACGCGAGGAATCGTTCAATGTGAGTTCTTTCTCGATCACTTTTAGTTCGATGGTGACCAAGAACCTGCAGTCAGAACAAAGCCCCAAACCACACAGACGCCTCGGTAAAATTCTATACATCAAGGGGCTTTAAAGCCAATTGTGTGCTGCCCACAGCTTGACTGAATCCGAGTTATTAGAAATGAACGCTTACGTAGCTCTTGTGTTCCGTTCATACATTGCGTCGTGCTAACCCCCCGAATATACAGGCTCCGCATCATCCGCTTAGGAGCATCTTCAACGTCTTCCTTTATCAGTCACTAGAAGGCCGCCGTTGGTATGGCACAGATGATGTTCCAGTGATGATGATAGTGATCAAAGTGGCCAGGCTGAATTTCGGAAAGGGTCTATTACTCCGGAGTAAAGAACCTGCTTATGGAACGCCAGTCCCGACGTCATCGAGCAAGCTCGAGCAAGTTTTGAAACGCCACGGTACGAAACCTTTACTCCGGAGTAGGACCAAGTTGGAACAGAGCCTGGGAGGACACAGACTGAGGTGAAAGGGTGTTACGTGGGGAGACTCCTCACACCGTGTCAACATGTGCATGTGCTTGGCAGGTGGCCAATGGGGCATACAGAGCAACAGGTGCAGATGTGGGCATCTACCCTTTCACTACTGGGGCCATCCTTCCCCTTCACTTGCTCTACTTTCCCCAGTCTCGAGGCGGCGATGAGCAGTGCCATGCCAGAAACAGACGTGAGATTTGGGTTAACTTCCACTAGGATGCAATTTCGCATTAATAAATCTCTCGAGGGCTGCCATTGGAAAACTGCCAGAAGAGCTTCCAACCACAACTCGACCATAAGGTGTTTCCAGAGTCTATTTTCGGCATCCGGTCCGTACCTCCCCCGTAAGCTGAGTGCATTTCCTTCGAGTTGCAGCTTGCAGCCTGCCAAGGATCTTATCCTCCAATAAAATTCCAGAGGGAAACGACTGCAATTGGCAAACAACTTGAAAGTGAAAAGTTTTGGTAATCCGTATGAATTGCACGCAACCCCCTCGTACTCAAAATGATCGAGGGAAATGAATGGGCAAACCGTCGGAAAGGCGTATCCGAAAGCCGTTTACTGGTGTCTGTTCTGTACAGGGCTCATGGGGGGGGGGGGTGCTTAGGCCTCCTGGTGCGGGGGCGTTCCTCCGGTGGGGTGCAGGTGCCTGTGGATCATCTCCTCCTTGGAGATGAGGTGGCTAGTCTTGCTCAGCAGGGCCATGAGGCTGTTGAGGTTGCGCGACCAGTCGTTCAGCACCTCGTTGGGCTCCTGGTGGCGGCTGAAGCTGACCACCCCGTCCAGCCGGTCCACCTTGGCCCACACCCGCTTGGCCACCACCAGCTCCGACAGAAGCTCCTCCGTGCCCTGCAAATGCCATGGGTCCTCTAGTCTGCAGCTCCTCCGTTTCACCCTAATTTGGCGAAGAGCTAATGCCGGGGCCTCTTCGAGCAAAATGACGGGGGCAAAGCACCGCTCAAGACGGCAAGGGCGTAACCTGTTGAGGGTACCCTCTTTTGTGCGTTCCAATCGCTTTTTTTCCTACTTAGCCTGTCGTTAAAAAATTCAAACAAAAATGGCTCTTCTCTTTTCTGCCCGTGGCTCTAACAGTAGCGCGTGCAACTAGTGAGAGTACGCTCACCCCCCTTCCACCCAAAATTCATGAAAAAAAAAGTGGGGTGGACCATGTCTCTGCGGGCAAGTGCGAAAAGTTTAGAAAAAGCTAAAAACAAAATACCCACTTATTTGTATGTATTTAGCGCAGCTGCACAGGAGATACATTAAACTAAAAGCTCGAATTACAGTATTTACTCAAATGTAACGAGAGTTTTTTTTTTTTCAAAATTTCCCTCACCTAATTTGGGAGTTCGTGTTATAATCGAAACACCTCAAAATTTGCCTTGGCGGTGTCGCAGCACAGGCTCTTTAAAATGGCTACGACAAATCTCGCGATTTTTCAATATTGTGCTGGCAACATATACACGCAGGCAACAGCCAATCCAATCCTATTCTTGTGCGACTCGTTGCGCCCATGTTAGGGTTAGCACCTATGTGCCCAAGCACGACCTAGTCCCTGCGTTTTGCAGGCTGCTGCGTCGTGCTTCTGCGACTGGACTCGAGCAAATGGCAACGCGACAAGCTCAGTACGATGCCCGCTTTAAAAGAAGAGCAATTCTGATGGCTGAGGAAATCGGAAACTCTGCAGCGGCTTGACGGCTAGATGTGACAGAATCGACTATTTGTAGGAGGAGGCTCCAGCGTGAAGTGCTCTTCAAGTGTGAGCCCGGCCGAAAAGGCTTCCGGGGACCTCATTGTGGTCGTCACCAATGGCGAAAGCGACGAGTAAACTCATTTTATTTTTAGAAACTGCAGGTGTTGGCCACTATGTGCAACAATTAAAGGTACTTGTTTCACCTCACTTTACTCGCGTTACATTCGTGTTCTGTTTTTCTTTTTGGCGCTGTGAGAAGTCACGCCTCACATTACAATTGTGGTCGCGTAGTTTCACTGTTTTATACAAGAAATGCCCCCGAAAGGATGTTTATACTTTTGCGAAGTCCGTTGCTTGCATATGTGCGATAACGCCACCGATCGGCATACAGCGCAAACATTTGTTCTGTGAAAGCACGTTTCTAAAACTGATATGTTCCCTCCATTAGGCATCTTAGCCTTTGCTTATCTCCAAATTAAAAAATTAATGGAGTAAAAAAAGAAGAGAACAAAAGAAAGCAAAACCAACCAAGCACAACGAGCGAGCATGCAGTCAGGCGAAGCAGGCAAAATTTAACTCGGGTAGTAGAGCACTCTACTGGGAATGGAGAGGTCCCTGGTTCGATACCAGGACCAGCCAGATTCTTTCAGCCACGCAACAGTCAGCTAGCTGTGTTTTGAGATTTGTGTTTGTCCCTTGTCCCCGTTCTCCAGGGATTATCATGATTCTTGTCCAGCTCGCTTGCACCTCTGCATTAATTGCATCATTATCTTGAGGACAACTGCCTTACACTTTCAAAAAGTGGTGCCAAAAATAAGCCTTCGAGGTCTCAGCGAGCCAAGGACGCAAGTGGCGATTCAGTTGGGCCGATGCGAGACAGCAATGCCCAAAGGGACACCTCTCTCCTCTACCTCGGCTAGCAGAGATGCATTTGCAACTGCTCGTAACCACTTTCGACACTGGTGCCATCTACCCTGGAACACTTCTGGTGCACACATAACTTGAGCCAAGGTTTCTGCGGTACTTGCAAAATAAAATCCATTTACCATCTAGGAGGCCCTTATAAAATTGGCAGAATTATTTGGAGCCCACGGTGCATATACGCAGATGGGAAGCGTTCCGAGGCTACGGATAGACGGCCCAGTCCACCGTCCTAAAAGGAGCCCTGCAATCCTACTTAAGCGTCTACCTTTTTTGCGGTTTCCATGTCTCTTGGGGTTCGGGCAAGCCAGCGGGCACGGAGAGAGTAACTAAATATCAGTGCATCATATTTTAACCGGACGACGCAAAACTTTCCTCCACCTACAGGGTGATTCGCGGTGCCGAATGCGTGCAATATGTGACGTCTTTGGCCCTGGGCTTACTACTTGTCAGAGCCGCTAAAAGCTTCTTTTTCGTCTAAATACAAAATATAAGTGGTGCAAAACGTTTCAATCATTTATAAAATGTAGTTTTTGTTCAGTATTTTATATTAAAAAAATGAAAGCCGTTTACAACTCCCTGTAACACCGAATTGGATCGCAGCTCTTAAGGAGGAGGAGGGAAGGGTACTGAGGGTCACCTGTTCTCGGGGCGAGGGGGGGTCATGTGACCCCCCAGAAAAAATTTTCCGCTAGATTTAGCGGGGAATATTTTCCGCTAGATTTAGCGGGGAAGTTTTTCCGCTAGATTTAGCGGAGAAATTTTTCCGCTAGATTTATCGGGGAAATTTACCCATAATGCACCGCGCGGTTACGCCGACAGCGATGGCGACGCTGACGCCGCTCAAGCCGGAACCGGGCCCCTAAGAGCTGCGCTCTAAAACAAATCCAGTTTATAAAGTATGGAAACAAGAAATGACCTGTCGACATACCTGCCACCAAGCGGTGGAAAAGGTGGCGCGCATACTAGAAATGTGTAGTGGGATCAGGCGCCAATGAGTGGCCAGCGTATAAAGGTCCCGGATATACATGGCGGCACTGCAGTCGAGGATCCGACCGGTTCCAAAGGTCTCCAGTGACGAGCAGGTTTGACTTGCGGTTTGGCCATTTGGCAGTGTGAAGCGGCTCCCGTTCTGAACTGAACTTTACCCTGTGTTTGCTGTCGTTTGTGGCCAATGAAGTGTCATGCCGAGTCAATGTTTAATCGCGCAGCAAATGCAATGCGAGCTGCCCTGGCTGCCCGCTTCATACAGCCTATCCAGAACACGCTTCAATGGCGCCCTCTCGAGCCGTCGACATGGAGTGCAGCAGCCGTGAGCGCTCGCTGAGCTCACTACCCCTCCTCTAGTTCACGGCCACTCAAGCAACCAGGGACGTCATGAAGGAGATTATTTTTTGCTTGTTTTTGTCAGTTTAATTTGCCTGTAAGTTTTAAAGGGGCCCTGAAAAGGAAAAAAAAGTTTTTTAAAAACAGTCTGGTTGAGACACGCGTGTCAAAAAATAAATTTTATCCGAAAAAAAATTTTTTTAGAGCAATATTGACTGCGCCAGACGCAATTTAGTCGGTAGTCACCTCCTTTCCACCTTTCTCTCTCTCGGCACTTCGGGCGTGTGGAGGAGAGGTAGTCCCTGCATCTCGTAATGGATCGGCTTGGCTGCTTTCCCTGCTCGGCTCTCGTGCGGGGCGCACGAGAGCCACTCCTACTTCCTGGCCGTGTTCCAAAATTTACTCGATCTTTCCCCAGGGTAAGGGTTTTGTACCCTTGGCGTCCTAAAACCTACCCGCGTACAGCGTTTTTCAATCTGTGCTGTCACGTGATACGATCTGCCGGAGAAACTCTGATCCATTTGGAGATTTGGAACACAGCCCCTGGCCGGCTGTGTCTGCCGGTCGCACGACGTACCGCGTCGTATCGTGCTCGTACCGTGGTCACCATGGTGCCGTGGTCGTACCCACAGTACATAGTTGTCGCGGTGGGCCCCGACCTGAAGCGTCGGTTGCTTCAACGCTGCTAGCAGCTGGGCCTTCGCCTGTACAAGGACACGCCTTGCCAGCCGGAAGGGGTCCGCTCCGATCGCCGCAAAACAACCGCGAGGCACCCGCTTCGCCGCGTCGAAGCGGGTGCCTCGACGAGTTCGTCCGAGCCGCACGATCCTTCAAGCCGCCGCGAGGACACGCAGTGGTAACTGATTTTTTATTAAACGTTGAGTGCGGTGCCGCGTGCCTCACTAAACTCCCTTTAAGGGAACCGACATATAAACAAAAATTGGCACTGGCGCGCGCCAGGAAACAAACAAAAGATGGGGTAAACGGGACACACGAATCGCGCAAAGAAGAGCAGAAAAACAGAAACCTGTCACCCCGTGCCACTTACTAAGTACTTACGATGACTGACTAACACAAGCCCTCATCAGAACGCGAGACGCGAAGACGGCGACCATGACAGAAAACAAAATGGCGAAGCTTTTGTTTGTTGTTTTGTTGTAGTATCCGAACGGAAGTTACGATTTTGTAAAACGTTTGTAAACAATTGCGACATTCATTCGATGGATTGTTTCTTAAACCTAAAAATATGTAATTCAAAAGGCGATTTCAAGAGATCACAAAGATTTTATAACCAACATCTAAGCTGTCACTCATTCTATTGGCCAATGAGAAGCCGATTTGAATGACCATGGTTACCAATGAGAAGCCGAGCTGAATGACCTGGAATTTGCGCGCAAAATTTCAAATAAATCTCTCGTCGTCAATATTGCTCTAAAAGAATTTTTTTTTCGCGTAAAATTCATTTTTTGACACGCGTGTCCCAGCCAGACTGTTTTAAAAAAACTTTTTTTTTTCTTTTCAGGGGCCCTATAAAACAAAGCGAAATTCGAGAAAAGAAAAGTTTCATTAAGTTACTATGGTCAGTGCGCTCAGGTTCGGTGCAAATTAAAAAAACACTAAAAAGGTCCTTGCAGGGCCCCTTTAAGGGAGGGCACTACCCAGAAAAAACAATTTCTGCAAAAAAAGTTAATTTTGAATAAATGCCATATTTATATCCATCAAGCGGTTGGAGCACTTTGAATGCATTTTTCTCCGTTCCACTTTTCGGCATAAATTTCACTTTAGGAAAACTATAGTTATCCTATTACACACACAGTAGAGAATTATTCTTGGGTGGTTTCCTGGGACAGAAATTTGTGTGGGTCATGCCTGGCTGGTTAGTATTTCTACTTTAACATTCTTTCATGCTAAAAAAAGCTACATTTGTTAAAAAGTGCAGACATGAAAAAATCTTTAATTTTCTTATGGAGTTATACTTATGAAAAACAATGTTTCCCAAGCGAACACACTGACTTTCATATTGTGACATCCATAACAAGTTTCAGAATTGACATGGGACAATGACATTTGGCAAGGATGGTCTTGCCACTCGTATAAACTTCCACTGCTGCAAATTTGATTGAAATCAAGCAAGCGGTACAGAAGCTGACTTTTCTGAGTAGTGCAATGCAGTCCATCGCACTCAAACCCGAACGTGTGCGCCGGTTTTGTAGCCACAGATGGCGTGCTTCTCGAGCACAATGGGCGGCCGCGATGAAGAGAGGAAAGCTCACCTTCTCCGAGAGGTCCAGAAGCTGAGACATGCGCTGCAGAGTGATGCGTGTGTAGTACTGGGCCATCACACGGATGTTCTGCAAAGGAGTGTGTCGTCCCAGAATTGTTAACCAGCAAAGTAGCTTCTCCAACTGAAATGTTTTCCTACTTAAAAGCCAGCCAAATGTATGGCTTCGCTTAGGTTTCAGCGTGGTATGTACAAATGTCAACAGGTATGTTTTCTTAGGTACAAGAGGTTTAAAATTGGAGATTTATTTCGAGGGGCCATGAAATAAATTTTATAAATGAATTTAGATAGGGATTTCACTAATAGCATATCGATCAGCGGGCCAAAAGAAAGAAAGGTAGAAAGTCAAAAGCCTGCTTTTCAGTACAAAGGTTTGAAAACATAGCGGACAATTTCATACCTTCTTTCTTTCGAAAGCTCTCTGCCTCTTCACTGTGATACATCCGCCTCACTACATTCCGTTGAGCCCTAAGCTGACAGTGCAGTGGGAGCTACATGCTTGTTGGACCAATCAGCCGCCTCCCTTTCATCACCTGAACCCATTCTCTGCGCGTGGGTATGGGTGACCACGTGGCAAAAGATACAAGTGTGGTTGCCCCAACGAGCACATAGCTCCCACAGTCCCGGACGGAAGGGGGGGAAAGCAACTTTTGTCCCAGTTTTGAGCACAAGTACACAAACAATGGTCTGAGCAAGAGGGGAGTTCCTCTTTTCCCTCATGTTGGCTAAGAGGGAAAAGGTTGAAAAATTGTTTCACTTTAAGGGGAGAAGCTGGGATCAAACCTAAACTTTTTCATCTTTAGAGCTATCTGTATGCAATTTTCAGGGTACATACATAGAACATATGTAGGAGTAACTACCAAGTTTCATAACGTTGTGCCTATGGGTTCTTAAAGCAGTGATGTGATTGGCCTAAGCTATTTTGGAGCACCTTTTGGAGCAGTTAAAACTGTGTTTTGGAGCAACAAATGTGGCCTTTGGAGCAACCAAAATTGTGTTTTGGAGTAGCAAAAGTGGATTTTAGAGCAGCCAAGACAGTGTTTCGGAGCAACAAAAGCGGCTTTTGGAGCAGATCTTCTTAGCAAAATAAATATATTTGTGCTGTACAAAAGAAGGATACTTTGTGTTGTATTGTGTTCTGACGTCATGTGTTGTGACGGAACTCGCTGATTGTCTTTTTACTACTGAGACATCCCACAAGTGCTGTAGGCGTTGCCGAGCAATTGTGAAAAACCACTTGTCACCGTTTTACTGGTTCCTGACGTGCCAGATTTTCGTAAAAAGTAAGCAACATAAAACAACAAATTGCAAGCGTCCCGGCTGGTGCCTCTGTCGTGCAATCATGTTCACATGCACGTTAGGGCAACTTCGGCGGGCTTGCAGTTGCGCGTGCTTCGTCGCGCGAGCGGACACAACAGCTGTTCAATCGAAACCGAAACCATGTCAGTCCGCACCGTCGCCAATTGATTCCCGAAATTGCATGCAAAATGTAACTGTCGAGCATACGACGAAAAAACGTCCAGCGGCGCGTTATGGCCAGGCCGGCAAACAAAATACAAGCTAAAAAAAAGTTGAGTTAATCAATGCAAGACATGGCACGCCAGGGTCAAAAAGTTTTTTGAGCACCTTGTGCAACGACTGAACTCGACACAAACAAGTGCGCTGTGCGGGTTCAGCGTGTGAACATTGCCCTCCTTGTTTTAGCTCACTTTTCTTCATCAACTTTTTTTCATGGCAGATTTTTTACCTACCGGGGTCCCTCGCGAAAGAAAGCCCACCGAGGGAAACCTATAGGTAATCAATAATTCCACACAGCAGTCTTTGAGTTAAAGAGAGCTTCGTAGTAACGTATGATTTTAAACAAGAACAGGAATGTTGACGAGCATGCGGCGGTACTTTGTTTCATTTTAGAAATCACCATATCTACAGCGACGTGGGGACGGCACCACCCAACGTCGCGCGACTACGTTGACTATAATAGAAAGCAGGGACCAAATACAGTTATCCCACGGCCATTGCTTTGAGGAGCGAGTGCTTCAGCTCACAACATAACTCCTGCCGTGCAAATACGTGGTTTCGTTTCACAGCATGACGGCATGGCTGGTACCTGGCACGCTAGCGTCGGAGCATCCGCACACACCCGCGTCTATTGTTAAAAATATTTGAAAAAAAAAAGACACGAGACGAGACCCACGACACGACGAGAGCGCGAAACGCGAAACAGCGGGAAAACAATGCAAGACTGGACGGAGGTTGATGCAGGGTATTCTGTGCTGGGCGGCCGCCTGCGCCACTTAACAGATACATGCACAATTACGGTACTTAGTTTAGTTTCGGTTTTGAAAGGCGGCCGAAATTGGTTTTGTGGCGCAGGCTTGGTGCAGATTACCCGTATATTGGTAAAATGTAGCAGGATGTAGCAGGGTTAGCCACTTGGCGCAATTGGCGCAGCAATCACATCACTGTTAAAGGGATGCTGAACCGAAATCTGGATTTTCCGAAACACGCGAAAAAGCGTGCAACGGGATGCTACAAACACCAAAACATCACTCATACAGCGAGATCTCGAACGGATGACCGTATTTAAAAAAAAGAGGCACATTTTGGCAGAAATGTTCACGTCATGTTTCTCCGAGAAGGAGAGGGAAGGGCCTCGCGTCTTCTCCGCCTCGTGGCCATGAGGGAGCAAAGCGAAGAGAGGAGGAAATTAGGTATCTTCACGTCACGCGCCTCGTCGGCCTGGTTCAATCTCGACTTCTTTTTTTTCAAAAATACAGCTGTTCATTTGAGATATCGCCTTACTAGTAGTGTTGTAAGGATTGTAGCGTCCCGCCTACATCTCCAGCACTGTTTTTTCTGAAATCCGAATTTCGGTTCACCATCCCTTTAAGTTACACTTTTTTTCAGTATGGTTCACACGCTTCCTTTATCTCAGTCCTGGAGAAATAGCAAAACATAATGGGAATGCAAAATTTATTACGAGCATACTTGGATATGCACCCCAGGGCATGACAGAGCCATTCATTTATTTTCAGAAAACATCTTGGCACAACATTGAATTTTATGTTTTTGGTCATATCCTCATCCATCAAATTTACTTTCAGTATTATAAATCCGTAACACTATTTTCTAAAAAAAAAAAAGGGAGCTTGTCATGCTCCCACAAAGTTAATTAGGAACAGAATAAAATTAAGAACCGCACGCAAATTCCTTAAACAGTTTTCGAGATATCGCTGGGACAGGTGCCAACGCCAGCAGAGCAATCAATTTTGAGAAAATAGCAGTTAAAAGTCGAGCCCGCTTCACATGGCGTGATTCTGCTCTCGATTTTCATTCTCGTGCGGCAAAGAGCTTGGGGACGCAGCGCACATGCACATAAGTCACCGTCTACGGCGTTTATCAATTTGCTTTCTCTCGAGCGAGCAACGTCGTATCCGAAAATCGGGAAACTTGCAAGCGGGATTGCACCACGCGAGACGGCTACCCCGTGGAGTAGCTGCAAGTGTCTTTGCAACTTTCTTTTTGTTCCGCTTTTATCGTTGCTCGGTGCCGATGGCATTTATAGGATGATCACAGTCTCAAGCATAAGCATCAATGTCCCACATACCGATGATGCTTCCAATGGTTGCCGAGCAAGTAAGCTTACACGAACCACTTCCGTGTGTCAAATGCGTGTGCCGTCTCCTACTCCATTCCCCGCATCTCGTGCAGCCACGAAACACGTGGGTAAAGTACACAAAACTACTAAAACAAAGGGCTGCAAACGAACAGAAAATATGGCGAAAAAGAGAAGCGAAGTTGACAAAGTGCAGGAGCAGCAGACGGCGCGAGGCCCCGACGGCACAATAGCCGTGGCAATAAAAGAACAAACGTTGCGGCCAATAGTAGTCGCGTTTTCTGTTCAGCGGAATCTTTGGCCAATCACTGCTTCGGAATTGTGAGGTGGGGAAACGCAGATTGCACCAAAACTATGAGGTAGACACTATTTTCTAGGGTGGCAAAAAAGAAGAAAACAAAAACTGCTTCAAAACGAGATCAAGATGGCGGCTATCTGCTAAGTTGAAAGAGAGCAGGAATCGCACGAAGTTGGGCTAGATTTTGCATCTTCAGAGCGATTTGGAAGCCGCCGGGACCTCGTAAATATTTTTTCAAAGATATTTCCCCACTGGTAAGTGGGGAAAACCGAGAAGAAAGAATAAAACTCCGAACGTCCCCCCAAAAGAAAGATTTTGAGCCCGACGCTGAGCCACAGCGCCAAGGGGGATCAAGAGATTATAACGAAAGACCTTTCTTTCGCCAACCGACACCGCAGGAGGTGCAAGTAGTGCGAGCGGATAGCTTCAACTTTTGTTCTCGTAGCACGAGGGCCTGCACAGCCAAAGAGCAATCGAATGCACGGCGCTTGTGCTTGTGCTCAGCGCTGTGCAGGGATTCCGCACCCACCGATAGTATTTGAAAGGACACGAGTCTCGCTGCAGGTCTTCAAAGTGACGAGGGCATTGCCGAACGGAAGTGGCAGCCCACCGAGGCTCGGTGCATTTGTCCTGCCAACGAAATGCCCGAAACGTTCGGCTAGGGAAGCAAGATGGGCTCGGTCTGCTACCACTGAGGGCTGAGCGAGGGAACCAGCTCCGCCTAGATTTATTGGCCGCAATACGGCCCTCTTAAAAACAATGCAAAAAAGCAGCCCCGTTTTTTTTTTTTAGACAAAATATTGGCTCACGTTGGGTGGAGAACCCACTATACGAGCAGGTACCATACTCCCAAAAGAAAAAGAAAAGCTGTTGGAGCTTTTATTTCCCCGATTTGGAGCATTCTGCAGGTCCCAGCCGCTCACCGAGAGCCCCGACGGCCAAAAGGGGGGTGCGGTCAGACTCACGTGCTCCACGACGCGGCTCTTGAAGTCCTTCCAGTGGCGCTCGCCCATCTCGTCCCCCTGGGCAAAGACGGCGCCCTGGGCGGTGCGCAGCTCTGCCTCGTAGGCCTGGCAGAGGCTGCGCCAGTTGATGAGCTCCGGGGTGAGGAAGAGCTTGAGCAGCTCCTGGTACTGGGGCAGCTCGTCCAGCCGCTTGTCCGCCTTGGTGCGGTGCAGCAGGTCGTGCTGCTCATTGTCGTGGGGGGACAGCACCAGGAACAGCAGCAGCTTCTTCAGGGCCTGCACAGTCCGCACGTCTCTCCGTAACCTTTCTGCAATGCTACATCCATCCGTGATGTTGCATCTGGTCAGTGACGTGACATCTGTCCGACATTACCTCAGTCTGTGATGTTATCGCATTTGCACAAATGTAACGAAAGCTTTTTTCTTCTCGAAATTACGTACTCCAAAACATATTATGCGTTTTATTCGTGATCGAGCTCAACTAAACTAAATCGAGTGATCCACTTTCGATGCCTCGACTCCAACGCTACTAAAACAACTCAGTTGGGAAACTGCCATAGAGCTTGCTTCGAAAAGTCATGAGCCATTCCGCTGTGTAAAGGTGGATGACCAGCAAAGCTGTTTAGCACACGACAGAGCATTTTGAACAAAGGTACGAATACATTTATTGTCTCGATCGGTGGTGATCGTGACGAAAGGATAGGCACAAACATTCATTGTAGTCTTGATCGGTCGTCATTATTTGTTCTTTGCAGCTGAATTTGTTCATGGGTGATACGACACAAAGTTGTGACATCATTTTCACCGCTAAATTTAGCGGGGAAACTGAACTGGGGTTGAGGCCACGAGACGTCAATGTGCGAACGAGCCTTAACTGCATTCTTATTACAACACATTTAAAGGCGACCGTCGACAACCAGATATCGGCGCCCCAGAGCACAGATCCTCGCTTCGGCGGGAAGGGCTACCGGTGCGTCGTTGGAACCCCCGCAAGGGCGACGAACGCTTCCTGCAATGCCTGCCACCAAAACGGAGAGGCCATTGCGACACTGCTCCCCGAGCAGAGCACACACAGTAACTCTACGCCGGGGAAAGTGATTTGACACTGCCAGAGAGAGCGTCGCAATACTTGTAACAAGTATGTAGCGCCCCCCTCCAGTCCGCCCGTCTGCGGCCGCCAGGCTCGGCGGGCAACATTGTTCACCGCACCAATAAACACCGTTGAGCACACGCGCTCCGGGCAGTCACCGTCCACCCTCACAACCAGGCTGTGTGTCGTCTCTCCTCGGCGGGTGCTTCGGCCCCCTTCGTCCACGTTCGAAAAAGATCGTGACAATACTCTGCTCGGCAAACGGAGAGACGGAATTATTTGACACCAGCGGAGGAGAGCACCCACCTCCTGGCGCTGCTTGGGGTCCTCCTGCACACTGTCGGTGCGGTACAGGGCCGAGTAGTGGCGGCAGATGGCCAGGTACGACCCCTCGTGCTGGTCCAGCTCAATCATCAGGCGGTAGTAGCGCAGCTTCAGGTCCTGCAACACACGGGCTTTGCTTCAAACTTTGAAAGCCGTGCATCCTGTCCCCCCAAAATTTGTTTATGATGATGCCGCTCTCACGCCCCCTGTCGGCTAGAAGTTTTTTGCCACTCTCCCAAGCTGTCGAAACCTGCTTTTGTGCTTTTGCATTCTAAGTTTTCCGGTCTCTCTTGAAAGTTTCCACTTTATATTCCTTACACACGCCGCAATACCCTTTTTGCGTTATCTTCCACCGTGAGAACTGGGGCTGGTAGCCTAAATGCCTGCCATTCGAGCAATTCTGCTCAGCATTGGCGGGAGACGAAGGAAAAAATTGTATAAGCTGGATCACACTGACAAAGACTGGAAAGCGCAGAATGTGAGCCTTCCAGGGAAAAAGAGAAGGACGTTCATACTGATTTCTGACACACGTCGTCAGGTGGCGCTACATGATTGGAAAGGCCGCGCGAATGGGCTTTTTCTTGCGTGGTTCGTACCACCGACCCTGGATAGCTCAGTCAGCAAGCCCTTGGCTCACAATCTCAAGGTGATGTTTACAAACAGACGATGGCTAATTTATCTATCCAATTATATGGACAAAATAGAAATTTGGTAACACGATGCCCACCTGCTGTTCAGGGTCGTCGAAGAACTTGGGGGCGATCTTCTTGCTTATGATCTGGGTGCGGACGTAGTCCTTCTTGGCCAGGCACAGCCGCATCTGCTCCAGGATCAGCTCCACCTTCTCACGCTTGTCCATCGACCCAAACGTCTCCACCTGCACCCACGTCCGCCCATCACTACCCACGGGGAGCAACTCCGTCCCAGTGACCCTGGAACACTTTGTGCCATGGACTAGAAATCTACTAGATCAAAAGAAACCTTGGGTCTGGTGGCACTGTTGTGTTCTCTCCTCGGTTACAAGTGGTTTAGTTCAGTGGTTCTCAAACATCAATGTTTCGCGGACCCCTTGTGGATCGGCAGAGATGATAAAGGACCCTGTTTGTGTTAAGGGGAGGGGAAAGGTATAGGTTAAATATAATAATGATTTAAGAAATGGATATAACTAAGGGCTAGTGTGAAGCAGACCTCTCTTATTGACATACACAAAAGAAAAACTAGCCCGAAAACTGAAACATTTCATCTCGATCTGAAAAAAGACAACTTTTACAGCCAAGCTTGACTGATGAGACAGGGCTTCGCGGACCCCTAGAATGCTTTCGCAGACCCCCACTTGAGAACCAGTGGTTTAGTCTATCATGCAGCTTTACTTCATGTAGAGCTGCGCCAAGTTTCTACTTTTGCTAATTCACCCGAGCACTGACAGGTATGCTGCCAGCTACAAGCGCTGCACGTGCTGGAATCAGCAGCAGCCTAAAACGTACAGCACTTGGCAGGTGCACTCATCGATGCCTTTCCTTATTGACTGGGATCATTTATACTGATAAGGCAAGCATATGCAGCTTATATAGTCAAACGCCTTTAGAACCAACTACGGCTGTTTAACAAAACAAAAATAAAGTCCCGGAGAACCTCCTGTGTTCAATGTACGACCAATTCCCGAGCAACAAATATTTCTCTTTAGAGAAGCAATTTCGCAGCCCCACGAAGCAAAAATTACCGATATTGTGAATTTTCTTGGTAAAAACTAATTGATTTCCCGTAAATTGTTGCACTCGAGCAACACGCGTAAAAAAGAAAAATACCGCGGCAGCATTTTCTCGGTTTTGGGTTTAAATTTTTAATTAGTGAGCGACCTTGTAGCTATCTAGAACAGAGTCACGTGACTATGTGACTGTGTTACTACGTGGAAAGCCTGTATGCAGCAACATAGTCACGCAGAGCCAGCTTGACACAAGGCTCCGCGGTAACAAATTATTTAGACCCAAAACCGAGAACACGCAATGCTGCGGTGGCGGAAGTGGCGCGACGGAGCTGCGCCTTCGCCTCTGCGCGCATATTCTTGTTTTGCTCACACCGTTGGGAATGTGCCACTACGCTCCGAGATTAATTTTTTTTTTTTTTCTACGCTCCATTTTGGGCGATGCATGCACATGCTTGTTTTCTTATTTTGCACGTGCATCGGCGAATTGAAAAGGGCACTCGCAAGCGAGTATATATGAAAGAAGTATTTTCGTTGGCAGTTATACGCTGTCCCGGCATTCGTTTGAACGACGCACCGGCCTTCATTAAGATCCAAGATTCCGAATCTCACTTGATCCGGGTCCCAATTTGTTCCAACTTGAGCGATAATATGCAGTCGAGCAAACAATCTGATTCTGGCTGTGATGCCAAAATCTAAGCGAAATCAGTAGAGCCGCACAGTAAGAAACGCGCCCCCCTTTTTTTGCCGTACAGATGTGAAAAAGAGCTTGGCGACGACCAACATGCATTTCTATGTGCTCTCTGTGCGCGTCCCAACGAGGGAAAAGAAGAAAAAAAAATTAATTGAAACTGAACGCCGCGGCGGAGACACACGCTAGAACCACGGATACCTGAAAAAGCTACAACGACGAGGACCCACCGACCAAGCGACCACCGAAGACGCTAGGCTTAGCAAAACACTTCGACGATGCGGGGCAAGACCATCTGCACACGACCGGCTGGCTTGATGAATGGAATACGCCCACACGACCTTTGTGGACTCTCCTCGTATGAATAGTTTGATCCCTGACCTCTAATTTGGGGTAAGAAGGTCAGTCTTTCCCCTCGTCGTCCCTAGCTTGTTTCCAGATGCAGCGGTGACCAACGTTTCGTCGAAAAAGGAGACACTCCTATAAATTCCATCTTCTTTTTTTGTGTGTGTTATAAAGCTCAAATAAACGCCATATGAATTGCCTTCGCAACATGGGTACGTACACTTTGTTTAGGTGTCCATTTTATTTCGACATGATACGCCAACACATATCGAGTAAGAGCAGTTTTTGGGAGCGACTCAATGCCGGTCCAATCTTTCTCTGCCGAGCGTCTCGTCGCGATTGTCTAGAGGCCCAGCGGTTCATAAAATCGGTTGCAAAAGACCGTTCCCGAAGCGGCTACCAAAAACGCTGGCACTCTTACTCCAAACGTATCTTCCTGGACATTGGCTCTCTCCCGCATCCCCGAAAAGCGCCGCAGGGATTTGTTTACATGCGCGCCGCTGTGCAGAGCCGTACGGGCCGTCTCCTTTTAGCAACGATGGTAGTTGTGTTGACTTCTTAGCGATCGAGTTCGTTATCAGTTGCGGTCGACGAAGGCAGCTATCTCGTAATCAGGAAAGGTGGGCATGCGGGCCCGTTTCAACAGACATTTCGTAGCGTGAATATTACATCGCATGTACACAATCTCCAAACCACCCCAAAGAAGCGTTGCCGGAAAGACCACCCTATACTAAAACGAATGGTTGGAACGGTAGCTAACTCTGTTGTTGCTTTCTTCACCAAAGCGCCTCAGTGCTACGTTCGGGCCTAAGTAATGCCTATGAGTGACCGTACTTCCCGTTGTGGCGCTGCTCTTACGGGCATGTTTGCGTCACGACATTCCAACGAAGCTTCACAGACATCCACGAAATGGTTTTTGGATATCGTTTTATTCAGTTTAAAATTCATTTTCTCGCGTTATCCTGCGGAGTATTGGTATTGGTGAAGTCCTATTTTAACCCTCTTTATGTTCAAGCAAAGAGATGGGCTCTAGAATTTGCTTTCCGTACCCCTTTAAAGGCTCTGTTATACTCCGACGTAACGCGTGCGAGAGCGTCACAGCGACGTCACGTCGGCGAAAACCCGACGCTCTATACACAAACTCATCTCTGTTACGTCACGGCACGGTGGTGGCGCGTCAGTCGCACTTCCAGCCTGGGGCTGTGGGCAGAAGTCCACATGCCAGACGTGTATTCCTGCGTTGTTTTGAAAGGAACCAGACAAAAACCTGCCTTCTCGTCAAAACGCCGCGACTGGGGCCGTACCAAAAGTGTCGAGAAAAGGTTGAGGGTTAGTTTTCACGTGCTCGGTTTGTCCGGGAATCTAGATATGTGCCGTGACAAGGGGAAAACAGACGCCGTCGAACTACGATTGTTGGGGCGGGAAGCACTTTGGGTTAAATTCACGGATACTTGTGGTCATCAGATTTATTTGCTTTGTTCCAACATGAACGCCAGAAAACTGTCGAGTTGTGCGGACCACCTACGGACTACGTTCAGTGCGTCTTCAAGTTCAAACGGCCGCCTGATCGTTCAAACTGTCGTCTGCTCTTTCAAACGTTTCTGCTTGTCGTCTTCTCTTTCAGGGGACACCGGCCCGTAGACCAAATGTTGCTCCGGTACTTGCGATAAGAAGTAAGTGCAGGCCTCAAAAGACTTAAGTTTTAAGGTTGGTAAGCAGGCTGGACGTAAACAGTAGGCACAAGGAGATGTTGATTATAGTTACCAGTGGCCATCACCGACTTGTAATGCCTAATTCACTTGGTTCAATTCTGCTTGCGATTTTCAGTATCGACGTCGACCATCTCAGCTACGGTTCACGCTTTTGCAGCCTGAGCGGCTTCGCGACTTAAAATTGAGACCGAAATCTCATCATGCAAATCAGGCTTTAGCGTACATATTGCGGTGTCCACGCGGAATGAATCGCCACGTGTCCTATTATTTACAAGAACTTTCGCGGTGTAACGAGCCTCGGTAATTTCGCTGACGCCGCTCAAGGCAGTCAGACATTGCTAGGAAGACTTGGGACCAACAATTCGAACGCGAAAAAGGGCAGGGGGACTCACACCGACGCCGACAACATCGCATTTCAATGGTTTGTTTATGGGTGACGGCGAGCTTCTTGCCCACACCCCTGACGCGCATGCGCGGCGGCGGTGGCGACCGCAAAGGGCGCTCCGGTTTGTTTGTGAACATGAGTTGGTGTATACTCCAGTGTCGTGGCGTAACCGATGCGACCGGCGCCATTTGACGCAGCCTGAGCGCCTAGACACCAAAATGGAGCATGCCGTATTCCACGCCGGCCGCGCCAGCGACGCCAGACCAGGATGCATCACGCGCTAGGTCCCGGCTGCCCTCATGCGGAAGCGCGGCGAATACGAGCAATAGCAGACGACAGGAGCGCCACTCCGTGTGGCGTCATGTTTGAAGAATCGGACTCGCTTGTCGAGAAGCTGATCAAGGGAATTCGTCCCCATCCGTGTGTCTACGACACGAGGAAGCTTGAGTACTGTAGACCGTGCGCTTGTCAAAGATTTACTGTAAGTACATTGACCGCCTACGCTTGCGGCGCAGGCGGTGCATTAACAGTGCAAGCGCCAGTTTTCGTCGTGCAAGGTACGACCACGCCATCGCTCGAACTTGGCGCTCAAGCGCGAGAATTTTCGTCTGCTATTCTAAACAAAAAGGAACCGGAAGTGGCCCACTCTCGCAGGAAACATGCCCTCGTAGTCAGATTCTGCGTATGCGCCGCGCCGGCGGCCCACCGCCACGCGTCGCGGGAGCCGCCAGGGCCGCCGAAGTATAAAAAGGCCGAATTTTTGACGCGTGCGGCGTGATTGACGTGACATAGCAAACTTCGACCAGCGTTCGCTTGCGCGCACGTTACGTCAGAGTATAACAGAGCCTTTAAGTATGTTGCGTAGAGGAACAGCAGGAAATTAGTATGCAGTGAGGAGCATTTAGTGCCTCGGCTATAGATGACAAACTTTGACAGTGGCTGTACGACCTTTAACCTGGTCTTTAAATTGTGTCACATAGTGGGGAGTACATAAACGCGAGGCAACACAAGTTTCATTTCGGAAGAAAAGTGGTAATTGAATTTTATGATGCTTGGATTCTGCAGTGCGAGCTTTCGCCCCACGTGGTCCGAGCTGGGATGCGCCTTTAAGCCGAGACTAGAAGCTCTGCCTTTAGCGCGAGCTTGCTGGCCTCTGCAGTGCTTCGGTTGTGTGTGCCTGCGCATTCACCCTTGTGTTAGCAAGCGCAAAAAGCTCGCGCCAAACATGTAGTTTCTAGTCTCAGGTAAATGGAGTATAGCAAACTCGGCCACCGTTGCCCCTTTTTATAAGTCAGCCGTCAACTACAAAACCTTGTTTCTGATGTTGCTCATACTTCATTTGGTGCTATACTGTTTCCTAAAACACCTCGCATGTTGCACAGATACGTCAAAATACGACAGCAGAAATATATGCTTCACAAGAACCATTTTTCGCGTTTGACTACTACGAAGAAGTTTCCTGTATTAGATCCGGTTATAAAGCAGTAAAAGCACGTTTGACGATGAATGTGATCATCGTACGCATCAGGCAGTGTCAGCACATTTTTGGACGACAGCAGCATGATGCACGTTTTCTGCCTTTTGGGCGCTTATTGTAGGGGAGACCGAGAGGGTAAGCCGTGGGGTTACCTGCAGCTCCTGCATGATGGTGGCGGCCTCTGCCACATTCCCCTCTGCCTCCTTCATCTGGGCCAGCTTGTGGGTCAGCCGGGCCCGCTCCACCTCCACATAGATCTGCACACGGAAGGACAACCCTCCTCACAAGTGCAACCAAGCAGCCTGGCTCGCGTCACCATCACCACCGTCTCGCAATGCTTGTCCTCGTCCAGCTTTGGCATCTCTTGGGCATGCACTAACGTCCTGCCTCGCCTCCTAGGTGGCCGACCGACGTGGCAAGACGGTATCCGTCTGGGTTTTGTCTCCACCCAATCGGTCAAGGATTGGGGCGTTTTTACCCAGAATAAAGGGAAACCTGCCCAGGTTCCGGTTCCACCGGCTTCCACCCCACGTCTAACACTAAATTTCACAAAAGTTCCACTTTCGTGCATGTGCACCAAAATGGAAAAACATTGGGTATATTGCTTTGCATTAATAAACTCTAACTAAGCCATTTAAAGCCTTTAGTATTGTATAAACAACAATAATTTTATAAAATTTAAATGAAATAAAATTACCCCTCCAAAATCTTTTCTTCTCCGTCTTCCTCAGTAGTACTTAGTGGTTAGTAGCTGGTCTCCCTCACAAAATGCTGTGTGAGTGTTACGCAATTTCTCCGCTAAATTTTGTGGCGAAATTCAAAATGACCTTATACGCGGAATCGGCCTTCCCCACTAAATTTAGTGAAATACTCCCAAACTCCAAAAAGCTCGCAACAGCGAGCACACCTCCAACCATTGGCAGATTCTGTGGTCCCCGACTTTGTCCGCAGGATTACTTTTCTTTTAGTGTGCTGCCATTTACCCAACCACTAAGAAAACAATTTGTCCGGTATAGAGGGTGCTATTAGTTTTTTGCATAACCAAAGCTTATGGGGTTTCTGCAACTGTTTTGGCGGGTAATTGAAATCGCGGCACATTCTATTTGTCAAGTCCGATAAGCCTGTGTGTTTATTGCATTCTAGAATAAAAACCCTGGATCATTTTCCCAAAACATGCAGAAGGTCTTCGTAATTGCTCCGGTGAATGAAGATTTGAGTTAGTACCAGATGTGGGCACTGCACAAAGAGCCCAACTGCCACTCGGGTAGTTTGGACTGAATTCAAGTAAAAGAGTATGGCTACAGTCATTCGGGAAGCTGACATTTTGCGGATCAAAGGTTCACGGCGCAGCAGGTTGTCCCTCAAACGCAAATGAGTCTGCGTGAGCCACTTGTGCTGAGAGCACTACTTTTTACGAGATGTTTCGCACCTTTTTACTGTTTGTAGTAGGCCCGAGTCAAGGGGTGTACTGAGGGTTTATTCCAATACAGCAGGTCAGAGGGACATGACCAGCTGCCAAGATTCCAACTCGCCGAAGAACGGGATGCACGAGCTCCCGTGTCCAAGCTCGTGCTCTGCTGACAAAGAAGACAATGATCTTTTGCAGTCACCACATTTCCTTCCCTCGAAGGCTTGTAACGGTCCAGCTTGAGGCGGCTGCGGGTTGGGTATCTCCTACTGGAGTCTGGCTGCAATGGAGACCCCGAAGTAACTTGTGTGTCGGTGGCCTCCTGCTGGGTGTAAACCTGAGAAGGCCCTGACACATCCATTGGGAATATTGAAGTGTCGGGATCGTCATATGTCAACCTTGGTTTCAGGTGATCGGCATGGACCCGATGGGTTTTGTGATCTTCATCTGAAACTTCGTAGATGACGTTGCCAATTATTTTTGTGACAACGCCCTTTATCCAGTGTTGTTTGTGGAGAGGATGTTTTACCCACACTTTCTGATTGATTGAGAAGGTAGCGGTTCCCTTGTCTTTCTTTGCCGTTTTGGCTTGGGTCCGTACCTTGGAAGGCTTCAATAAGTCGAGAACAGTCTGGTAGGGCCTGCTCGTGAGCAGTTGACACGGGGGTACTCCCGTTGAGGTGTGGGGGGTGATCCGGTACTTGAGCAAGAAGTTTCGAATGGCTGCCTTCCTCTCTTTTCCAGAGGAACATCGAAGAGCAGTCTTCAATGTCTTTACAAAACCCTCTGCTTGTCCGTTGGACTTGGGGTGATATGGTGGGGTAAAGAGATGAGTAATTCCGCCGCTATCCACGAATTCTTTAAATTCCGAGCTGATGAACTGTCGCCCATTATCGGTGACAAGTTGTTGTGGCAGGCCTTGACGAGAGAAAATCTCCTGCAAAGCGTCGATGGTATCTGCTGCTGTTATGGATTTCATCGGCATAACCTCAGGCCATTTGCTGAACGCATCTATGACAATGAGATAGCTTTGCTGATCTAGCTGTGCAAAGTCAGCATGAAGTCTCTGCCACGGCAGCTCCGGAGCTTCCCAGCGGTGAAGAGGAACGTGTGGTTTGTTGTCGCAAACACTGCTGCAGACCTCACATTGCTGCGTCGTGTGCTCAATGTCTCTGTCGATGTGTCGCCAACACACGTACGACCGTGCCAACATCTTCATTTTTGTTTGACCCACGTGTCCTTCATGAAGAAGTTCCATTACTTGGGGCTGGAATTTGCGTGGAGCTACGGTTCGCGAATTCCATAGGATGCAACCGTTAAGGATGGTTAATTCCGATCTCTGTCTATGGAATGGCGTGAGGTCGGAGTCCGTCACCTTTTCTGGCCAGCCCTGACTGATGTACCATTGTACTTGGAAGAGGACAGAATCTGACGCAGTTTCCGTGGCGATGTCCTTTGCCTTCACTGGTAACTTAGACAAACTCTGGGTGTGAAGCGCAAAGACATGTTCTGTATCACAGGAGATGGTGAAAACTCCGCTTGCCATTTCCTTGTCAAAGTCCTCGTCGGGACCTTGTGCGAAACGCGAAAATCCATCAGCAATTTCGAAATTTGCTGTTGGCACGTACTCAATTGTGTAGCTGTAGTTCATTAGTATAAGGGCCCAACACATGAGAACCAGCGAAAGTGTAGTGACAGGTTACACGCCAGCCTTCTTATGCTATGGTCAAGAGCTCCGCACTCCGTGGGACTCAACATCTGCCCAGGACACAGAGGCCTCGTCCTCTGCACCCCACGCCTTTGCAGCAGAACTGGACCAGCGCCTACAGGATGCCCTGGCCTTTGCGAGAGCGCACCAAAACAAAGCCCAGGAAATTCAGCAACGACAATACAACTCGACCCGACAACCAGGCCACTTTGATGTGGGTGATTTGGTCCTAAAAGACTTGCATACTCTGAGCAATGATAGCAAGGGAATTGCCGCAAAGCTTGCTCCTAAGCGATCTGGACCCTTCAATGTTACAGCTCGAGTCGGCCAGAATGTCTACAAGCTGAAAAACACATCCACAGGAAGAGCATGCGGTTTGGCTAATGCAGACCAACTTGCCCACTTCCACAAGCCTTGGGTCCCCTTCACAGAATAACGAGGGGGGTGTTGTGAGGGGTGCGGGCTGTGCGTGCGACGGCTATGCACAGAACATAGGCGCTCGCGCGCCACACACTACCTGAAGCAAGCACCGTCCAGGGACGGTGCTTGCTTCAGGTCACACTTGGAAAACGCTCCGAAAAGCTAGAAGCATTGGTGACTGACAAGCAATGGTGACTGACATGCGGCAACACCAACCACTCTCCGAATGGTTGGTTTTGCCGCATCGAAAACACTTGACAGGCGCAGAAGTGGACGGCTTCACTTTTTCAACGAGCAGCGCAGCGTGGTCTCCCCGGTCTAGGTGCCGGGACTCTGCTTCGGCGGTGAGGGTTGACTCGGCCAAACGAAGTGCGGCGTCCAGAGTGAGGTCCTTCTCGAGCACCAGACGTGCCCGGACGCGCGTCACGGAGACCCACGATGAATGCCGTCAAAAGGGACGAACTTCTGGCGTCTGCTTCAGATTCATAGTCGCAGTTAATGAGGATTGATCTAAGCCGCGTTATGAAATCTTTGATTGTCTCATTTTCTTCCTGGCGAGCCGAAAACAACTTCGCCCGTTCGAATTCCTTGAATTTCTTAGGTGCGAAATGTTCTTCGAGCTTTTTGAGCAACTCTTCATACAATGTCTCCAGAAAGCTCTGTGGCTGAATTAGGGAGTAGAGAAGCTTGAATGTCTCGGGACCAATTGAAGCGATCAAGAAGTTTATCTTGTCCGCCTCGGCAGTGATCTTAGCGACGACGAGACAAGCTTGAAACCTTATCTGATAAAGCTTCCAGTTCTCCTTTTCGGCGTCGAATGTCCCGGGACCGTGGAAGCGGTGGGTCTGGTTCTCCACCATGCTCGCTGCTGCTCTGCCGTGCTCCCGTTGAGTCCGGTGTGGTCTTCGCCTTCGTCGCCAGTATAGTAGGCCCGAGTCAAGGGGTGTACTGAGGGTTTATTCCAATACAGCAGGTCAGAGGGACATGACCAGCTGCCAAGATTCCAACTCGCCGAAGAACGGAATGCACGAGCTCCCGTGTCCGAGCTCGTGCTCTGCTGACAAAGAAGACAATGATCTTTTGCAGTCACCACACTGTTTAATGACTACCGCAATATCAACAAATAATAGTTGGATGTTCAACGAGACACTATTTTATAAAGCTGAATAAACTTTTTGTTTTGTTTTTTTACCTTTTTTTTTTTTTGTTGTTGTTTAGTGCTCGATCGGTTGTTCTCCTCGACTACGTTTTCAGTCGTTCTTATTCGTATCACGGCGTAATCTACCATCTCCTTGTCGAGGAGTCTTGGCTTGGGAATTGATGTCACCCTTCTTTGGTTACATGTGTCCTGGTTGGATATGCGTGATGTCAGGGTTGTCATTCGTGTCTTCTCTTGGGTGGTTCCCATTTGAACCTTCTGGTTTGTACCTTACCGTTTCAACAAGACTCGAAAAACCCTTCTCCTATCGACTTTCCTCGTTTCGCTCATTCCCAAAACAACTTTTTGACGACTTGAAGCATCATCATCTTGTCCATGGCAGGTCACTACCAATTAAACTAGTTCAAGCTTACTTCTAGCCTCCTTGGCGAACTCATTTTACCCTTTCTCGAAGCAACTTTCTATCTTTGACCATTTTTATCTTGCGCCCGTTGACGGAACACTTTCAAAAACACTCATCCGCAGTGTACTTTTTGCTGTCCCCCGTAGACACATGTCCGAGCACCTCCCAAGTTGGGGAATGTGTTCGGTGCTGCAAGAGTCCCCAATCCTGACATTTTTCTCACAAACTCTGAACAAGCATTGACTGCAGGCATGCCACTGTTTTTTCTACAGCAATTAATTCCCTGTGGGTGCCATTTTCACTTCACCAAGCGAGTGCTGGCTGCAGTCCAAAGAGACGGTCTACAAACAGCGTACATCCAGGAAAGTACACTCTCGTTGGAAAAATAGTGGCACTGTCACTCGTCCCAGTTCCTGACGTTGGGCTTGCGTGGCTCTTCTTACACCAGGAAGGCACCTCCCTCGGTGTTTCAGGCATCACCACTGAGCAGGATTATTTTGATGGCACATGGTATATTTCCGCGGAACAGTGCACAAACTAACAGGAAGATCAATGGAATGTCAAAGAGGGCCCACTGACACATTCACAGTTTCATTGACTTAATCAAGAGGGATGAGGCCTTGACATGGACCTCTTTGCAGCAACTTGCCAATGGTGGTGCAGTGCAAGCCACAAGTGGAGCAGCAAACATCGCAAACTGTCTGAACTGGACATCCGACCATGCAATTTCTGAGTTTGAATTCCTAAATAGGGCCAAGGCATTTTGTGCTTTTTGATTTATTTTATTTTATATTTGCCAAAAAAAAAAATAAAGTCACAAATCCAACTTTATTTTTTCTGTTTGATTCACCACACAAAGGCTCTCATTGCTCATAAAATCATTCAAACGACGAAGACGCGATTCAGGGACCATATTCAAGAAGTTTGAAAGAAAAAATGCATGCTTTCAAAATATTAAAGTACGAAAATAATTTTTCCATTATTTGAAAATTGAGATGTCCAGACAACGCTTAGAACGTGGAAGGCCAACAGCTTGAGATGCGGGTTCACTCAACCCAAGTTGAAATGCAATGGGTATTATGGGAATGGGTTAAAACGCAAAATGTGTTTCAAGATTGGACTGCATCGGTATTGGGTCAAATGGGGAGCATTTCGAGAACCGGTTGTAATGTCTCTGGTTTCAATGGGAATGGGTTGTTTCGAGCTACATCCGTTTTTGGTCTGTTTGGGTCGTCCATTTAATCTTGTGTTTTGTGAAATAAACCTCAGCTGTGTTTCAAGATTTGCGGTGCCTTCTCTTCTCCAGGGTTAAACATTCTTTTAACTAAGACTGGGAACAAGAAGTGGATGATACACTCACCAACATTCTTGCTTCTCTTAATCTAAGAGTTCACTGTTGCAGACTGCTCTGTAGAACATTTGAAAACAATGTGGATCTGTTTCTTGACAGACACAGAACACAGTTCAATAACTTTAAAACTAATACCACTTAGAAAATAGCGGTACAAATTTTACGGAGCACTTTGAAATCTGCTCTGTGTCTGTCATAAAACAGATTCACATTGCTTTTCTCTAAAAAAAATTGAAAAACCACAAAAATCTTTTTTCTTTTACGCTGGCCAATCAACATTCAGAATAAAACCTTGTAAAACACAAGATAGGAACAGGCTTTCATGCGCAAGAGCTTCTTAAAAAAATCTGTCCCTTTCCCACACTATTGTGGGCATATGGGAGGGTGGAACCTGGAGTGTGCAACTGCACAATATGCAAACTAGAGAGATGACGATACTGTAAAGGGTACCAAGTTCATCTGTGCTACATCACCGGGAAATGTTACCACTGCATTTGCCTCAATACGGGGACAAATCTGGAAAATACCTCCGACAAGCAAACTATTTTGGTTCTCCTAATAACATTGTGAAGCAGACAGGCATTCACAGGTGGCCCAAGAGTCCTGGGCCTCTAAACCCGTCAAACACAAAGTTGGGGCCGAAGTTGACGGAGCGCACCGATCGGGATATCACGAGGATGACTGCGCTTCTTTTGCCAATGTCCAGTTGGAGCGCTCCGTGAACTTTTGGCTCCAACTTTGTGTTTGAAGGGTTTAGGGCCCCAGAGGTGCGTTACCATATCCAAAAAAAGCAGCAGTGGTGAATGTTTTGCCGCAGATCGGTCTCCACGGAAGCGTCTGCAGCCAGGAGCGGGGCCGCCACGATTGCGACATCATATACACGCACCTTTCCTGCGGTGACGGTGCGGAGGGTGTCGATCAAGCGCAGCTGGGTCTCCTTGTCTGGCAGCTTGTCTATGTAGGTGAGGCACTCCTGCACCATCTTGGCCACCGCCTGCTTCATCTGGCTGCGCCGTTTGGTGAGGCCCAGCACCTGCTCGTTGAGTGCAGCCCAGTCCCCGCTCTCGAAGCACAGGCGCACAATGGTCACCAGCACCCGCGACGTCGAGTGTGTGTCACCACCCTGAAACGGGAACGCTTGTTGGCACCAGCAATTCAATAGCAGCATCTTGGGAAATAGAGTAATTCAAATATGGAAAACCCTGCAATTCATTCCACAATATGTTTATGCAGATTCCAACAGTGCTGCTCGAATCATGAATCCAAATTTAAGATTCAAATTCATTTATTCAAACTCCAAAAGCAGTGCTCATATTTTGAAAATCTAGTAGTGGCGCTTTACTCTTGGACCTAAGATTCAAACAAATTTATTCAGCACTGCTCATACGACATTTGATCCAAGGTTTTGAATGTTCGTAAATGCATACTAAACACCCCCCTTGGACGCAGTGTGAAGCAGAAGACAGCATCAACAATATGTAAGACACAGTAAGGGTGTTTATGGGCACATGCAATTGTTTGAATATCTGACAAGTTCCGCTGACTTTGATTGGACCTTTGTTTAGAATCAGAGGACTTGTTTTCACTGTCTTTTGTAAGCCAAGACGCATCAATAATATCTAAATAACTTCTAGTTTTGTCTTTTCCACTGGCGTGGAAACAGGCAAAGAGGCATTAGGAAACACAATGTAACACAAGACTCGTTTGAAACATCTCAACTTTCAAACAGGACTAGCGCACCCACAGTCACAACCGAATCTACAATGATAGCCGCGATGGCTAGCAAAACTAATGGCTTTGCGTATTGCAACCCAATCTAATTTTGACTGTAAAGCGAATTTACGCCAGACTTTTTACTGCCATTTTAAAGGCTAATTTCGTCGATTTTTCTAGTCTTCAATTTGGCTACAAATTGGCAGACCGCATCAACAACCCTTCCTCAACTGACAGCCAAAGTACCTTATAAAAAATAAAATTTTCCCGCGAAGTTATTTAATCTTCAAGTTGCGCTGGCTGCTGGCAACAATGAAAAATCCCTACTTTTCCCTACCCGCGTATGGCACTGGCAGGCAGGGAAACGAGCGATTTGGGCAGCCGCAAAGCAACTTTTCAGGTGCGAGCGATCAATATTTTTTTGCAGCTTCAAGGTTGAGAGTTTCTTTGCAATGGGTAGCAATCTGTGCTTTGCAGTAGATTGTACGAGCAGTGCCAGAGAAATCTTTCATTACCCTCGTTTTTGTGGGAGAAAAAGAAATGTGTTCCCCGGCAGCAATGGAGGCCAGCCACGTGAAGAGGCTTCTGCGCAAGCTGTGTGCCGAGAGAACTGGTGTCACGTGAAACATTCTCACTTATGCTCGGAATACTTTATAGCCACGTGCTGCGAGTTGAGTATCATCCTGCAGCTGGAACAGCTTGAAGAGCGGCAAGTGCAGACTTATGCCGGCTGCGACCACTACGACATCTGTCCATAGAGGAACGCTAATATCAAGAAAAATAGTGCACATTCTAGCATTATAGTCAACATTTGGTGCAGTACACATTTGTTGTTCACAATTGCTTCCGTGTTTTTTTTTTTGCACGAATTTTGAATTTGTTTTGGACATAGAATCTAGCTCGGGCTACTCTTGGAGTTCAACTCACGCAGTCGATCTGTTGAAGACGACAAGTGAAACGTCTAAACAAAGCTCGAGTCTGAATTTAGACGTGACTTTCGACACACTGCTTTTTGTGTTTGGTATTACGTAGGTTTAGGAAGCAGTTGTTGAACTCCATTAATATACGATAAATTGTTGCCTGGTTTGTCAAATGGCTGGCGTGCAATATTGTCTCGCAGTTGCATTTTTAGATCCATCAGATGACATGTCACATAGCACCACAGACCTTAGATAGCCTTTACCGGTCAGGAAGCTTTGATGGTTTCTGACCTAGTGAACTGTGTCACTGCAAGCAATGCTAATCAACGTAACAGTGAAAGAAAAAAAAAGTGTGATGCTTATTACTGCACACATTACATTTCAGGTGGCACTTCAATTATTATGAAATAATATGAAACCCCAAGTCAGAGAATAGATGATGTTTCCAATTGCCTATCCTTTCGAAGAGTTTGTGGGGCTTTATGAAATCATATACACAGCCAGCAACTTTCTCCTAACCTACGCTTACTCGCTAGGTTCTTCGAGTGATCCGATTGGTTGGCTCCTAACGTCGACAGCGTGCCTCTGGTTCTTCAATCTACGGAAAACTTTTCCGTAGTGTAACGAAATCATTCCCGATCAGGTAGTCTAAGGACCATGGAAGCAGTTGAGGGACGCTCAGTGACTCTTAAGTGACAAAGGGGGGAGTGTCGGAAAAGATTGTCTCACCGTTCTCGTCTGCTTCTCCAGAGACAGCAGTGTGTCCAGGGCTTCTTTCAGCTTCCCTTGCTGCAAAGCAATGACCACTATTGACACTCCTTCTAAGAGAGGTAACATTTATTCTTTTTGTTTGGGTGACCCCATACATGGCGCTACAGTTGAGGTAATAATGACTGAACCAGTCTTATATGGTGCCCCGAGAAAACCATAACCATAAAACACTGGCTCATCGGAAAAAAAAAAAAAATGTAGAGCTCTTTCACTTTATATGAAGATTGAGGACGAGCAAGGCTATTATCTTTCAACGTCTAGGACGATGCCTCGAGGACGTCTAGGACGACCTCAAGGACAACTTCTAAGACGACCTTGAAGACGACTTCTAGGACGACCTCCAGGACAAGCTCAAGGACAACTTCTAGGACGATGCCTACAGGACTACTTCTTGAAGGAGCTTAAGGACAACCTTGTGGACAATGTTTAGGACGAACTCAAGGACGACCTCTTGGACGACTTCTAGGACGACCTCGAGACCGACGCCTAGAGATGATAACAAGAGATCAGGACCTCGCTATCTAATAATGCCAAGGAAGGCTGACTCACGCTGGTTGCCCCCTCTTTTTCTTTATGCATAATTGACTCCTCTTTTTTATTTTTTTTATTTATCCATACTTGCCACAACTTATGGGGAGTTTTCTGTCGACATGAGATTGTCCGCGGGCACGATAGTTGCGGAACTAGCCCTTTACAGCTTCACTGTAAAAAAGCTGACTAATACGTTAGAAATTACAATATTTAGACAATGCAAACAGATCAGTCGGACAATTATATTAATAATTATGCTTGTGTAACCTAAGAGTGATGACATTTATCAAATGTCCCAAAAATATAAGATTATTGCAGTGAGGAGCATCTGGCCAACATTTTGAAATGTTGAACCTAGGATAGGGGTCCAAAACAAGGAACAGCCATGGAACACAGACATCTTGTTTTGCATTTGTCGAACGTCAACTTTGCTATACCGTAATAACCCGGGTCACCACCGACCCCCCTGCAGCCTGGAACTTATAAAAAAAAAAAAAAAAAGGTGGGCCATGTTTCGGTGGGTAAGCGCAAAAAGTTTAGAAAAAGCTAGAAAAAAGCCCATTTTTCAGTACATACCTAGCACGGCCACACGAGACATACATTAAACTCAAAACTCGAATTAGCTTCATTGTTTTATGCAAGGAAACAAGGTTTTATGCATGGCACAAACGTTTGTTTTGTGAAAACACGTTTCTAACACCGCTATGTTCCCTTCGTTAGTAAAAAGAAAAAAGGAGTCGACAAGGAAATTGGAAAACCAAATAGGCCCTGCGAGCACGGACAAAAGAAGCAACGAAAAGTGATGCTGCAGAAGAGGGAAAGGCGGCAATCGCGCTGGCAGATGCTTCGACGTCAAGTCAAGCGCCTTGTCTATCACAGGGAGCAGGTTCTTGTGCAAGTTTCTCGTTTGGGGCATACATGAGTGCATCCGTGCTATCAAAGCAAGTTGGGGCGGCGTTGCAGCGTGGTGTGGACGGCACCACGAACACCGAGCTTGAAATGCGACTCTTTACAGACATCCGTGTATGGTGTTCCAGCAAATTTATATTTACCCGCTGGCTTTTCCTCAAACAATGCACAACCTTACCAAATGTGGCTGTGACGTTCCGGTAGAAGAAGCGGGTTCGCGGTGGCCTCTTTTCGGTGGAGACAAACTTTGTCCTTACATCTTTGACCTTACACTCCACAGTTACATTCCAGGATATGGGGCGGTTGCTGACCTTGCGTCCCTGAGTAGGTTATCTTTCCGTTTTCTTTTTTTACTCAAACAAACATTTTCGTAAGCAAAACAAAGTAATTCTGTTATCTCCATCGTCTTCTTTTCACCCACACAAACTTCGATTTCGGGGTCGCGGAAATTGTGAAGAAAAGCGTAAACAAATTAAACTGTCTTTCCCTCCTTCGTCTCACTTTGTCACAAACCTCCTCCAAACGTAAGGTCCGCAGCTGCGTCATTCGGGTAGGATGAAAGTTTGCGGATCGCGGATTCCGCGTTGGGCTATTGATAGGGGTTGGCAACCACTCCATGTCTTTTTGAAAAACGATACTTGCCCAAAAAGTGGGTGGGCGATGACTTAGGGTATTACGGTAGTCTGTGCAAGGTTAAGAGTCGAGGGGAATCTCCTCCCACTTTAGCAGAGTGAATGAAGGAGAGGAGGTCGCCTCGTCTCCAGCGTTCGTTCTGCTAAAGTGAAAAGAGGAGTTTCCCCTGAACTGTTGACCTGTCACAAACTATAGTTAGTTTACTTCACTCAATTCTCACTGGATAATGTCCACCAATTTTCTAACCTCCTCTTTGTGACTAATGCTTTTCTCCTCTATTTTTCCACCCTTGCCGGCAAAACCTGGCACCCCCGCCAGATTCGTTCCCCTTCAGGGAGTGCAGGGCGGCAGCAGAGTGCTGCATAATTGTTCTTCTTGTCCTTAGGAAGTGTAGTTCTAAAGTTAGCCGCTTGGGGCACAGTGGTTGAATCTCGTCCCCAATAGATAGTCGCGTAAGAAAGAAAAAGAGAATACAATTTTTTTCCCTCACTACTAGAACAGATTTGGAGTTTTTAGGTGCAACGGTATAGCCAGAAATTTTTTTTGGGGGGAGGGGGGGTATGGGAATTGAGGTGGTTGGGATGTCCATGATTCGGAGTGCGGGGATTTTAAAATGCGCGTGAATATTGTAGACACTTTGCAGCAGCAGTGCATGGGTGCTGCCATAACCAACCTATGTTTTTTGTTCCCTCTTATTCCCTTTACTTCATTACCATAGCAGGCCAGGTTATTGCCCTTTTAGATCCTACTGTGTCCTTCTCCCCAGTATTGGCCTTTCTAGAGGCTCGTCAACGCCCCTTTCAGTGGCTCGGTATCTCGAGAAGACAGAAGGTCAGCAATGACGGATCTGGCGCGTGTCCAAGGCGACTATACACCTTTCCAAAAAACACTCGACCCCAGGGGCCACAAACCGTTTTCGAGCCCAGTCACTGAGTTTGAGGCTAGACTCTCACCGGCGTCCCTCCTAACCCTAACCGAGTGGACTGTGATTTCAATAGGCGCAGTTTCAAACGCTGCTGGCGGCTAAATTCTCGTTTTTTTCCCGCATTATTTTGTGTTTCCTTGTACATGTATTTTCCCGAGGGCATTGAGAAAGTATTGTGCCACACTAAAAAAAACAAAAAAAACCTGTAAACTGTTTTTGTTGGGTACGCGCGCGACAGAACGAGTGCGACTGGAATGTATAGTTCTAGTTATTTGTTTTTTTCTTACGATCAGTTTTGACAACGCCGCGGGATTCGCCGCATGTGAAGCGACAAAGCGCTTTGCTGTCAAAAATAAATTGCAACAGAAGACGGCCGAAAGGCATGCATTTTTCACGCTCACAAATAATGTGTTTACCGATGGACAGGACACGGACGTGCATTTGAGGAAGTGGTAACATTAGAACAATATATCGTACATACAACACGATGCAGCGTTATCCAAAAAGAATTTATTTGAGAAAGGTTTCAAATAACACAGTCACAGTCGACGACAGTCACATCTTGACGATCGGACGGAATCCAAGATGACTTCGTTTGGGGCACGTTTCGGGGAGAGCTTCCTTTTTTTCACAACCGCACCAAGGCAAAGAAACAAACGCGACTGACCCGTTTCTCACCCCAACCCGGGCAACTATTTTTGGAGATGACTGAGGATTCTACGCGGATTATCTCTGGGAGGGGGGAGAACAATGTTCGCAAAATCGCGTCGAGGGTCGTTCGACGTCCTTCACCTGCTTCGTTTCCCGTGAATGTCGAGTAGAAAAGCTTGAATGACAGGCACTTACCAGCCTTATTTCTCACAATGGAAGATAACACAAGAAGGGTAGGCAGCACGCATAAAAAAAAAATGAAGTGGAAACTTTCAAGAAAGCGAGAAAACGCCGAATGCAAAACGGCTAAAATGCATGTAGAGAACCGCGCTGAGCGGGTCTTCACAGTCCCAGAGAGTGGCAGAAAACGTCTAGCTGATAGAGGGTGCGAGAGTCGCACCAGCCGCATCAGCATCAGCAACATGGCGGCGGCCTAGGAGCGTTTTTTGGAAAGGTGTATAGGGTCTGCAGGTTTTTTTGGGGGGAGGGGCTGAAGCCCTATAAGCCCCTCCCTTAGCTACGCCAGTTAAGTCAGCTGCAACAAGAACATGAAACAAAACTTGTCTTTGAACCACACGTCTTTTCATTGTAATCATTTCAGTATATAACACCCACATAATAACAATAAAATTATATATAACGAAAGGGAAAGCCGATTTAATACGGATATTTTGATCCTGGAAAGGAGGAACAGAAAAGATGACACGAACCCCTAAATACATTAAGAATTAAGCTTTGTTATTATTTTCTTTCTGCATTGCATTTTCGTCGTAACCCGCTTCCGCTCTGTAATTGTGGATTTCGACTTAAAAGCCTGGTTACATACATAAGGAACAAATAGACAAACAACAAGAGTTTTCGATATTCATCTCCTGATACAGCGGTTAAAATGGGCTAGAGACGAGTTGCCAACGTCGATAGAATACCCTGTTGTAGCTAGCAGGAATACTTAACTTGACAATTTCAGAAAACTAACGCGGTGACTTGACAAGATCGGGAGAAACGGAAGCCCACCTTTGCGAGAGCTTCACACACCGGCACCTTCTCGTCCACGGTGGAACTGTAGTCCACCTCCATCTTGACCAGTCTCCCGGTATCCGAAAACGTTTCCGTCATCTTGTAGCCGCTTCCTGGGAGGACACGCCGACGTTCAACGTACCCCGTCAACGAGATTGGTTGCGACGTTTGTCAGGCTAGGGTCAGCGTCGCTTTCGGCAAGTCATCGGGTGCTGCGACGACCGATGATGTTTAGCTAGGATTGTTAGCGGTTTAGTGCTCCCAATTGACGACGCTAAAGCCAACTTTAAAACTACAACGCAGTGAGCGAGTAGAAATAGGTGATTGGGGTGACAACTTGGTAGTTAAAGGCAATAACTTACCGTAAACTCTAGGATCCACAACGCGCACGAAAAATCCTTCGCTTTCTTTTTCTTCGCCGCCTCAAGAAAATGAGAAACGCAACGTATCCAAAAACGAAGTTTTTTTCATTTTCAGAAAAAAAATGCTTTGATTTGTGAACTATCTAATAAAAATTAATACTTATTATTTATTTTAAACCTTCATTACATTATCTCTTTTAGGTTTTCTAAATTCTTCAGGCATCAGGTTTTGTATTTATCTTATTTATCAGTCAGCAAGAGTAGCAAGTCAGTAACTCTTAGCATCGAAGGCATCAAATGTCACAGCTTCGAAACGTCCGAATTTCTGAATAAACGAACGAATCGAACAACAGACATGTCCGACAGTTGGGTTTGCACTCTTGCTTACGATGGGAAATTCGAAGCTCTGAAGCAGCAATTCTGCTCGGACAAGACGATAATCTCCAAGAAGGACCTCGTAAGTCCAAACTCTCCTCAGCACAAGTCGGGCGTTCGATAGACAACGACAGGGTACTTATGCTCGCCGAGGTTTGTACTGGAACATGACCGACAAGAACCCAACTACCCCAGCGAGAATCGGCCGCTTTCAAGCGCGCAGTTCAAATGATGCTTACCAAATATATTCAGAGTCGTGGGTCAGGCACACATTCAATATTAGAAATAGAAAAAAAAATTATGAGCCCTATTTTTCTTCTTTTGTGTGTGTGTGGTTTTTAAGGTTGCACAGATCACAGGAAAAGAGAGGGCGAAGTTGATTGCAGGCACTTTAAAGGGATACTACAACGAAATTTCGGCGCTTATTTTATGGTCTATATGTGTTCAAAGGAGCAGCATCACACCGAACACACCAATATCTTGTTAAAAAAGTCTCGAAAAGGCATTTTAAAACGAATTAAACGATTAGCAAAGAGCACCTGGTGGGTGTTGCTAACGCCTTGTTTGTAATGCCAGTCTAGGAACCTTGACAGCTAGTGACGGTGAGTGTCTCGCTTTCGGCCACGACGAGAGAAGAGGCGAAGGAGGAACTCCCGTCTTTCCGAGAATCCCTTTTGTGTGTTCCAGAAATAGCTATTGTCCCCCTACAAGATTATAAAAGATTAACCCGTCACTCAAAATTCGTACAAAAGCAGCCGCTTCGGTGGCTGGAACGACTAGGCCATCCTCTCGACGTCAGCCTCGCCGTAGCTTTGCTCGTCCTGAGACGACCTACGTCACGATTGCGTCGGATGTCACGTGCTCTAAGCTGGGCCTTCTCCGAGCACTTGCTAGAGTGGGCCGTTTATAACAACAAAATACAGCCACCAGGCTCAAAATACAAACGTGCGATTGCCATTTACGGATATTGTGGATCACATTCAACCTATTTTTGAACACGACGGATATATTTCAAATTTCGTTGAAGTATCCCTTTAAGTTTACTGCATAAATCAGCTTCTTAACGCTGGGATTTACTACAGAAGTGCCTGAAGTTGGTGGAAGCTTTTGCAAAAATTGTGCAAAGATTGGCTCATTTGAGTAAATCAAGAAAAATCAAAAACTATGTCTTCCCTATAGACCTTTCCAGCGCTTGTCACCCGGGCGAAAAATGCTGAGTCACTGAGCTGTGGACGCAGCATTGGATATAGACCTTTGCAAAAAGAGTGCTCTGGAATCGAATCGAGCGACCCCTATCAGCCAAATAATTCTGGCACCTGCCTGAGCTGTGGAAACCCGGTCAGCGTGACTCCCCACCTGCATTTTGCATTCGGAGTTCGCCGGCTTTTCTTGGAAGTTTTTACTTTATTCGCCTGTTTAGGATGCTTACCATTTGTGTGTTATCTTCCACTGTGAGAACCAGAGAATACCAGGGCTCGTAGCCTGCTCGACCTTCGCAGGAAACGAACGAAGAGAGCGAACGTCAAGCAGCCCGCGACGCAGGCAGTTCGACGTTCTTGGAGGATTATTTCTGTTGAGATAATCTCCAAACAGCCTTCCCGGCTATGTTCTGGGTCTTCGCAAAAAATAGCTGATAGGGTCGGGTCCGGGATGTGGGGACGGAATAGACACGTTCGTTCATTTGCTTTGAAGCTGAGCAAAAAAACAACTCTCTTCTACATGTGCCCCAAAACACGCCAGATTTTGTCCGATCGTCGTGAAATGACTATCGTCTACACTTTATATTGGAAATGCTGTGCTAAATGAGACCTTTCTCAAATTTTGTTTGGATAACGCGGCACCGTGGGGTACGTACAATATATGTTGTTCGATTGATGAGACTTGCTGAATTTCATGTTGTGGGCGGGGAATATCTATGCCAGGGGTGGCCAAGTTGCGGCTCGCGAGCCGCATGCGGCTCTTCGTGTGTTAAAGTGCAGCTTGCGGCTCCCTCCCCTACTTCCCCCCCCCCCCCCCCTTCCGCTTCCATGCCTCCCTTCCGGTCATACGACCACTTCCCCAAGTAGAGAAATGGAACGCGTTTTGATATCGAAAGACAGGTTGCGGTTTGTTAGTCTTATGCTACTGCTACCTTACCAAAGTTGGACCGCTTTTGACTCGAATAAATTGAAAGTAGTCCGAGATTTTGTTTTAGCCCTAAACAAAAGTTTGCTTCCCCCCCCCCCCCCCCCCCCCCCCCCCCGCGGCTCTTAGAAGTTTCGTGGTTCTGTTTGCGGCTCTTAGGCCGGGTCAGCTTGGCCACCCCTGATCTATGCAGTTCGGATATCCTGCGTGGTCAAATATTTTCGATGGCTAAGACCTTTGTAGACTGACCTCTCTGAGTGTGCGGTTCCGTAAAAAGATCAACATAAAATGAAACAAACATTCCAGTTGCATTAGTTTTGTCGCGCATGGACTCACCAAGACAGCGCTGGAGAAATTCTATTCGCCATAGAACACAAAATAAAAAATAGAACGCAGCAATTTAGCCTCCACCAACGTCCGGAAGTGCGCCTACGCAGGCTGCCACAGCCCACTGACAAGAAAACCCACAGCCCAGCGCAGTCAGGCAACACTGATGCACCCTCTCAAAACCAGGGACGCGCACTGTAAATCGCTTCGTTCAAGACTGCAGCTGGAAAGGTCTATACCGCACAACAGAGCAACAGTGCATGCTCAGAAGGACTTCCACAGCCCAGTGGACAAAGATGGCAGCGCGCACAAGGCGATTTTTGCAAAAGTTGCATGTGCGCTAAAAAACAAAACAAGAAAAAAAAAAATATATATATATATTTGTGTTACTGTGACGTTTATTCGGGACAAATGAAGGGAAAAATAGGTAAGCCAATTCTATTTTCTTTCCATTTCACAAATTTCTCAATCGTAGTAAACGCCAGAATAGTCCACAACGTTTTGCTGATGATTCTGAGATAAAAGGAAGGTGATACGGTAAATTTTCCACAGACAAAACCCGTTTTTATTTTCTTTCTTTTGACTCCAGAGGTTCCATGTATTCATACTCTTAATTAATGAATGCACGAGCTTCGAGCAACTCTGTAGTAAACCCCAGCGCGATAAGTTAAGAAAACAATTTATGTGGTCATTTTAAAGTGCGTACAATCCATTTCGCCCACACAACAGATGTACTATATCACAATCAATAGGCCTCCTGCATTGAGGCTCTGTACAAACTGTGGCACCCTCATTTTGGGTAGTATAAGCTCACCTGGCTGTGCCTTGCTCTACTTATGGCACCTTCATTGAGCTCTTTCTGTCTAGTGCTGAAGAATGAAAAAAACACCTTTCAACGTCTGAAATCTGCTAGATTCAATGCCGCAAGACAGTCAAAAGTGACTGATTCATGTGACCGCTGCTCGGGTATCCGTCTCTTATCTGTGCGTGGTGACGTCGAACATCTATCGTCCCGACACATTCTTTTCTTTTTTTGCTTTTTTTACTTTCGAACGCATGAAATGACATCTATAACCCCTTGGAGTGTACATGCCACGAATAACCAATGAATTTCGCCCGGTGGCGTTTGCTCTTGTTGCGGCATAAAAAAAGTGGCTATTTGCCGCGTATCTATCTAGCGTAGCTAGATACTGTTTGTCCTGTGATTGCTGCCACCGGAAGCAGCCGACATGCAGCGAAGGACACGGGCCAAACAGGACATAGTACGCGGTTTGACTTCCGCCTGGCTCGATGCACAGTGTTGCAGACCAAGCATGCACCCCACCGCATCTGGGCAATCTTTTTTCTAACAAAGACATGAAGGCTTATTAAGACTTGAAAGTACATTATTATAGATTACTTGCTCGTTTCATTGAATTTGTTTTGTGCTTTTTATGAATATGAAATGTTTAAACAAAGCTTTATAAGTGGTTGGTTTCAGATATTCACTTTCCCCCTTGGCAACACTGACAGTTGCGCGGTTAGCGTCAACGGCGTTCAGAGCTTGTTCACCTGATGGAGTTCACTGGTGAACGGAGACGCAGCGGCGTGTCGTAGATTTCTGACGCATGAATTTCGCCGTGAATGTTTGCTTCATGGAATCCACCCTTTAGCATGTTAGCTTTGACCTGTGCTTCAAAAAATTCCATTTTTTATTTTTTTTATTTTTTGCATTTTGCATTTGAGCAGGCAAATTTCTACATGTGACAGTTTGAGACGCTCAAGCTTGTACTACTCAAAACAAATTCTAACAGGTCCCTTTTCGCTGTGTCCCCTGGGCAATGAAGGAGACCTATATGAGTGTGAACACTGCACCGTGTGGCCCACGGTACTATCAGTGCCCCCTGTCGAATGCTCCGTAAGGATTAGATGCAAGGGGGTTAAGACAAGCAGACTTCTACACTCGTTGCAACGCTCTTCACTTACGGTTTGCCTGCGTGAACCAACCATGGCCTCCGCAATTTGTCGTATGTGCGCACACCATTTCATGCGTGCGTGACGTGGCAAGCGTTTGTAATATTCGTTCGAGCTGCAAAGTGGTTGATTGGTTATCGCGTGATAATAACTCGGAGCAACGCCGAACTCGCTGCGAAAAAGTTTGCTATTAATTTAAGTGTGTCATGTTGCTTTTACGGTTCCTGGGAGCGAAAGATTGTCTACGCTTGCACCGCGCTGACATCTTGCAAGTGTGGATTCGCGGTCCTTCGCTCTTGCGAAACTCGCGTGAAGTAAATATTAGGCAGTTTTAGTAGATTGTTCCAATACCTCCAATAACAGTATGATGCATGCGCAAAGGCATTGACGGAGTATCCCGTACTGTTATCAGAATCATAAAAACAATCCTAAAGCTTTCTAATAAAAGTGTTACCCTACAAAAAATATACATATAAGCTATTTTTGCTTGTGCACATTCCTAGCGAAAAATGATCTGGTTCATTAATCAACACTCCCACAGTTCCGCCGCCTGTCCTTTACTAGCAGATGATCTAGAAGTGCAGAGTGGTGCAGTGATCGCTTGAGACATCCCGTCTCGTCCGCAAAGTGCCTTTATACTTCACGGAGCAATCGACAGGGGACACTCACTGTATCGCGGGCCACGCGGAGCGGTTGTCACACTCATATTGATTGTGATAGTCCACGCCATTCTCAATATGGCGACGTACCGCGGGTTGGATGACGCAATAACAGTGCACGATGGAGCGACATTGCAACGAATGTGGGACCGCTACTTCGGAAGTGGGGTTCGTCGTAATGGCCAATCAATCTTAAAGCACAGAGCAGCGAGGGGAAGGGATATAAGTGCGAAACTATCGCATGACAAATGGTTCAGGCTGCATCCTCGTCATCGTCTGCTTCACATGCCCGGGAGGCGGAGGAACGGAAAAAAAAAACTGGGTAGGTAGTGATAGTTACGTGACTTCCGGTAGCTCTCTCCTCCGAACCTTCATGCACATGTTTCAGTTTCGAGCAATTGCGTTTTTCACTATTAAAAATGTATGTGTTTCCATAGCAAAATATTGATTGAGTAGTCTTCTGACACCATACAAAATCGTCTGGTAAAAAATTAAAAACATTTTTTGTAGGGGTGCCAGTGTCCCTTTAATGACGAGCGTGACTTGGCTCATATCATAACCACTGTCTGGAGATATTTTAAAGTTCTCGTCTAAATTTCCTCTTGGTTTCAGGCGGGACGCATTCCATTACACTGGGCCGTGTCAGGCAAGCGAAAGGACATTGTCAATTTTCTGCTGCAGCAGGGTTCTCCCGTGGACTGCGCTGATGAGGTGAAGAAAATGTGCCTGTTTTCATCGAGCCTGATTATTTTGGAGTGTCATGAGTTATGTCCAGATGGAACAATAGCAGGCACAGTAGAGTTCTGTCGGTTTCAAGTAGACGGAAAGATAGTAGGCCCAGCAGGGTTCCATCAAGACGGAACTAGTATAGCAGGTGCTGTAGAGTTTTGTCCAGACGAAACAATAGCAGGTGCAGTAGAGTTCCATCCAGATGGAACGATAGCAGGCTAAGAAGAGTTCTGTCCAGATGGAATGATATCATGTGCAGTAGAGTTCTGTCCAGACGGAACAATACCGTATTTACTCGCGCAATGAACGCACTCGAGTAATGAACGCACCCCCCAAGTCGGCTCTCAAATTTTAGACTTTTTTTTTCACTCGCGTAATAAACGCACCCCCAACTCGGACGTCAAAATTTGACCCCCTCCTCCTACGCGCGAAATGAACACACTTTTATATCCTGGTGCAGCGAGGTCGGAATGCATGGGCAGCGTGGTCAAACAAAACGCCTTGCAAAAGGCGTTAAAAAAATTAGCAAAGATTGAACCGAAGCAAGAAAAAAAAAACATGCAAGAGGAGTTGTTTTTTTTTTGGTTTTTTTTTTGCACACTAATTGGGGAGTAAAGCTTGAAACTAGACAGCGGCCCTCGGGGCTTCCCCGCAGCTTCTCTCCAGCTTCCTCAGACTGATGATCTGTTCCGCAGGCCCAGTGGACAGCCCTGATGATTGCGTCTTCTGTGGGGCATGCGGACATTGTGTCCTCACTGCTCGAGAGGGGAGCGCAAGTCAATGCGGTCAACCAGACGGGCCACACGTCGCTGCACTATGCTGCCTCCAAGGGGCACCTCGAGGTACGCTGTTTTGAGCTGGACGTTGAAGACTTGAGAGGTGTCACCGTATTTTAGTCTTTACAAAAGAGTTGGTATACAGTGAAACCCATTTAGAGCGAACCCACATACAGCGAATTATTGGCAATATCGAACTCGCGGAAAATTTAAATAAAAATGCATGTAAAAAGTACTTTTATAACGAACAACATATTGGCTATATCAAACTTTTTTCCCCTGAGAAGGCTTCCAAAAACGTGTAAACAATCGTCTTCTAGCCTGTCCCTTCCCCCCAAAAAAAAGTAGGAAAGAAAACAAATTCCAGAAGCTCAAGTTGCAAACAAATTTGAGTGAAGAGAAGTGATTCAGAACAGGAAAAAGCTAAAAAATACACTCTGCATGCACGTACAGAAAAAAATACTTTTCATCCTAAAATTGCTGCTTACGAAAAGAAGCGATTCAGAAAGGGAGATAAACTAAAAGAACAAACTTTGCGCGCATGCAAAAAGAAAAAAGAAAAGAAATCTTTCCAGCGCATTGTTACAAGGCGGAAGCGAAGAGATGAGAAAAAAAGAGAAGCTCTCGCCTTACGACGAACGGATCGTGGAAGTTCGTTGTAAATGGTTTTTGCTATATCGAACTGATCGTAGTGTTTCCTGCTGTTCGTTATAAACGGGTTTGACTGTATAAGTCATACCTGCGTATCAGTTACGCTTTGTACGGTGGGCATGGCAAGAGCACATGTGTGAGCCCTCATATCTGTCTTGTTATTCTAATTCACTATGTGTAAGTGAGGGGCGTTTAGAAAATTCTTTCCAATGAATCGGTTGAGAAATATGGCCCCCATGGCAAACTTGCATGGCTAAAGGGATACTGCAAAGAAATTCTAGCACCTACGTATTTTTATGATCTAAATGTCCACCGTGTTCTAGGCGCACCTCACGGACACCAATATTTTGCTCGAAAAGAGACCAAGGCATTATTTAAAAGAAATAAACCGAATGTTGTTACGCACTTTAAAGAAGCGCCGATCTGCGGAAATATGGTGGCAAGCTGCGTGCGCGTGAGCCCTGTCGAGCCGGATTTCCCTTCTCTCTCGACTTATTCAACTCTTGAGGGAGCGGGGAAGGGCAACTAAAAACGGCCAAGTTGTAACGCCTTGACTACACCAAGTGGTAAAACACATAACCACGTCATCCACCAAGCAGCCTTGTCTGTGCTGGACCGACTGACGTCTGTGGCGTCAATTGGTACGGCTCCCATGATGCATTGTGCTCTTTGATGGCTGATCTTTGAGCACTCGCAAAAATTGTTTTTTTGGAATGTAAAATACAGCCATCCGTTCAAAATACAAGCGTGCAATTGTCATTAGAAAATTGAGTTTATCATGTTTAGCATATCTCTGAACTTGAGAGGTATATTTTAAGTGTCGAATCAGTATCCCTTTAAAGTCCACTCTTGTAAACAATAATTGCATATAAGTTGCCCTGTAAGATGTGCCAATGGAAACTTGAAAAGAACTCACTACTTATACACTCTAAAATAAGGTACATGCACCATTTGCTTGCGTTTCGTTTTTTATAATTGGCGACTTTTGTGTCGGGAACAAGGGTTTACCGGCAGTATCTTATAAAAGAATTCGGCACTGGCTTTTATGACGTTTTGGGAGGCAGAGGAACTATGCCCTATCAGAAGCCGACCGAACGCAAACTAGAAATTACTTGTGGATGCCCCGAAGTTCAGTGGGAAACAAGTCAATATACTAGACATTACACATAACAAAATATCTTGAATATCAATTGAATTGTCGATATGTTCAATTAACTTTGCAATGAAATAGCAGTATTAAAAAATATGTTAAGCCTGGTTTGGACGGGGCCATTTTTCCCGCAATTTCGGGGTTGCTGGCGAGTCGTTTTCTATATCCCTGTGCTGGGATACAAATTGCTGGAATCAAAACTGGCGAGCAACAACTCCGAGTTGTTCGAAACGATAGCAGTCAATTGGGGTATTTTCACATGACCCTGCTTATGGTAATAACTGAAGGTTTAATTTGGTTTGCAATGGATCGTTTTTGTAACTTAGATGGTTTCAGGGACATTGTTAGTTTCCTCAATGCCACTTCAAGATATACAAACATGTGCACTGCTCAAATGTCTTCATTTTGTGTTTCTTTTTGTCAGAATCGGAGCCTTCTGTTGGTGCGTCGCCGTCTTTCATCTTTTCGGCACCTCTCTGCATGAACATGTGGGGCCTACTTCATTCATAGTTTCGGGCAAAGCTACGTCGTTTTTTTTTTCATAACTTTCTTCCTAGGCTTAGAGCAATAGTCATCTGTGTAATTCACAGCTTTTTGCACCGATTCTACTTTTGGTCTAGGTATCCTGAATCCACTCCTCCAGACCTGTCAAGATAGAAGCAAAAAACTGCTCTAGCTTGTTAGCAAACTCCAAGTAGCTTTCGTCTAGCTTTTTCTTTGTCTCTCGATACTTTAATCGAAAAGCCGTGGGCGACAACCTGAACTTCCTAATCAGGCACGACTTAACGGACGAGTAGTCGTCAGCTGCTATGGGCTGCCTGGCCAAAACGTTGGCCACCTCCGCTGGCAGTAAACTTGAGAGCCTTTGAGGTCAGCTCGGTCCTACAAAACCCATCTTAGTGCAAGCCCGTTCAAAATTTACCAAATAAAGGCCTATGTCTCCTCCGATACCAAAGGGTTGCAAGAAGCTTAGCATGTCACCTACAATAGAACCTCGTCGATATGTTTTCCAGGGGATCGCAAAAAAAACAGGGGGGGTCACGTGACCTTAAAGGCCAATGACCAGACTCGAGATTCTGCAAGGCAGAATATCCTCCTCACCATCGGGGAGGAGGAAACAGGCAGCGGTGGACAGGTTAAAAGGGGAAGAGGAGGAAGCGAGAGAAAAGTGGAAAGCGCGAACTGGTCGTCGGCCTTTAAAAGTGGGTCACGTGACCCCCCAAGGTCACGTGACCTTAGGGGGGTTATGTCACCCGAGGGGGGTCACATGACCTGGGGGGGCTCACGTGACCTCGCGGTTACGCCGACGCCGCTCAAGCCGGAAACGGGCCCCTAAGAGCTGTGCTCTAAAATGTATCTTCCGGGAAAATGTAACAACCGATGATGCACTTAGATGGGCTCTACATGAGATAGAAAGCAGCTCTTATAGAATGGTTTATTTTATGTGTACTTACAGAACTGTTGAGGACTCAAACATGTACAGAAAAGTGTGTAATATCCGCCTGCCACTTCGAATTAATGTTAAGCAGTAAAAGCCGTTTCTCCAGGAGCCGCGGTCCTCTCTCACTCACCGCGCAGTCGTGAACATTTACGTAGCGGCACAAGGTGTCCAACGCAATGATCGCGTCCGCAAACATGGGCGCAGCGTAATTGTTCGTTTCCTGCTTAACATCCTCATCACTTTCTTCATTGTCATAGTGAGGTCGGCCACAATGTATGCTATGCTTTGCGGTTCAGAGGTAACAACGTTCTCGTCAGGCGACGCATATTCACAGTAGGTGATGCTGTTCAAAGTTGACTGCGCAAGTCTGAGGTCTCTTATGATGTCAGATCTCTTGCGGCTGGAATTGCGATCCACTGTCTGAAGTATATCAAACTTCTCTTTAAAAGAGAGTGCCTTCTTTTTTTGCGATGCCATGACCGTCGTCAGTGGGCACAAAGCACACATACTTCGAAACACCACGGTTCACGCAATCGAGCGGAACAGAAACTAGAAGCGCAGCTACGAGTGTACCTTGTGCAAGAGAAAGAGAAGGACAGATGAATGAGAGAGCAAGAGAGAACGAGCGTTTGCCGCCTCGCCAGCCTTGCTCCCCGTCCGAGCAGTGCTCCAAGGTCACACCCGGGCAAGATGGGAAGCTGTGGCAGAGCTCAGCAAAGCCCAGCGAGGAGATGGAAAAGAGGGGGGAAAGAAGGAAAGGAAAAACGGGCGTCTGCGTGCCCATGCGTGTCGTGCGACCCGCATTGCATGGTTCAGCTTTGCTCCGCTAGCTTCGCTTCGAAGCCAGCATGGTAGCCTGGCGCTTGGTGCGTTGAGGCACTGCGATGCCAACACTTTTGGACGTAACAACCGGGAAAGCAAACGTAACACGCAGGAAACTAATACATGCACTTCTATGGAAGTAAAACGGGACCGGCATTTTCTAACATAACAGCCGGGAAAACGTATCAACTGAGAATGTATCAACGAGCTTCTACTGTATAGACCATTCCATTTAGCGCTCTCTGGGCGGCACCATTTTGTTCGACCGCAGCGCCCTCTCCACACATCCGGGAAGTTCAGCGGGTTCGGCGGGGTAAAACGAGAGAGAGGGCACGCCGCCGACTCCGCTAGCAGACGACAAACCGGGAGATTGCCGTTCTCCATCTTTGGGCTGTATCGGCGGGCTCTACCGAACACCGAACTCTCGCTCGTGGCTGCCGTTGTGAAGTGGTTCGCGTTCTTAGAATAGTTGTGGCTACTCCAAAATCAGCCTATAGCTCTCTGTTGTTCTATTTTGCTAAATGATCAACTAGCATATCTTTTTTTCCGTTACTTAAATAGCAGGTGAGTCAGCCGGCAGTACTACCCTCAACTACTGCGTGTATTGCAGCAGGAGAACACGTTTTTATTTATTATTTCAGACTTCCATTCATGGTCGCTAAAGGCCTACACCAGTAGGAACTTTTGTATAATAAAAAAGGTACAGCAACCGGATTTTCTTTTCGCCAAAGAGACCGGCCAATCTGACACAGTTTTCTCTATTTTTGTTTTTTATTTGCACGCAGGTAACAGTGCAATTGGACCCTGCGAGTCTTTTTATCTAGCATAGTATTACACGATAACTGGCATACCAAAATCTGCGTATCTGCGCTTGAAAGTTCCAAAATGACGCGATTTGAAACAGAGTTTGCACGCCAGCCGGACGCTAGCTACAGCCCACTCGGCGGAGCGGACAGCTTGCGGGGGAGAGGGGGAGTGCATTTTTTTTTCTCTTTTACTCTCTCTGCTATGACCCTAATGCAACGGTCTATATTGAACTGCTATTTCCCACCGTAACGACTTCGCCAGCGTTCAATTTACGTTGAAGCATTTCTAGCTCGAGTGGTGCGGCGTTCCTCTTAAGCGGCATTCCTCCTCCTTTCGTCTCTTCTGCACTTACTCCAATACTCAAAACTTTCGTCGGCTAATGCGCCACATGTTTCAATGGCTGTGATTATCTCGGGCTCTCTCATGGCCTTGACCGCCTTAATACAGTGTAGACCGCATATAACGTATGTCGCGGGAGTCGCGAAAATCCGCACTATAAGCGGTACCGCGCTATAACCAAAACATCAATTTTTCAGGCCAAAATACATGCCATGAGACAACTTACACTTGTAAAAGAATTTATTTTATGTTAAATGAAAAATAAAGCTGAGTTTGAGGAAAGTCTTTATTTCACCAGACTAGTACAGTTCTGTCTCAAGTGTGTCACACATTTTGAAAGAAATGAGCGGCTTTTGCCTGGCGCAGCCTTTTAACGGCATCGCGGGTTGCGGACGGACGTTGCGAGCGTTCAGGATTGCTAACCCTAATCACTTTTCTCCAGTGATGAAAACGCGTGGAAATTTGCATCCTTCATACGGTACGCGCCAGTAATACCTTCAACTTGAGCACACGCATGAAATGCGCCAAATAAGAAATCCGTGCGATGTTCGAGGACACAAATGCTTAGAAATCACCACTGTAGTCGAAGTAAATAAACACGAGGACACGGGCGTTTCTGCCATCTTGAGAGTGCCGCCACGACATCACCCCACGAGTAGGTGGATCTTTCCTTCTAGTACGTGCTGAGTTATCATAGCGACACACAACGAAAATTCGCAGTCAAGGATAGCGCTTTTATACGGAACGATGAGCACGCCATCTACGACGACGATCACAACCGACGCCATGTTTCCGGATAGAAGCAGCCGGCCCGCAACCGGCATGCAACGCGCGCAAACACTTCTCCTCAACCTGCGATTGGTCTGTCATTGCAATTGTTTTCCAACGCAGCGCAGAGACGCATGCACGTGAACGACACATGCACGCGTCCCTCCGTCGCTATGGCAACTCAAGCCTCTCTTCGCTTCTCCCCGTTTCTTCGAGCAACCTCCTTGCCCCGCGAGTGCCGCTTGCGGCTAGCGCCATCAGCGCCGTTATCTAGTGTCGCATAGGGAAGCGTGCTCGCTGCGCCGGTCGTTCCAGAAACCGCACTATAACCGGTATTTCCCTTTGCGCGCCTGAATTTTAAGCGGTATGTAATTACATAGAGTTCTATGGGAGGCGAACCGGTGTTTTAAAAAACCGCGTTATACCCGGTCCTGCACTATAAGCGGTTACGTTGTAAGTGGTCTATACTGTACCGAGCTCTTCCGCCAAGAGCGTTAAATCGGGTTTCACTATTGCCACGAGATTCATCGTGCCCATTTCCCTAAATTTTCAAAAAAGATTGCTGCTTTTATTTGTGCCTATGCTACCCAGTTAGTTACGGCCAAGAAGTGTCTTAAACCTTAACGCTGCTCGGTGTATAGAAAGGAGGCTCGAGGCATTCACCAGCAGTATCCAGAGAACCTGACGTCATCGATCCATCCCACCACTGCCACCAGCTGTTACGTCCCGACGGGGAATCGACGACTGAGAGACGCTGGCATGGCTCTGGTATTGTCCAGAAGCAAGAAGCACTTTGCTTGTCATTGCAGGCACTAATCGAGCGCTACGCGCTCGTGACAGGGCGGTTATCTAGCTCACTCGATAAGCGTTGGGCGCCGTGAACAACATAAAGACATAACAGCCTGTTGGTAAGGTGCTTCTAGAAAAGCCTGTTTTGGACTATGAACTGTGAGATAGTTTTACACGGTGGTACGCTGTATCAGGGATTTGTCGAAGGGAGTAGTTTGTACAGTATAGACCACTTACAACGTAACCGCTTATAGTGCGGGACCGGGTATAACGCGGCTTTTTTAAACCACCGGTTCATCTCCCATAGAACTCCATGTAATTACATACCGCTTAAAATGCAGGCGCGCGAAGGGAAGTACCGGTTATAGTGCGGTTTCTGGCACAGCCCGCCGGCCGCGCCGACGACCGGAGCCGCGAGCGCGCTTCCCTGTGCGACACTAGATAACGGCGCTGACGGCGCGAGCAGCAAGCGGCACTCGCGTGGCAGTTGCGCCAGAGCCGAGTTGCTCGAAGAAGCGGGAAGAAGCGAAAGGCTTCAGTTGCCATAGCGACGGAGGGACGCACGCACGTGTCGTTCACGTGTGTGCGTCCCTCCGCTGCGTTGGAAACAAACAACCGCAGCGACAGACCAATCGCAGGTCGAGGAGGAGTGTTCGCACGCGTTGCATGCCGGTCGCGGGCGCCCAGTGCGTACACACTATTGGCTCTCTCCTTTCCTCCCCCCCCCCTCCCCCCTCCGGTCGCGGGCCGGCCAGGGTTGCCAGGTTGGGCTATAAATAGCCAAATTGGGCTAGTTTTATTTGCAGTTGGCGGGAAAAAATGGTAGTTGGCTATTTGGCTAGTATTGGGCTATTTCTAACCTGTGCATTGGGCTATTTCTGACCTGTGCATTGGGCAATTTCTGACCTGTGCTGGAACCAAAATGCCTGAAATCACTTGGGTTTATAGGTTCGAATGTATTTTTAGAGTAAGTTACGTGAACATTTGGCGCTTCAGTCCCTTAACCCTGATAAGTTTGCGACAGCAAACAAATTCGTCTTCTTTTTGCGCGCCTTGTGTAACTGTTTACCTCCGAATTTTGTCCGAATGCAAGCATGTGCTGTTATTTCTTCATCTCAACAAGTGACGGCGCGATTCCTTGCGGCCTTAACAGCACCTGCTCTGCGCATTCTTTAGGTTGTCTGAATTCTGCATAGTTCTCCCGAGTACGGCTTCAGGGCGCTGCCATCTTGCTTGGCTGGGGTGCGCTTGGACGAGCCATAACCCGATTACGAAGCCTTGCTAAGGCGTCGTAATCGGATTATGGCCGCGCCTAAGAGCGCACCTCACTGAGAAAGATGGCGGCGCCCTGAGACCGGACTTGCAAACGTGTATAGTGAGCGTCCCAATACAGAGGAAGGTATGTCGTCATGCGCTTGTACGAGCGTTTCAGGAAGTTCGCCGAACGTGCAAGGGACGCCATTTCTGGGGCATTTGATGGATAAAAATGTATTATGTGTCTTTTCTGCTCAAAATAAACGTTTCAAATGATAAGTTTTTTTGGGCTATTTTTGGGCTATTTTTCTGGATCGACATTTGGCTATTTTTGGGCTATATCTCGTAGACGTTTGGCGGGTTAGAGTTCAAACACTTGGCAACCCTGCCGGCCGGCTGCTTCTATCCGCAAAAACGGCGTCGGTGGCGTCGGTTGTGATCGCCGTCCGTTCATCTCATCGTTCCGCGTAAAAGCGCTATCCTTGACTGTGAATTTTCGTTGTGTGTCGCTATGATAACCCAGCACGTACTAGAAGGGAAGATCCACCTACTCGTGCGGCGATGTCGTGGCGGCGCTTTCAAGACGGCAGAAACAACCATGTCGTCGTGTTTGCTTACTTCGACTACAGTGGTGATTTCTAAGCATTTGTGTCCTCGAACATCGCCCGGGCTTCTTATTTGGCGCATTTCATGCGTGTGCTCAAGTTCAAGGTATTACTGGCGCGTACCTTATGAAGGATGCGAATTTTTACGCGTTTTCGTCTCCGGAGAAAAGTGATTAGGGTTAGCAATCCTGAACGCTCGCAACGTCCGTCCGCAACCCGCGACGCCTTTAAAAGGCTGCGCCAGGCAAAAGCCGCTCATTTCTTTCAAAATGTGTAACACACTTGAAACAGAACTATACTAGTCTGGTGAAGTAAAGACTTTCCTCAAACTAAACTTTATTTTTCATCTAACATAAAATAAATTCTTTTACAAGTGTAAGTTGTCTCACGGCATGTATTTTGGCCTGAAAAATTGATGTTTTGGTTATAGCGCGGTACCGCTTATAGTGCGGATTTTCGCGACTCCCGCGACATACGTTATGTGCGGTCTACACTGTAGCTGGTTTCTACTGGAAATTTCTGAAACAAGCGAGAAAGTCCCACTGTCAAAGAGTAAGTGCACAAACGAGCTGGCATAAACTGTACATAATTATGGAAGATGCCGAGGGTAAAAAAAGGGGAACGGATCGAACACTGTCTCAGACAAGGAGTAAGTCCTACGTTATGCGAGGTTAGGTAGGTCCAAACTTGATTTCATAGATGTTGCCCTGGCAGAGCGATGACGGTAAGTATGAAGCGATTGGATCTATTTTGAATCGCTTCGACCGCAGAAACGTCGGGGTGCTGAATTGAAGACACACGTTCCAATTGGGAGCGAACATCTCGTATTGGGTTCGCTCGACCCGGTGTTGAAAGGGTTTGGTATGCAGGTTGCGAGGCTGCTGTTGGAGCAGCATGCGGACGTGAATGCTCGGGACCACATGGGCAGCACGCCACTGCACCGGGCGGCTTCCCTGGGCCACGACCATGTGGTGCGCCTCTTCCTCGAGGGCTACCGCAACAAGCTGGACCTGGACGCCAGAGACGCCGTCGGCAACACCCCGCTGTGAGCAACCCGGGACCACGGGATCCGATTCTGGTCACTGCGAGAGTGCGATCTAATTTGCCTCGTGGAGCGAGCGAAGATAGCGTTCTTAGGTGGTTTGTCCGACGCGAGTGAAGAAGGCAGTTCTTCGGCTACGGAGCGTCATTTGCAGATGGAAATAGGGAAAGAAAACACTGAGCGTCATCCGCTAACAAATCGGGGAAAAAGTTCACTGTGTGTAAGGAACCGAGCACTGGGCAATGTAAAAATGGACGCGGGCTAAAATTGTGATCATCCGCCATCTCACATTAGAAGACAGTGACAACTCGCGCTTTGTTCGCAAATCATCCGCCGCCGTATAGAAGTTGACATGGACCAGTGGATGAAGGAGTGGATAAGCGCATCGGATGCCGCAAGATCTCTCTCGCTTTTTGTACGTTAGCGAGACGTTTTAAAAAAAATATTGCGCAAATGTGAGCCTGCCAATGGGTGTCTCATTGGTAGGCGCGAGCCGTGGTGCCACGTCCAGTCGGCAGAGCGCTCTCGCCATGACCAAAATCGAACCCCTAGCTTCCGACCGGAGTCTTTGCCTCATTTGGGATTCCTCGGTGCTTGCTACGACCCCGGTGAAGGTGCGGCAGATGCAAGTTCCTCCACGAGTCGCTCTTGGCTCGACAGTTCATAGAAGCTCCTGCAGCCGGAAACTGGGACGCAAAGAAAAAAGCGACGCTCTCATTTGCTCGCCTTTCTTCCCCGAGCACCTAGGACGCAGTATCGTGACATTCCGCAATGTCATTACTTTGGGACCACTTCGGATGCATAAACGGAACATTCCTCCTGCCCCCCATCCCACCCACGCGTCGGGCCCCAAGTGGCAGCAAATTACATCACGGAGGCGTCGCGCCATGGGATGTCCTGCCAGTTGCTCTAAAAAAGTTTCGGCCAAAGGGTGAACGTGCTCTTTGGCCAATACGAGTTTGTCATTTCAGGAAAGCAGACTTCACTGTCATGGAATCTCGCATAATGTAAAGCTTGTAAATGGAAAAAGCCCAATCATTATATGCCAGAAAATATGGCAGTTTGTGCTGTGGAAATCAGCTGTTAACTTCAAAAGGTTGTGTCCTTTGTGTTTGTGCAGCAGAGGGTGTTAATAAAGTGCAAACTTGACCTCGCAGCTCTTGATTAGTGAGCTGAGGGGACAGTCGCAAGGAAAAGAAAGCTCATGGACGCATTCAGTTTTTCACGTTGGCACAACTGGACAGTTGTGTGTAAAATATGTATATGGTATGTGTGTCGAGGGAGATTTGTGAGAGATTGCTCAGATGAACAAAGAGTCCTTTTGACAGCAGCGCGTTTTAGTACGGATGCCACCACATTTTAGCGTTCCTTGTCTAAGCTCATACAGGTACTGTTATGTGGTCTTGACACATGCTACGTCAAAATACCTCGGTCGTTTGGTCCGTCTGGGCGTCTGGAAATAAGGGATTTGCTATTTGGGACAAGCATGCGCCTATTTTTGGCAGATCTCGAAGCCACCTTATGCCTTCTAAATGCAGCGCTCGCGATTTCTTCGTGGCACAAGAATATTGTTAAAAAAAAAATGTTGGACACTAAAAAATTTTTACTTCACCAATTTTAATTGGATGAATCAAACTGCAGTTTAATTTTTTTTAAATCAGTCTACAAGCGGCTAAGTTATGGGTATGTGTTGACGACACAATGAAAAACATGCACAAAGTAAAGCAGGAGAGAAGCACATCAAACACACAAGTGCTGACTTGCAACTGATATTTATGAGAGGAAAACAATGTTCATACATAAAAAAGAAAAGCAATACATTCACACCGTGAACATTTACAAAAAAGAATAAGAAGCTAAAGGAAAATGATAAGAGCAGGGCAGATCACATTGGTTGCAACACTTAGTCGTTAAAAGCTCTGGCCAGAAAGAGCACTTCTTTCTCACACAGCGTTATCGATGGCGTGCTAACATAGATAACGCTGTATGAGAAGGAAGTGCCCCTCCTAGCCAGTGCTTTTGACGACCAAGTGTTACCTGACCCTGTGATCTCCCCTGCACGTGTGCCCTTATAGTAACGTTGTTTTCCTCACATAAATACCAGTAAGTCAGCGCTTGTGTGTCCCGTCCTTTGTGCACCGTTTTTCATTATGTCGTCTCGCTACTGACTGGACCAAATCAGTGCATTTTTCCAACACACGTGAGGAAAGTGTACCTCGCGGTAACATTAGCGGGAGAAGACAGTTGTGTTTCACATTTATGCGTCGTGGCTGAAGGTCATGTCGATGGCTCTTATCAGTGGGGGGAGCTGTGATTCTGTGAGAGTGGCACGGCAGTTGGTGCGTTGCAACGGTCGAGAGGCGACGAGGCTCGAGCATTACGTCGGCCACAGAAGATCCCCGACGCATCAGACACATCGAAGCTCGATGTGAGCTTGCTGCAAAGCATCTCGATGTTGCCGCTTTTGCGAAGCGAGGCAAGACGTGCTGGCAGCTATCCATTGATCTTTGCCCAGGCACCTGGCATGCGAGGAGGAGCGCAGCCAGACGGCCAGGCTGCTCGTCCAGGCGGGCTGCAGGACGGACATTCCGAACAAGGTCGGTCCACACATCCAGCGTCCTTTTATCGAAACTAGGCCATGTCCTACCTTCTACAACACTTGGGCGTCGCTTGAGCCTCACGAGCGCACAACAACGGGCGCGTGATGGAGGGCGTCCAGAACAGGTGGAATTTTCTCCAGGAATTGTTTTCTTGACCATTTCGCTACGGGGCCGGATCAGTGATTTGTCGCTGTCTTGGGGGCCGGAAAGGAAATAAGTAAATATAAATGGGGAAAAACTAAATATATAATCCTAACTAAGCAATTATGAAATACAAAATTGAAGAGTAAAGATAAAAGAATGTCAGGTGACAGAATACATCCACTATATTTTTAAATCTAGTGTTTAGCTAAAAACACTGACATCGCACAATAATGGGGACCCAGAAAACTCATTATACATAAATCAAAGTACATAGGAACTTTGGCATGTGCCAACAAGGCAGACAACTATGGAGAATGATAGAACTGATGCTGACAATATCCAATAGATACGACGCAGGAAACTAAGCACAATATGCGTGGGAACTAGTGATGCAAAACTATCGATAAATTAACTATCGATAGTTTGTCCAAAACTATTGATAGTGTCACAGAACCATCGATAGTCGACTATTGATAGTATATTTATAGTACAAGAATAGCAAAATAAGCTCCTCTCAGGACCCTGCTTTGCCTTGAAGGTGTGTCTCAAATTGAGACATGCCTTGAGGGCAAAACAGGGCTCAATTTGGGCAGTTTCCTCAAGCATGGCGGGCTGATCGAAAGACCTTGTGGGTCGAGGTCTGTAGTATACATAGGGGGCTTAAAATTTTTATTTATTTTATTTATTTATTTATTTATTTACAGATACTACTGCCTTCTCAAGGAGGGCATTGTAGGACGGGCTTATAAACAATGACTGAAACGTACAATATGGAACAAGGCCAGTGCAACAAACATAGTAAAGAGCAGAAATCGTGAAACCCACAACCGAAATATTGCACAACAATGAAACGAAACAGTGAGCATCATTATACACTTTGCCGTGTACATTTTACCATTTACGCTAGAAAGCGAACAAGACATTGAACGATGTTATATACACAAACGACCAACACAACTTCAGTTCGAGATATATAGCTGCCAAACTATTTCAAGAGCAGTGCATTGAAAGATTGGCTAACAGACAGCAGTCACAACAAAATCAAAACAATTAGCAACAAGTAGCCTCGAGGTTATTTAAAGAATGAAAAGAGCGAGGCTTTAAATGATTGGGTGGAAGTCCTGTTTACGATGTCAAAAGTCAGCTCATTCCATTCAGTAATGGTTTTAGGAAAAAAAGAAAACTTGAAGCAGTCGGTATGGCATTGATAGTCTGTAAGTGATAAGGCATGGTAGCTACGTGTGCTCGCAGATTTTAGTGTGACATAGAGTGACCTGTCTATTCTAAAGCCATCGTTTATCAGTGTGTATAGGAAAGTGAGTCTGTTAATTTTCCTACGCGTTTGGAGGGGCTGGATACCGGCTATGTTGTATAGGGCACTCACAGAATCTAATCTTTTGTATTTGTTGTAAATGAATATTAGTGCCCTCTTTTGTACACTTTCGAGTTTATTTATGTTCGATAATGTGTGTGGATCCCAAATAATGTCAGCATATTCTAAAAGTGGCCTGATGAGAGATTTGTAGGCTATTAATTTTGTTGCGGATGTAGAGTGTCTTAAGTTACGTCTCAGATACCACAGTTTGAACATCGCCTTCTGACACAGCGAGTCAATGTGGGCATTCCATCTGAGATCAGAAGATATAGTGACTCCAAGATATTTGAATGAAGAAACTTGTTGCAGAGCAGAGTTTTAAACTGTATGAAAAGACCAACGGAGGCTTTTTACGTGTTATTGTCATCGAAACACATTTTTCAAGGTTTAACTGCATTTGCCATGTCTGGCACCAGTCACTGATTTTTTTGAGGCTCGAATTGAGATTAGCTTGATCTGCGTCATTTTTAATTTCAGAAAATATAACCAGATCGTCGGCAAATAGGCGAAAATTTATGTTTATGTTATCTTTTACTACGTCGTTTATATAAACGAGGAAAAGGAGAGGGCCTAACACGGATCCCTGGGGAACGCGTGAATGCACCGGTAGTAATGATGATCGTTCCTTCTTTACCTCAACAAGCTGTTTCCTATCGCATAGGTAGTCTTTAATCCACCGAAGCACTTTGCCATTTGGTAATAATTTAGATAGTTTTACAAGAAGTTTGGGGTGTGACACGCGGTCGAAGGCCTTCGAAAAATCTAAAAATATTACATCCGTTTGCCCCCTTTTGTTAATAATTTCCGAAAAATAATGAACCGTTTCCGTAAGTTGCGTAGTCGTAGAGAGCTTATGCCTGAATCCATGTTGTTCAAAACAAATAACGTTGGTTGTTTCGAGAAAAGAAGAAATATGATTATGTACTATATGCTCAAGGAGTATGTTGACCGTGCACAGCAGAGAAATTGGTCTATAATTAGTAGTGTCATCGGTGCTCCCCGATTTGTGGATGGGAACGACTCTTGCGCATTTCCAATCACCTGGCACTGAACCTTCTCGTAGCGATTTTTCGAATAAACAGTATAAATATTTAGAACACCATTCCGCGTATCTCATTAAAAATTCATTCGGTATATTGTCGGGACAAGAACTTTTTTTAGTATCTAGACTGAGCAGAGAAGCGAACACTCCTTCCTCAGAGACGGCAATATCAGGCAGTGACTGTGCAAACTGGAAATCTGGCGAGCTCGGTTCGACACCGTTGTCTTGCGAAAACACACTGGAAAAGTACTGGTTAAAGGCGGTGGACATTTCTTTGCCCGCAGTTACGTCTACTCTGTCAACAATTATTTTATCTAGCTGTTCCTTCTTGGGAGAAATGTATCGCCAGAATTTCCTTGGGTCTGTTATTAAAAAGCGAGGTAGTGAGACGTTAAAAAAGTTATACTTGGATTTGCGTATAGAATTGTTTAACACCTGCTTTTGCTCCCTCATCTTGTCAGCATATTCTCCTAGTAGAAGATTGTGTTTATTTTTGCGCAATCTATGAATTCTGCGTTTTAAGTGAATAATATTACGCGTTAACCACGGTTTGTTATGATTTTTGGAGCGGAGAGTTCTTTTAGGCACATAAAGATTCAAACACCCATGAACTAGATTTTTGAAATACAACTACATTTCGTTAACATTATTTTCTGGCGAAGAGTACAGACTAAGAAAAACGTCATGTTTAATTTCAAATTGGTCAATGACACTTTCGTCGAGCGCGTTCTTAATATCGCACAGTCTGCGTGTGCTTTTACGAGCAGGACTAGCACAACCTACACTAGAGGGATTATATTCAAAAACAACAATGCGATGATCTGAGATGCCTTCCGAGACCTCACAAGAAAAGGTGCGCTTCGCGACATCACTTGAAACAAACACGAGATCAAGAGTATTTGACAATGAACCTTGAACACGTGTGGCTGTAGTGACGGTTTGATACAAGTTTAGATTGAACGACATTTCAGTTAACAAGACAGAATCAGTACAGTTGTGGTTCAAAGGAGAAAGATTTTCCCAGCTAATATTGGGAAGGTTAAAGGGACCATGAAATGATTTTAAAATCGAGTTTCATCCACCGCACGTCGTAAAAGGTGTGAAAAGAAACACAAAAACACAAAAATAGGGAGCCCCAAAAATTATTTGCTATAGAACTTTTAAAAGAAAACTGGACTCTTTTGCGCCTTCCTTCCTTCGCCTGTTCACTACGATGCATACGCAGAATCGGTGCACGTCAGCCGAATCCACATCGCCTATTGGGTAAGAGCCTACCTCACCAGCACCGCGATCGTAAACAATAAATAGCCGGCGAATGTTTCCTAAAAGTTTTGTTAAATAATATTCAGATCCACATTTTGTAGCATAATTAGAGATGTGTGGCGAAAATTGCCAAATTTGATAATGCTGAGAGCCAAGCGCCATCTATCGTGTGGTAAACGAAGCAACTACTGCGCGTGCGCAGTAGGGCAGGGCCGCCAGTTACTTGGGTGACGGCGACCGACGAACATTTATTTTCTTTGTTTTCCTTCCTCTCAAAGCTCTGACTGACTGAACGTTTATTTTTCTACGTGTTCTTCCCGCGCGTGCCGACTTCAAGCAGCAAGAAAACAGTACTTAAAACAGACCACGACGAACAAGAACGCTGGATTCACCGACTCCGACGAAGCGTATAGGCCTAGCAGGCATTCCGACTCGGCGCTGCGTTGCTTCGTCGCAAGACCGTCTGCCTACGACCGGCTGGCGTGCTAAATGGAATATGCCCGCGCGACCCTTGTGGACCCTTCCCGTATTATAGTTTGATCACTGACCTCAATTCTAGATTAAGAGGTGAGAAGGTCAATCTCTTCCCCTTGTTTTCCGAGGCAGCGTTGACGAACACTCGTCGAAAAGGGACTCTCGTCAATTCTATCTTCTTGTTTTGTGTGATATAGAGCTGAAATAAACGCCGTATGGATTGCCTTCGTAACACGGTATGTACACTTTGTTATTGGTATGCCATTTTTATTCTGACAGACTGCACGTCACTGTCGACCCCGGTCCAACCTTTCTTTGCCGAGTGTCGCGTCAGTATCGAGTTGCAATCGTAAAAGAACGGTCCCGAAGCGCTTACCAACAGCGCGAATACAAGACTTCCATCAAGCGCGCGCGTCCGCTCCGAGTGTAAACAGGTATTTACGTGGCTCTTGCTGACACTCGTAGTTCAAACGTATCTTTTTTAACGTCGGCTCCCTCCTGCATCTCCGAGGCCGCGAAAAACGCCATCTACGTCGCTTTGCAAACGACTGACACGGGCCGGCCCTTCTGCCAACAATGACGGGGTGGTGACAAGACTCGCTACACTTCCCAACAGGCATACCGGCGTATGGGACTAGTCCCATGCTGTCGCTGTAGCGCAACATATCTCATTGAATTTCGCTCAGCTGCGATGCGGCG